GCATTTGTGCACTTTGCCTCGGCTGAATCAGCTACATGGGCTAAGAATGCTGCAGGGCACTGTGAGCTTTTCCTGAATGACAGGCCGCTGAAGGTTAGTCTAGGGCCTGAAAATCCATTTCACTTGAATCAGAGGAGGAGAAAAAACATTCCTTTTAAATTATCTGATGTATGTATTGAGATTGGAACCTTGGTTAGCCGTGATGAGTTCTTGGTTGGTTGGAGAGGACCTTCTTCTGGAGTTGATTTTCTTGTGGATCCTTTCGATGGGACATGCAAGTTTTGTTTCACCATGGACACTGCCTTTTCCATCAAGGACACAACTAAGCATGCAATTATCAGATGTGATTTTAAGTTGGAGTTCTTGGTGAGAGACATCAATGAGGTAAAGCAGTACACCGACACCTCATGTATAGTTATCCTTTTGCAGTTGGCTTCCGCACCTTTGGTCTGGTATAGAACTGCGGATGATGACATTGAAGTCTCTGTTCCATTTGATTTGTTGGATGATGATGATCCTTGGATTCGGACCACTGATTTTACACCCAGTGGTGCCATTGGCAGGTGCAACTTTTATAGAGTTTCGATTCCTCCTCGTCACGGTGCAAAGTTGAAGAGGGCGAGGAACTTTCTAAAAGAACGAAGGGTGCAGGAGGACTCCCTCCGACGACCGCTTAAGATTGTGAATGAACCAGATTATGGGATGCCTATGTCAGATCCTTTCTTCTGTATTCATCACAAGGAAGGGATAGCTTTTGAGATAATGTTCCTCGTGAATGCTGTGATGCATAAAGGAATATTCAATCAACACCAACTATCTGACAATTTCTTTGATTTACTGAGAAACCAATCTCTGGATATTAATGTCGCTGCATTGAAGCACATCTGTTCTTACAAGCAACCTGTGTTTGATGCTCATAAGGGGCTCAAAGCTGTCCAAGAATGGTTGCTGAAGAACCCCAAACTCTTTAAGCGCTCTAAACAGCTGGATGATATTGTGGAAATTAGGCGCTTGGCTCTTACACCAACTAGAGCTTATTGCCTGCCACCTGAAGTAGAACTTTCCAATAGAGTTTTGAGAAAATATAAAAATATTGCTGATCGGTTTCTAAGGGTAACCTTCATGGATGAGGGCTTGCAGACAATCAATGCAAACACCCTTACTTATTATGTTGCTCCTATAGTGAGAGACATAACGTCTACCTCTTTCTCTCAAAAGACAAGAATCTTCAGAAGGGTGAAGAGTATTCTGACAGATGGCTTTAACTTGTGTGGCCGGAGATACTCATTTTTAGCCTTCTCATCCAATCAATTGAGAGATCGCTCTGCTTGGTTTTTTGCCGAAGATGGTAAAATTAGTGTTGGCCAAATCAGGAAGTGGATGGGGAGGTTCACCAACAGGAACATTGCAAAATGTGCTGCCCGGATGGGCCAGTGTTTCTCTTCTACATATGCTACTGTAGAAGTTCCATCATCTGAAGTTAATCATGCCCTTCCGGATATTGAGAGGAATGGTTATATCTTCTCTGATGGTATTGGCACGATAACTCCAGATCTCGCAAAGGAAGTTGCTGAAAAACTGAAGTTGGACATTAATCTACCTTGTGCTTACCAGATTAGATATGCTGGTTGTAAAGGAGTTGTAGCCTGCTGGCCGGCTCAAGGTGATGGGATCCGCCTGTCTTTGAGGCCTAGTATGAACAAGTTCCAGTCAAACCATACCACCTTGGAGATATGCTCTTGGACTAGATTTCAGCCTGGTTTCTTAAACAGGCAGATAATAACCTTGCTTTCCACTCTAAATGTTTCAGATGAAGTGTTTTGGGAAATGCAGACAGCTATGGTCTCCAAACTGAATAAGATGCTAACTGATGCCGATGTTGCATTTGATGTCATCACTAAATCATGTGCTGAGCAAGGTAACACTGCAGCAATAATGTTAAGTGCAGGTTTCAAGCCTCAAAATGAACCTCATTTACGAGGCATGCTAACTTGTATTAGAGCTGCACAGTTTTGGGGCCTTAGAGAAAAAGCTAGAATCTTTGTGACCTCAGGGAGATGGTTGATGGGCTGCTTGGATGAACTAGGGGTGCTCGAACAAGGCCAGTGCTTTATCCAAGTGTCTAACCCATGTTTAGAGACCTGTTTCTCTAAGCATGGCTCAAAGTTTAGTGAGACCAAGAAAAACCTGCAAGTAATCAAAGGGACCGTGGTGATAGCTAAAAATCCATGTCTTCATCCAGGAGATGTAAGAATTCTGGAGGCTGTTGATGCTCCTGGTCTACACCATTTACATGATTGCCTTGTCTTCCCGCAGAAGGGTGACAGACCTCACACAAATGAAGCTTCTGGAAGTGACCTGGATGGAGATCTGTACTTTGTGACATGGGATGATAACCTTATTCCTCCAAGTAAGAAGAGCTGGACACCAATGCAATATGATGCTGCGGAAGCCAAACTCTTGAATCGCCCTGTCAGTCATCAGGTACTTATTTGAGTGTTAACTTTGAAGTTTAATGGGCTATTTTGTGTTATTCTCTTACATATGGTTACTGAAGGTAATATACTTATCTTTACGAAACAAGTTTTTGCCCTGTTATTCTCTCCCATAGTATTGGGTGAACTCATACCTGACTTAAATATACAGTAACTGTACTGTACTTCTGCTAGGGAAGATGATGCCATTATAAATTGTCTTGAGCAACCACCTTTGCTGCACATTAGGTGTGCTGTAGTATTAGTTCATTTATTTATTAGTTGCCATTGCACGAACCTGGTGAATTACACATTAATTAGTGGCGTGATTTTGGAATCTATGAATGACAATATGAAGTTCCGCAAAATTTCTCCATCCTGGTAAGCCTTTTTTTTTTTTTTGGCTTTAGAGAAATGTTTCGATATAGGAGCAAAGCATATTGATGAACAAGATCATTTGTGTTTATTAATAATGAAATGTGTACTCGTCTTACTAAGATTCAGGTTCTAGGTTAGCTTAGTTGGAGGAATACAATATTTAGAATTCTGATTTTACCACATAAAAGCATCTGATTACTTCTGTAATAAATGTGCAGGATATTATAGATTTTTTTGCAAAAAACATGGTAAATGAGAATCTGGGGGCAATCTGTAATGCTCATGTTGTTCATGCTGATTTGAGTGAACATGGGGCTTTGGATGAAAACTGCATAAAACTGGCAGAATTGGCGGCCACAGCTGTTGACTTCCCCAAGACTGGCAAACTTGTAACTATGCCGCCATACCTAAAACCCAAAATGTATCCGGATTTTATGGGGAAGGAGGAGTATCAATCATACAAGTCAACCAAAATTTTGGGAAGACTCTATCGCCAGATTATAGATGCTTATGGTGATGATGATGCAGCTGCATTTTCTGAGCTTAATTGTCTATCTGGTGATATCCCTTATGATGCTGATCTGGAGGTTTTGGGATCTGCTGATTACATTCTTGAAGCCTGGGATCAAAAGTGCTCATATGATGGACAGCTGAAAGGTCTTCTGGGACAGTATAAAGTGAAAAGAGAAGAGGAGTTGGTTACTGGTCACATTTGGTCCATGCCGATGTCCAATAGCAGGAAGCAAGGAGATCTTAAAGAGAGGCTTAAGCATTCTTATAGTGCACTGAAGAAAGAATTTAGGCAAGTTTTTGAGGGAATGAATTTGGATGTTGAGCAACTCACAGATGATGAGAAAAACTTGCAATACGAGAGAAAGGCGTCGGCATGGTACCAGGTTGCTTACCATCCCAAATGGATAAAGAAGTCACTGGAGTTGCAAGAGTCTGATGCTCCTGGCAATGCAACAATGTTGAGCTTTTCTTGGATTGCAGCTGATTACCTTGCTCGAATTAAGATTAAGCGTAGGGGCACTGAAGGTATTGACACTGCTAAGCCAGTCAACTCACTGGTGAAATACCTTACTGATCGGATCTGCTGATCTGCATCATCTGACCAGCATTTGAAGCCATTTCTTGGCCGCAAGTCCACTCTGCCAATGTTTTATGTTATAATTATTTTCAGGTAAAAGTTCTATTAAGAGTGTTGTTGTGAGAGTAAATTGTTAGTAATGAAGGTGAAAAGTTCTTAAGTAAGAAGAGTGATTATATATTAAATTGGCAATGACTTGAAATTTGACCTTTATATGTACAAAAAAAGAAATGAATTCCAATAACTATGTTGTTAGAGATTCACAGTCTATGAGCACCAACACTAATTATGTTCAATGCTGCTTCACAAACAATGATAGAACTGGCAGAGGTATATTCCATCTAGTTTAAAGACTCTTGGTTCGAACCTCTCACCCTAATACTCAAATAAATAAACAAATAAATAAATAAAGAATGAGAGGACCTACAGAAGCACTCAGATAAGGAATGATAGAGAAGCATCCACCTCTTGAACAGCACTGAAAGCTGGAAAACAACCAAAGAATGCTTACTGCTTTATTGCAATTCACCCACCCATATTACATTGATAGCAAACGTGTCCTTTTTTATTGATGGCAGATCAATATTGGTCGCTCGTTTGATTAGATGAAGCAATTCATTTATTATCGGCCAACCACTTAGAGCTGTGCCTTTTGTCAAACTCTAGGCTTGTTTATGATTGTTGTTAGGACTTTTGAGGGATCTTCCCTTGAATTTTAGACCACATCCTTTCCCATGCATTTGCCAATTTGCCAAACTCTCTGCAATGAACCATTATTGCTTTGAGCATATCAACAAATTACCAGAAAGAGATGAATCTTTCATCTATGATCATAAGTTTACTAACTAAATCAAACCTCAAATTGATTGGCTAACAACATTTTTTGGCTACTGGGGGAAAAAAAATCTGATGGATACTGATATTTTTTAAAAATATATTCTGCAGGTGATAATTCCTTACAATTGATCACTAAGCATGCTTGCCATGGCTTAAAGGTATATATATGTAATTGACAGTCACTTGTTAATCAATTTTATTACAAGTTTTCACTTTCAATGGAAAAAGCAAACACAGAATCCATCACTCTCATAAATAACTCCGAAACCTACTGCAGAATTAAAGGAAAGCATCTTCTGTATTACAAAAGTTATCAGCCAATGTAAACCACAGGTATCTCCAATTTCCCTTACATAATATATAATTCCTGATTGCTCTTTGCACTTGTCAGGAATCAGGATACATGTATGTGTATATATTATATATGTCATACCCTTATAAGTGTTTTCAGTCACCAATACTAATTAAAAGGCTAATAATTAAGTTCTTGAAGCCAAGTAAAACAGAGAGAGGATGTACGTATACTCATATGACATATATGGTAAATGAATACGACATGTATATAGAGAAGTCTGCAGGAATTGAAGAAGGTGACATAATTTCTCTTGATAATTTGACATGGGTCAATTCCAATTAAGGAGTTCTTCTACCATTTGCATGGCAATTCTATCCTCTTCATCCGTACCATTTTTGCGTTCATCCCCAACTGCTTGTGATAATACTGATGACAGTGACGATACCGATGATAATGACGATCCATCCTCCTCCTCCTCCTCTTCCGTCACTTGTGTTTTCTTGTTTCCAAGCTCTACTCTCATCACCCAATTCGAGCTAGAACTAGAACCGCCTCGTTTTTGCCACACTCCAATGTGAGAGCTGTCATTGTCTAGCCTTAAACAAGTTAGTGAAGCCAGTGAAGGGTCTTTGCAGCATTTCCTGAGTTTAGTATCGAGTAGCTCAGAAAGAGCCTTAGGAGGCAATGGATATTCATTGTTGTTGTTACTGTTGATGATATGATTATCCCTTGCCTCTTCCAGGTCACTCCTTGGAAAATTAGTCTTCGCATTTTGTCCATTCATCAATATAGCTGCTTGGTCATAAGCTCTTGCTGCTGCCTCTGCTGTCTCAAATGTCCCTAGCCATATCCTCCTTTTCCTACACACAAACAAAAACAGGATTCGTCATACTGATATTCTTCTCCCAAATTACAGGAAAGATCTCAGTCGAAACCAAATTAACAAAAAAAGAAAGACATCATGCAACAGAAACAGATGCCTAGCTTTATGTATATATGTTTATATACCCTTTTACTCGTATAAAACATAATGCAAGCTAAAATGTCAAAACAAACTAACAGTCAAGTGCATGCATGTCTAGAAGAAAATGCAGGGCATCTAAAAGAAAGAGACAGAGTCAGAGAGAGAGAGAGAGACAGTTCATGAGTGTATATATACATATATAAGACGAGAGATCAATATTTGTAGATGATATGTGTATTTAAGAAGAAAGATATATTTGTACATAAACATATAAATGTAATAATGTGAGTGGGTGAGCTTACAGTAAAGGGTGGCGAATTTCAGAGACCCAGGAGCCCCACTGGCGTTGCCTGACGCCTCTGAATTTCTTTGATTGTACCATAATTTTGCAGAGATGATGATAATGAATGAAGTGAAGATGATGAAAGAGTTTTTAGAGAGAGCTTAGCGAAGAAATGAAATGGAAAAAGTGGACACAGTACTAAATATGTAAGACAGATTTCGTGAATTTGTCGGTGAACTGGATAGAAAAGTCTAAAGTTGCAATAAAGATTTCACCTACACTTATAACTATAACTAAACCTTCGCCTTGGCTTCACATATAATAAACCCAATAAATAAATGATAACAAGCTCTGCCCTTCTTTCACTACCCAATTCCATCCTACCTGTTATAAAACCATCTCCTTCCCAAAATATAAGCCGATTTAAATTGTAATAAATAATTTTTTTTTTAATTTCATTATTATAATTCAAAATAATTATTTTTTTCTTCAATTCTCTTTCAAAAATATTAAATTGACTTATAATTTGGAATATAGAAAATAAAGGATAAAACTTGCATGCATATTTACACTCAGTATATGGGCCGTTCCATATGCCAAATCAACGAAAAAAGAGTTTTTTTTTTTTAAATATTTTTCTTTTTAATTTATGATCAGAAATACTATCATTTGAATCAAAACAATTTATTGTACACGTGGATACATAATTTGAAATGCATTTAAGTGATGTAACAGATTCTCGTTCTTTTTTTTTTTTTTTTTTTTATTTATTGTACACGTGGATCATAATTTGAAATGCATTTAAGTGATGTAACAGATTCTCGTTCTTTTTTTTTTTTTTTTTTTTTTTGTTATTCTTTAGTGGTGTAAATATATATATATAAAATAATAATAAATATTTATTGCCAATTCAAGAAATCTCTATTATTTTTTTATAGCATTAATTGTACTTTAAAAGCAAAAAATCCGGTCCCCCACTTCCCCGTACCAAATTTATTTCTTCTATTGCCTTTAGTGACTCCATATAATTAACTCCTAAAATTCACCTTTATTATATTAAATTAAAATAGCATTTTTTTGGGTACATACTTTACGTATTTTCCTTAATTATATTACATATATGGAAATTAAAAGTTAATATTAATTTTTAGATGGTATTTTCCTTAATTATATTATTTAATATTAGTTTAGTTTGCCTACCCATAAGAATAAATACATAGAAGAAGGTCTCTCTTTCAGTTGGAGGTTGATTGACTTGGAAAAAACCATTGATGAACAAATACATATGTTTTTTGTTTGGGGAAGAAGACGAAGTCCTCTATTTCGTCTTATAAATTAATTAATTTGTTGGACTGTCTGAAGCTTTTGGATTTATTAATGAATGTCAACCTTCTGGTTATGCATATTTATAAGGAGACTAATTTAGTGGTGCTTAATTTTTTTTTTTTTTTAGAAAATATAAATTCAGGTCAGATGTGGTTCTGCTTCTTTGCCTCATTAATCTGCACAAATTATAACCATGATCCCCTTCTTATAAATTCAGGTCAGATGTGGTTCTGCTTCTTTGCCTCATTAATCTGCACAAATTATAACCATGATCCCCTTCTCGATATGTCCTTTTCATCTTCGGTGTCACATTAGGCCCATTAGAATTTTTTCTCCGCTTTGTACATGATATGTTGGGCCCTACTTGCTTTGAAAACTTCTTTTTGTAGTGTCTTGAATCAGAAGCCCAATTCAATCTTTAGTGGATATTATGAAGCCCATTTCGTCGGAGTTATTAATAGAAGATTCGGGGCCTAAAGAGGAATGTATCTTCGATTCAAACCTTAATTATCAAGAAAAGCTTAACTTTGTCTAGGAAGGTGAGATTGAACCATAGAGATCCCTTCTGCTTTAACCAAAAGTCTTAAATTTAAGCTCTAGATATAAAGTCCTTTAAACAATCGGGAGGATGATTAAATTAAAAAAAAAAAAAAAATTCAAATTAGTCAAGCCAGTACACCTACCCGATATGAATTCAAATTAGTCATACTGGTGGATTTCAGAGTCCGAAGGGTTTCATAGAGAATATACCATTGAAATTTATAAAAAAAATTATAAAGTGGAATTACATTAGAGTGGCTTGGCACTTGAAATCCAAGGAAGCAAAGGCGGGAATTGATTCTAACTTGAACCGTATTGAGCAATATATCTCTTCCTTCATCTTCAAAATGCATGATATTCTATTTTTCTCTCTCCATATCTATAAATAATGATAAAAACTTATCTTGAATCTCTTAACAGTACACCAGATTTCTCCACAAGGTTTGTCATCGCCATCTCCAAGTATTGAATCTTACTACTGCAACTCTTTTACTTATTTCTTGAATTAGGGTTGGTGCTATATGCTAGCGAACCTTTCTTCTTGTGGTTGTTGCAATTCTTACAGGCATATTTTTACCCTTTCTGCTCCGGTGATTAATTACAAAGATTGAAAAGAATGCCACGTTTGCTTCATGGGACTCTTTTTGTGACAGTATTTGAGATTGATATAATTCAAAATGGCTGTGGATTCAATTTGTTCAGTGAGGTAAGTGCATGCGTTCTTTTTCTTTTTTTCTTTCTTTTTTTTTTCAAGAATTGAAAAATTACAAGATATATAATTTTCTTTATATTTCCATCTTGGTTCTTTTTGAGATGTAGAAAAATGAATGAGACTGTGAGACTAATCGAGATTTCAAGAATGAAATGTCACTTGATTATATGAATTGAAAAAAAAAAAATTATAAGAATCCCAAAATGCTAGATCACACGATAACAAAAGATTTTTCTTGTTGGCCTTTAATTCTGATTAGAAGTTAGTGGGTGAATAGGTGTTGCTTCCTAATAATTTTTTATCCTCTATCCTTTTTTCTTTATCTTTAGTCTAGAACAGAATATCACAATTTGAGAAATTAAATTATTGGCAATTTTTTTTATTCATCTTCTCTCTAATCACTAATACGAGAAGTAGAAGGTCTTCGGTTCGAATTTTCTCAGCCATAAAAATTTTCATTGGTTTTATCTTTATTACTTGGCCATAAATCATAAATATTATTGCAATTCATCGTGCCTCCTAATGAAATAAAAAAATAATAATTTTGTTTTTGCTTAGTTGCTTGTGATGTTTTGCTGGATCTTGTGCCGTCGAGATCCACTGCTTGTTAGTCTAAGGAAGAAAATGGGCCCATCGAGGCCCACGTTTTAGCGATGGCTTTAAGCTCAGGATAGAAAGACAAGGCATAAAGCAGCAGCAACAATAATAATAATAATAATAATAATAATAATATTTTCAAGCTATCGTCCGATTCCAAATTGCAATTTAATGTAATTATAGATTTTTTCAATCCCTTAACCCGTTTTACTTTTGTGTTTTATTTCCTTAAAATTTGGAGGGTATTGGACAGCAAAATTGTGGAAAAAGATTTCTATCCAAAATGAAAAGAATGGTGCTTTGTAGACCTGAGGTAATCCTTTCTTCTTTTCTTGCACTGAAAAATATCTTTCCACATTTACTGTGCCCATCTGATCTCAAATGTAATATTCACAGTGAAAGATGATCAACTTGTTGGGGCAACATTAATTGGCAGAGCTTATATCCCAGTTGAGGATGTCATCAAAGGGTATATCATCGACCGATGGGTCGAGATATTGGATGAACTACACAATCCCATTGGCTCCAAGATTCACGTCAAGCTGCAATATGTTAGTGTCACACAAGACACTAATTGGTCTCAAGGAATAAAAAATCCGCGATACGATGGAGTTCCTTACACATTCTTTAATCAAAGACATGGTTGTCGTGTTACTTTATATCAGGATGCTCATGTTCCTAACAATTTTATTCCCAGAATTCTCTTAGGAGGAAAAAGCTACGAAGCTCATCGATGCTGGGAAGAAATTTTTGATGCTATTAGTAATGCTAAGCATTTGATTTACATAACTGGTTGGTCTGTGTATACTGAAATAACTCTGGTAAGAGATCCTAATAGGCCTAAACCAGGAGGAGATGTAAAACTTGGAGAGTTACTGAAGAAAAAAGCTGATGAAGGTGTTACAGTTCTTGTGTTAGTTTGGGATGATAGAACTTCTGTTGAGCAACTAAAAAAGGATGGTCTGATGGCAACCCATGATCAAGAAACTGAGATCTATTTCAAGAACACAAAAGTGCATTGCGTTTTGTGCCCTCGAAATCCTGATGATGGAAGAAGCAAAGTTCAAGAATTTGAAATCTCTACTATGTTTACTCACCATCAGAAAACAGTTGTTGTTGACTGTGAAATGCCTGACAACACATCAAATAAAACAAGAATTGTCAGTTTTATTGGAGGCATTGATTTATGTGATGGAAGATATGATACACAAGATCATCCTCTATTCAAGACTTTGGACTCAATCCATCATGATGACTTTCATCAACCAAACTTTGAAGGCGCATCGATCAATAAAGGCGGTCCAAGAGAGCCTTGGCATGATATTCATTGTAAGCTAGAAGGGCCGAGCCTTGGCATGAATTCATTGTCAAAGCTAGAAAGGGCCTGTACTTGGGCATTTCTTTCCAATTTTGAACCAGAGGTGGAAAGGCAGTTGAGAAAAGTTTCTGATTCCACAATATGAACTATGAAGCAACATAATTCGCCATTGCCTGTGTTGCCAAACTGCAGACCAGAGACATGGAATGTTCAACTTTCACTTTCGTTCCATTGAGCGGTGGTTCTGTTGTTTGGCTTTCCTGAAAGGCTGAAAGATGCAGCTGCACGTTGGCCTTGTAAGTGGAAATGACCACAGTCATTGATAGAAGCATTCCAATACATGCTTTATATCACAACTGCAATTCGGCGCGGCAGAAGAATTTTATCTACAATAAAATCAGTATTATCATTGGAAGCTCAGTGTGTGATTACACATCAAAACGCATATCACCGAGATGAAGGACGACATTGGGCCTTGCATCCCTCTTAATTCCGAAGAAGCTATCCAGCTTAAAGAATAGTTAGTAAAATAGATTGCAGGAGAAAGTTTAACAGTTTACATTGTCTGATTCCAATTGTGGCCGTCGAAGGTATTCTGAGATTTGATTAGTTTCAAGCATTCTAGATTGGCAAAAGAAGAACAATCGGAGATGATGTGATTATGATTATTACTGAAGCCACTTAAAAAGGCCATGGAATTAAACGCAAATCCTAGAGAATATTTATTCATTTTTTGCCTAGGGTAAACAGATGAGACCAAAGAAGATTTGGAGAATATGCACCTCAAAACACCAGAACCAGATCTGATTATAGTCAGAGCTCAACAGCTCGTCGCTTCATGCACTATGTTTCATCGGCCAAATGATGATCGGTGAGTGATCAACCTCATATCTTACATAATCATTAACATAATCATTTCCACATTTAGTTTAATTAATATTGAACTTCCATAAAACTGAGTAAAATTAACATTTTCCTTTCATACCAAATATCGAAAATAGTTGATGATGAGTACAATTAATCATCGGATCAGCCCAACATCAACCAGAGGTCAATGGATGGGTGCAAGACGACTCAGATATCGCAATGGGAGCATCTTCAACCTCATCATCTTAGCAACAGCACACCAGCCAAGGGGTTCAAATATATGGATTTAGATTGGCCTTATGGTATGAGCACCTTGGACTCTCTTAGAACCCTTCTTTTCAATATCCCTAAAGTGAAGAATGTATTACTAGTGAAATAAGATTGCTTGATGAACCCCTTTTGGGAAATTATTCCAAGTGAAGTTTTTGATCAAGATCCTTATAGGTCACTTCTTCGTTATCCCATTGAAATCACCAACAATGGTACTGTTACAACTCTGCCAGCTTTGAGCATTCCCTGACCACCTAAAGTCGCATTCCTTGGCAACATATCTGAATTCCCTTTCCAATTCCTCACCACCTAGCTTCAGCACACACAATTGTAAATATAATTAACCAATACCAATGCAAGAAACAATTATTGAAATTTAATCATTGTCACACTTTACCAAATACATAATAATAGTAATAATAATTCTTGTAATTATTCGTTTTATTGTGGGTCTCACTATCGCTCTTATGGGTTAGGTTGCAAAATATTTCTTTTTTATTTTTTTTTGGAAAAAGGAATTTCATTTATCTTGTAATTGGACTAAATCAGCCGTTACCAGAAGCATTCATGTTTTGTTAGCAAAACAACTTTCTTTCATAAATTATATCAAGAAATTGGATGACACGGAGTGCATCTTGGGAAATAATCTTAAACCGCTAGATATGACCAACGATTCTTATTAACAGTTGGGGCCCATGATCCCTCAGTTAACCAGAACAGGTAGTCGCGTGAAGTACGACAAACAGGTGTGCCAAAAATTCCGGAATTATTTATACCTATACAGATAAACACTATGATTATAATACCAATTAACCGACTTTTTCTGGCGCAGACAAAATAAAATTTGTTTTGAGAAACAACTGCTACACAAAGAGCCTGACTTTAACTGTAAAAACTTTAAAAGGGCAGGCACACAGGAAGGCCAGATCTCTTTGGTTGAACTCAGTACAGTAGCCAAAGAGCAAATTTTTCAAAGAAGGAGAGAAGCAACCCCATAAATCTCCAACCATGCCCATTTTTTTGAGGTCTCACCTATTTTCCTTTTTTTTTTTAAAACAAAAACGAAAATTTTTCTTGCAGGACACATAACAACAACTTCTTCTATTTCTGTATTTTGCTAGTTTTTTTTGTTTTTTTTTAGTTCTGTGTCATTCGTTTTTCTCTGATTGTCACAAGAAAGATTTCAATGGAAAGGTTTTTTAACTGAAAAAGTTTGTTTATTTAATGGATTTGATCGGGTTTGTTTTGATTACTTGTGCCAGGATTGTTTAGGTCACTCCTCCCCAAAATTAGGGTTTCATCAAAATTAGGGTTTACCATTATCACATCTCTTGCGTGGCGCCTTTGTAAATTTGCATATTTTGTAAGATTTACCTCCTTCCTGGATCTGTCATTTTATTGCATGCATGGTGTTAAGCTTTTCGGTTTCTTGACTATATATCATTAATAATGAATTCTGTTTGGTTTCATGGAGAATTTTTTTTTTTATTAATTATGCTTTATCACTATAAATCAAACGCCCTATAAAAATTTATTCTTGTAATATTGTCGCTTCTAGCGTCTCCGGCATCAACTAAAAACGAAAGGATGATCCAATACTGTAGTCTTAAGTTTACTTTTACAACTTGGTTTCAGAAATCTTTTTATGTTTTTGTGCTTGCTTAATTTCTGTAAGCGAGATTGGAGTGGAAGTGAACAGAGACATGCTCTTGCTTTTTATTCTGTAATTTGTCATTTCTTCTTCAGGTGATGGTCAATCCGATATGCCCATAGATGGGACTATTATTCTTAGCATAGGATTTGTTGGTATCAGTATTCCTTGGGTGTTGTTTCTCTAACCTCAAACAGAGGGATGCTTTTAAGAAGAATCCCTGCTGTTCATTTGTATTTTTTCTGGTGCTTGTTTTCCGGTCTGCTATGTTCGTCCACCAGGAATACTTTCAGAAACAAATGCAAAGACCCTTCAAGTGTACCCGCACCTCCCTCTTGCCTCCCCCCACCATCCCACCCCTCCTCCCCTCTGGCCCTATCCCCTTTCCCTCCTCCCCCCGTTATCGTGCTACCAAGCCCCGCCCAGGATGGCTGTTCTATTTCTTTTCCTTTTCTTTTTTTTGCTGGGAATACAACGCAATTGGTTTAGCCCAGTAGTGTGTTTCCGCTTCAATGAACTTTTGTTTCAGCCTAAGCTAATTTCGGAAGCAACTATGATTACAAATGATCATAACATCACACTGAGGCGCTAATCTAATGAAATTTTAGCTTTCTTTTGGGTCAAAAATGATATATTTGAACAATTGTTCCATCTTCGTAGACCTAGTAAAGATATGAACTTTTATTTTTGTTAATGATGCAATTTATATTCCTTGGCGATGATTTGAATCCATGCTAGCTCTGTTTGTTTTAATGGATATTGGCATTGGGATAATTTTAAATGAAATACTTTTTTGGCTGCTTTAGTAGACTATCATACTTTGTAATTTTTCTTTTTGGGCCAAAGAATGTATGTGATTGCCGTGGGATTTTTTTCACTTTAACACATGCCTGCACGACTTAGAATTAAGTTTCTAGTTTGCCACTTTCTCTTTTTTCTTGGATATTTTTTCCTCCTTTTTTTCTGGTGGCGGATTTTTTCTGGTGGAGGACCCACCAGGACGTATAGCTTAACAAACGAAACTGTGTTTCAATATGAGAATGCTTGATTTTATTCTTCTAGCACACTTTTTTTAATTTGTGGAACCTTTTCAGTCTTCAATCAAGCTGCTATAGCTGAAATGAGGTTTAATTTGTTGATCACTGGTGGTAATCATGTTTATGGTGAAACCTGATTTGTAACAGAGCAGAGGTTGTTTTGGATGCTGTGCTAAACCTTCTACAATTAACGCGGTTGATCAATCATCAAAGGGACTGAGAATTAAAGACGAAAGAGCAAAGCAACACAGCATACCCGACGATTTTTGGAGTTCCATAAGAATAAATACATAGAAGAAAGTCTCTCTTTCAGTTGGAAGTTGATTGACTTGAAAAAAACCATTGATGAACAAATACATATGTTTTTTGTTTGGAGAAGAAGACTAAGTCCTCTATTTCGTCTTTTAAATTAATTAATTTGTTGGACTGTCTGAAGCTTTTGGATTTATTAATGAATGTCAACCTTCTGGTTATGCATATTTATAAGGAGACTAATTTAGTGGTGCTTAATTTTTTTTTTTTTTAGAAAATATAAATTCAGGTCAGATGTGGTTCTGCTTCTTTGCCTCATTAATCTGCACAAATTATAACCATGATCCCCTTCTTCATTAATCTGCACAAATTATAACCATGATCCCCTTCTTGATATGTCCTTTTCATCTTCGGTGTCACCTTAAGCCCATTAGAATTTTTTCTCCATTTCGTACATGATATGCTGGGCCCAACTTGCTTCGAAAACTTCTTTTTGTAGTGTCTTGAATCAGAAGCCCAATTCAATCTTTAGTGGATATTATGAAGCCCATTTAGTCGGAGTTATTAATAGAAGATTCAGGGCCTAAAGAGGAATATATCTTCGATTCAAACCTTAATTATCAAGAAAAACTTAACTCTATACCGAAAGGTGAGATGAAATAACAGAGATTCTTTCTCCTTTAACCAAAAGTCTTATGTTTAAGCTCTATGTATAGAGTCCGAGATTCCTTCTCCTTTAACCAAAAGTCTTAAGTTTAAGCTCTATGTATAGAGTCCTTTAAACAATCGGGAGGATGATTAAATTAAAAAAAATAATTCAAATTAGTCAAGCCAGTGCACCTACCCGATATGAATTCAAATTGTGGATTTCAGAGACCGGAGAGTTCCATAAAGAATATTCCATTGAAATTCATAACAAAACTATAAAGTGGAATTACATTACAATGGCTTGACACTTGAAATCCAAGGAAGCAAAGGCGGGAATTGATTCTAACTTGAACCCTATTGAGAAATATATCTCTTCCTTCATCTTCAAAATGCATGATATTCTATTTTTCTCTCTCCATATCTATAAATAATGATAAAAACTTATCTTGAATCTCTTAACAGTACACCAGATTTCTCCACAAGGTTTGTCATCGCCATCTCCAAGTATTGAATCTTACTACTGCAACTCTTTTACTTATTTCTTGAATTAGGGTTGGTGCTATATGCTAGCGAACCTTTCTTCTTGTGGATGTTGCAATTCTTACAGGCATATTTTTACCCCTTTCTGCTCCGGTGATTAATTACAAAGCTAGCGAACCTTTCTTCTTGTGGTTGTTGCAATTCTTACAGGCATATTTTTACCCTTTCTGCTCCGGTGATTAATTACAAAGATTGAAAAGAATGCCACGTTTGCTTCATGGGACTCTTTTTGTGACAGTATTTGAGATTGATATAATTCAAAATGGCTGTGGATTCAATTTGTTCAGTGAGGTAAGTGCATGCGTTCTTTTTCTTTTTTTCTTTCTTTTTTTTTTCAAGAATTGAAAAATTACAAGATATATAATTTTCTTTATATTTCCATCTTGGTTCTTTTTGAGATGTAGAAAAATGAATGAGACTGTGAGACTAATCGAGATTTCAAGAATGAAATGTCACTTGATTATATGAATTGAAAAAAAAAAAATTATAAGAATCCCAAAATGCTAGATCACACGATAACAAAAGATTTTTCTTGTTGGCCTTTAATTCTGATTAGAAGTTAGTGGGTGAATAGGTGTTGCTTCCTAATAATTTTTTATCCTCTATCCTTTTTTCTTTATCTTTAGTCTAGAACAGAATATCACAATTTGAGAAATTAAATTATTGGCAATTTTTTTTATTCATCTTCTCTCTAATCACTAATACGAGAAGTAGAAGGTCTTCGGTTCGAATTTTCTCAGCCATAAAAATTTTCATTGGTTTTATCTTTATTACTTGGCCATAAATCATAAATATTATTGCAATTCATCGTGCCTCCTAATGAAATAAAAAAATAATAATTTTGTTTTTGCTTAGTTGCTTGTGATGTTTTGCTGGATCTTGTGCCGTCGAGATCCACTGCTTGTTAGTCTAAGGAAGAAAATGGGCCCATCGAGGCCCACGTTTTAGCGATGGCTTTAAGCTCAGGATAGAAAGACAAGGCATAAAGCAGCAGCAACAATAATAATAATAATAATAATAATAATAATATTTTCAAGCTATCGTCCGATTCCAAATTGCAATTTAATGTAATTATAGATTTTTTCAATCCCTTAACCCGTTTTACTTTTGTGTTTTATTTCCTTAAAATTTGGAGGGTATTGGACAGCAAAATTGTGGAAAAAGATTTCTATCCAAAATGAAAAGAATGGTGCTTTGTAGACCTGAGGTAATCCTTTCTTCTTTTCTTGCACTGAAAAATAAGGTAATCCTTTCTTCTTTTCTTGCACTGAAAAATATCTCTCATAAACAATTTTTTTCTTCTTCCAATGTGACAATTATCATTAAATTTGTTTTCCAGATAGTTTGTTCTAAACTGTATGCAACAGTTGATCTTGACAAGGCAAGAGTTGGAAGAACAAGAATGATAACAAATCAACCTTATAACCCCCAATGGTTCGAGTCTTTCCACATATACTGTGCCCATCTGATCTCAAATGTAATATTCACAGTGAAAGATGATCAACTTGCTGGGGCAACATTAATTGGCAGAGCTTATATCCCAGTTGAAGATGTCATCAAAGGGTATATAATAGACCGATGGGTCGAGATATTGGATGAACTACACAATCCCATTGGCTCCAAGATTCACGTCAAGCTGCAATATTTTAGTGCCACACAAGACACTAATTGGTCTCAAGGAATAAAAAATCCGCGATACGATGGAGTTCCTTACACATTCTTTAATCAAAGACATGGTTGTCGTGTTACTTTATATCAGGATGCTCATGTTCCTAACAGTTTCATTCCCAGAATTCTCTTAGGAGGAAAAAGCTACGAAGCTCATCGATGCTGGGAAGAAATTTTTGATGCTATTAGTAATGCTAAGCATTTGATTTACATAACTGGTTGGTCTGTGAATACTGAAATAACTCTGGTAAGAGATCCTTATAGGCCTAAACCAGGAGGAGAGGTCAAACTTGGAGAGTTACTGAAGAAAAAAGCTGATGAAGGTGTTACAGTTCTTGTGTTAGTTTGGAAAGATAGAACTTCTGTTAAGCACCTAAAAAAGGATGGTCTGATGGCAACCCATGGTCAAGAAACTAAGATCTATTTCAAGAACACAAAAGTGCATTGCGTTTTGCGCCCTCGAAATCCTGATGATGGAAGAAGCAAAGTTCAAGGATTTGCAATCTCTACTATGTTTACTCACCATCAGAAAACAGTTGTTGTTGACTGTGAAATGCCTGACGACACATCGAATAAAAGAAGAATTGTCAGTTTTATTGGAGGCATTGATTTATGTGATGGAAGATATGATACACAAGATCATCCTCTATTCAAGACTTTGAACTCAATCCATCATGATGACTTTCATCAACGAAACTTTGAAGGCGCATCGATCAATAAAGGCGGTCCAAGAGAGCCTTGGCATGATATTCATTGTAAGCTAGAAGGGCCGCGGGGTCCAAGAGAGCCTTGGCATGATTAGATTCATTGTAAGCTAGAAGGGCCCGTAGGCTTGGGATGTTGCTTATACAATTTTGAAACAGAGGTGGAAAAAGCAAGTTGGGAAAAGTTTTCTAGAGTTCCACAATATGACTTGGAAGCAAAACGATAATTCGGCTATTGCCTGTGTTTGGCAATCTGCAGACACAAGAGACATGGAATGTTCAAATTATTTCGTTCTATTATGGTGTGGCTGTTGTTGGCTTTCCTGAAAGGCTGAAGATGCACTGCAGTTGGCTTGTAAAGTGGAAAAGACAACATCACATTGATAGAAGCATTCAAAGATGCCTTATATAGATGGCAATTCGGGCGGGCAAAGAATTTTATCTACATAGAAAATCAGTCATTTTCATTGGAAGCCATTTTTGATTGGAAATCAAAAGATATAAGAGATGAAGGACAATCAATGCCCTTGCATCTTAATTCGGCGAAAGAGCTATCATTAAATAGTTAGTAAAAATAGATGCAGGAGAAAGGTTTACGCAGTTTACCATTGTGATATCCAATGTTGGCCTGAAGGTATTCCTTGAGAGTGAATTCAGTTCAAGCAATTCTAGATTGGGCAAAGAAGAACATGGAGAATGATGGTATTATGATATTACATGAAGCACTTAAAGGAATGGATTAAAGCAAAAATCCTAAGAGAAATATTTTAATCAATTTTTTTGCCTAGGTAAGCAGAGAGACAAAGAAAGATTGGGAATTGCAACTCCAAGAAACAGACAGAACCTGATTTCTGGAATTAAATAGTAGAGCTCAACAGGCTCGTCGCTTCATGATCTATGTTCATGCCAAAATGATGAATCGGAGTGAGTGATGCACAACTCATTTTTACATAAAATTCAATAACATAATCATTTCAAATTAGTTTAAATTATATGAATTCCATAAAAACTGAGTAAAAATTAACCATTTTCTTTCCATAACCAATAATGAATAGTTGGATGATGAGACATTAATCATCGGGAATCAGCCAACCATCACCAGAAGGTCAATGGATGGTGCAAGAGACCTCAGAGATGCAAATGGGAGCAATTTCAACCTCATCATCTAGCAACAAGCACAAGCCAAGCAAGGGGTAAAATATATGGATTTTAGATTGGCATTATCGGGTATGAGCACCTTGGACTCTATGAACCCTCTTTTTCAATATACTGAAAGTTGAAGAATGTATTTCAACTAGTGAATAAGATTGCTGATGAAACTTTGGGAAAGTTATTTCAAGGTGAAGTTTTTGATCAAGATGCTTATAGGTCACCTTCTTCGTTAATCGCCATTGAAATCACCACAAATGGTAGACTATGTTACAATCTGCCAGGATTTGAGGCATTTCCCTGACACCAAGGCTCGCATTCTCTGGCAACAAATATCTGAAATTCCTTCTCCAATTCTCACCACCTAGCTTCAGGCAAACACATTGTATGAATAATTAACCATTACCAAACTGCAAGAACAATTAATTGAATTTAAATATCTGGTCACACTTTACCAAAATACATTAAATTATAAGTAATAATAATCTTTGTATTATTTGTTTTTATGTGGGTCTCACTATCGCTCTTATGGGTTAGGTTGCAAATATTTCTTATTTTATTTTTTGGAAAAAGGAATTTCATTTACTTGTATTGGACTAAATCAGACCGTACCAGAAAGCATTCATGTTTCTGTTTAGCAAACAACTTTTCATAAATTTATCTCAAGAAATAGGATAAAACGGAAGTGAATCTTGGAAATAATCTTAACCGTAAGATATGACCAATCGATCTGTATTTTAACGAATTGGGACCTCATGATGTCCTCAGTTTAACAAGACAAGGTAGTCGTAAATGGTGATTGATTACAGGTGTGCCAAACATTATAGGCATTCATTTAACTTATACAGATCAACAACGTAGATAATTCATAGATACCCTTAATTTCACTCTAAGGAGGATTCTGTGACATAATTTTGCTGGGCAGCAAAATAACATTTGTTTTGAGAAACACAGCTGCAAGCAACAAAGAACTGGGACTGGTGGTGACTGCTAAAAAACTTTAAAAGGGTATGGCACATTTTTCAGCGAGAAGAGGAAAGAGCTACTTAGGGTGAAACTCCAGTAACAGTAAGTCCAAAAGAAGATAACTTTTTCAATCCAAGGCAAATGCGAGAGAAAAACGCCATTAATTTCTTCAATCGAAGGTGTCTCACCGTATTTTTCCCTTTGCCTTATTTTTTTTGAGAGTACATCAAAAAACACTAACAAGTATTTTATCAACTTTTTTTCTTTTTTGGTAACAAAGAAAAAGAAGAAAAATTCACAATTTACTGTTCAAATGTGAATCACTAATCAAGAACTTATTCCTATTATGTATTTTTCTTGTAGTTTTGTTGTTTCTTATGTTTTAATGTTTTTTTTTCTGTTGGGTTCTATTCTTTTTTATAGTTTCTCTTGAATGTCCAATTTTCATTCATGTTCCTCTGATTGTCCAGCACTGGCGAAGAAGATTTCAATGGAAGGTTTTTAAACTGAAAAGAGTTTGTTTTAAGTTTAAATTGGATTTTGAATGTGGGTTGTTTTGATTACTGTGGCAGGATTGTTAGTCTATCCTCCCTAAAAATTAGGGTTTCAATTATCAAACATTCTTCTTTAGGCGTGGCGCTCTGTAAAATCGCATGATTGTAGATTTTACATCCTTCCTGGACTGTCATTTTAATTGCATGCATGGGGTAAGCTTTTTTCGGTTTCTTGAAACTATATACTCATTAATGAATTCTGTTTGGTTCTGGGAAGAAATTTTTTTTTTTTATATTATGCCTTTAATCACATAAAGATCAAACGCCTATAAAAATTTATCTTTGTAATATTGTCCTTTAGCTCTCGGATCACTAAAACAGAAGGGATGATCAATAACTGTAGTCAAAAGTTACTTTTTACAACTTGGTTTAAGAATCTTTTTATGTTTTTGTGTTGCTTATTCTGTAAGCGAGATTGATGGAGTGGAACAGAGAAACATGCTCTGCTTATTTATTCTGTATTTGTTCATTCCTTTCCTTCAAGGTATGGTCAATCGCGTATGCCATAAAGATTGGGCTATTAATTCTTTAGCATAGGATTTTGTTGGTAACATGTATTTCTTGGTGTTGTTTCTCTACCCAAACAGAAGGGATGCTTTAAGAAGAATCCTGCTGTTCATTTGTATTGTTTTTCTGGTGCTTGTTTTCCGGTCTGCTCATGTTTCGTTCAACCATGGAATCACTTCAGACAAATGGCAAAGACCTTTCCTAGTGTACGGAAATTTTGTCCATTTCTTTGTCTTTTTTTAAGTATGTGCCAAGAGAGGATGGCTGTTTCTTTTCTTTTCTTCTCTTTTTTGCTGAATACAACGCCATTGTTTAGCAGTAGTGTTGTTTCCTGGCTTCAATTGCTTTGTTTCAGCTAAGGCTAATTTGGAGCATACCTATGATACAAATATCTACATGCCACACTGAGACAGCTATCTATGAAATTTTAGCTTTTCTGTGGGTCAAAAAAATGATATATTGAATGCAATTTGGTTCCAAGTCCTTCGTAGACCTAGTGATAATAAACTTTTAATATTGATGAATGAAATTTATATCCACTTGCGATGATTTTGGTCCTGCTAAGCTCTGTTGTTTAATGGATATTGGCATTGGGAGATATTTTGATGAAATATTTTTTTTTGGCCTTGGCCTTGTAGACTATCATAGCTTTGTAATTTTCTTTTTGGGCCAAAGAAAATGTGAAATGTGATGCGTTGGGATTTTTTTCAACTTTAACAACACGCGTGTTGCTGCAAAGACTAGAAAATTAGTTTTTCTAGTTTGCCACTTTCTCTTTTCTTGATATTTTCTCCTTTTTTTCTGGTGAAGGACCAACCAGGACGTAATAGCTTAACAAACGAAACTGTGTTTTTTTTCTGGTGGAGGACCCACCAGGACGTATAGCTTAACAAACGAAACTGTGTTTCAATATGAGAATGCTTGATTTTATTCTTCTAGCACACTTTTTTTAATTTGTGGAACCTTGTCAGTCTTCAATCAAGCTGCTATAGCTGAAATGAGGTTTAATTTGTTGATCACTGGTGGTAATCATGTTTATGGTGAAACCTGATTTGTAACAGAGCAGAGGTTGTTTTGGATGCTGTGCTAAACCTTCTACAATTAACGCGGTTGATCAATCATCAAAGGGACTGAGAATTAAAGACGAAAGAGCAAAGCAACACAGCATACCCGACGATTTTTGGAGTTCCAGTGCAGGTGACATGGACTATAGTGGAGTACAATCCCAAAGAAGTGCTTCATCAATCAGCGCCTTGAATCAGCCCTTTGATCCCTCTGCTAATGCTGGCAGCACAAGCAATCCTTCTGAATTTGTAAACTATGGCAAGTTCTTATCTGCTAACTTCTTTGATGCATTACTTTCTCTGAACTCTAAATTCTTCATTTATCCATTCTAATCGTTCCCTTTCTTCGCAAATCTGACAGTGCCCTTAGTTATTCAAGTCTGCACTCTCAATTAGACCGTGTTAGTTCATCTCTCTTAGGACATTGATTCCCTCTACTTGCCTGTTAGTGTTCAGGATTATATTACTTTGTCTTTTTCAGTGCTAAGTATTATGCATTTCTTTTACTTTTTCACTTTCTCTCCTTGCTTTGCTGATGCATGCATGAAATGGCTTTTAATGATTAAAACTTTGTTGAATGCACAGGTCTTCTTCTCTGGAAGCAAACAAGGCAGCAGTGGCTTGCAAATAAAAGGTCTCCAAACAAGAAACAAGTTCGAGAACCCACTATAAGGTGAAATATCCTTTTCCCCTTCAGTTGGCAATGTGGTCTTGAGGCGCTTTAAGCATTTCCACTTATGAATTATATTATACTTTTTTTTATCTTTAGGCTTTGCAGTAAAACTTTGAGTTTATCACAAAACCTGCAGTGCAATTTTTTGTCCTATTGATATATCCACCTTTTTCCTAAAATTATACCTGCCCACCACTTTTATGCTGCATTTACCTCTTGTTTTTCTGTTTTGGTTTCCAAATATAGTATGTTTGAAGTTTAGTTTTTATGCTTGAAGTTTAATTTTTCTTCTTTCAAACTGCCCTCAAACCGTAAAATCGAAGCAAACCCCATCCGTAGTTTGGTTGGTTTGAGTGCCTTTCATGATTTGTTTTGGTCTTGATTTTTTGTAAATAGCAATTGTACGTTTGGTTTATGTAAAGCTTTCAAACTGAATCAAATTGAACCCTGAACTCTCCCATAACAATTTGTTCTATAGCAAAATATTGTTATTTGCAATTTTGCTCTGACAATTTTTGTCAGCGTTTTTTAACATTTCTTTGAGCTGCTAAGTTTTGCAGGTGGAATGCCACTTATGAGAACTTACTAGGGTCAAACAAGCCTTTCCCCAGACCTATCCCTCTTGCTGTAAGTTTCTTGCTGCCCATTTTAGTGTAGTATTATGAGTTCAAAGCCAGCTCCTTCATTTTCCTACTTCTTCTGGGATGTGAATGGCAGGAAATGGTGGATTTTCTGGTTGATGTTTGGGAACAGGAGGGTTTGTATGACTGAACAGCTGGAAATCCTACAAGTCCTCTATCCTTCCTCCAGTGTCTCAACTCTCATTCAGTCTTTTGGTACTGAATAGAGTTTATACTAATGTTTAATTATTTGTACTATCCTGGTGATTCTATAGCCTTTCTTTACCTCCTTTTAGGTCTTTTGCATGAGCGGAAAATTGTAACTCTTTCTTTTACCCTTTTTCTGTATGCTTGCTGTTCTATCTGAATACTAATATTTGCCTGAATAGAGTTGCTTAGCAAGTTATCAACTTACTTGGATTTTGTCTCCAATTTCCATGCATTTTACAAGCATAAGACTTGCAAATTCAAGGAAAATATTTATATATATTGTAAATAATCTACTCCATTTAAAAAAAAAAAAGAATAAATATTAAGATTTGATTCTAATAAATACAAATAGTTAATGAAGAATAAGGCTGCTCAGACTGAAAAGACCAGATAAAGAAAAATTATTATTTAATTTAGGAAAATTATTTTTGAATAAAAATACTGTGACAGTGAATAATTGATGACTCAAAAGCTTAAAGGAAACGAGTGATTTGAATTTAGATGGAATCTGGAATATGAAGAAATGGGAATTGATTGCCTCCATTCCATATATTGGCATAGCCTCGTAACTGGACCTTAGGCATGGGCCATGTGATTATTAGGCTGTGACCATGTGTTTCGCATGTTTTATTATATGCCCATTTTGGACCATCTACCCATCAACTTTTACATTATAATTTACAAATTTTGTTTACATAAAAACCCTAAAAAAACATATTTTTCGAAAATAGTAAAATGGCAATGGGTGGTGATAGCTGAAAGTGAAATGTGAAAGCGTGTTTCTTTTTTCAATGGTCTGCTTCAAACACATATAAATAAATAAATAATAAAAACACAGAACCATTGAATTGGAAAGGAATCATCAAGTGGGTGTGGGGTAGTCTTTATTAATTGAAAAATGATGGATGCTGATAAGCAAGAAAGAAGCACAAAGGCTCCTCATTTCTATCAAGTTGGGTGTGGGGGTAGTCTTTATTAAATTGAAGGAATCATCAAGTGGGTGTGGGGTAGTCTTTATTAATTGAAAAATGATGGATGCTGATAAGCAAGAAAGAAGCACAAAGGCTCCTCATTTCTCTTTCTCTTTCTCACTATGCGCCCAACAATATCACAGCTGAGACTTTTAAATGTTTTCTCTTCCTTTTTATTTATTTTTATTTATTTATTTATTTATTTATATGCTAATTTGCTTATTTATGTAGTTGCATATACCTACTACGTCGTATCATTCTCATTATGCTACCTTATTTACTATTGTCTCCCTCTACGCGTAAAAGTAGCTATTATTATTGTACAGAATCATTCTAATAATACAACCAATAAATATTTTTTCTATTATTCATTTTTCCCAATTCTAATATTATAAAATAGCTCTCTTTGTCATAATTATTTGATTTTCTTTTGAAAAAAAAATGAGGATAAATAAAATTATAATATTTTTTCTTTAACTTTTTTTTTAATGCTTCGAACTAAAATAAATAAATAAATAAATAAATAAAGGGGGCGATATCAAAATCAAAGAGGAAGACCGCTTCAAGGGTTACCATGTAAGACTTTGTCTTAGAAAAATCCATTTCTGAAAATGAAAATAAAAATAAAACAAAAAGGTACACAAAAAAGTCCATGGATGTACGAAGAGTTCCTCTTAGGCAAATCAAATGTCAAAGTATCAAAAGATTTTTTTTAATTTATTTTTTTAAAGAAAAATCCTAAATATTTAAAAGCAGAGCAAAATGATTCAAATATAATAAGTATTGGACCATGTCAAATCAACTGGATTAATTATATCTAATTAGATTATTTATTTAATTAATTAGTGAAAAGTAACAATCAATATAATAAAACCAATTAATGCGTAGAGGCAAGTGGGCATTTTAGAAATAGAATATAGTCAAATGGAGCAGTTATCATATGTGCTTGTGCTTATGCATGCATTTGCAATTGGTGAGCTGTTTGCATCAATTTCTAGGATCTTTTTAATTTTAAATTTACTATTGGGCTCATGGATATCATGGGATTAATTCACATAATATAATTATTATATTTATAAACTTGATGCTTTAAATATATAACTTGATGCTTTTAAATATATATATGATATATATAGTATATATATATAATTTTTCAAAAAAAAAAAAAAAAAAAGAGTTAAAGAGATATATGTAAAAAAAAAAAAAAAAAAAAGAAGTTAAATATATGTCACAGTAGTCTGGTCAAGAGAATCTGGTCTGGGCTGTAGAATTCCCCCCAAAAAGGCTTCCCACCCAATTGGGATTTCAGAATTTGACTAATTTGCAAAATTAATCATTTTCTTTTTTAATGGGCTGCTTATTTAATTAGGTTAAAATATTGATTAGGTTAGGTAGAAAATCAATTGTAATTTGATTTTTTTTTTCTCAGTACCTAAATTAACACCTAACCTTTTCAAGAAAATTCTAATGGTACCATTAATTTTTAAATTTACTCCGATTATTGAAATTATATTTATTAAATACAATAAATTTTTAAAATTGCATTCATTGAACATAATTTAAATAATTTTCAATTACTGAATAAATATTTAATAAGTATATAATTTTACATAATTTTTTTGACACAAAATGATGATTTCAATCTTTTTAATCGATAGATCATTTGATAAATATTTTTTTAAAATTAAAATGTTTAATATATATGATTCAATAAGTATAAGCATTCGATGGATCTAATTCTATAATTTTAATTCAATAGAAAAAATTTTTTATTTAAAAAAAAAGTAAAAATTAAGGATGCAGTTAAATTTTTTTTATACAGTTTATGTGTAGCTGAGTCTTCTTTTTTTTTTTTTTTTTTTTTTTTTTTTTTTTTTTTTTTAATTTTTTTTTTTTTTTTTTTTTTTTAAATGCATCTAAATCCATCCGATGACCACCACTTGCTGCTAAAAACATTAGTATATATATGTTAATATTCGTAATTGAGAAATTAATATATGTAGAGCGTTGTTTATTATTGTGGTTGGCTATTATTTTAATAGTAGTCCAATGTAACATGCGGCATGCCTGGATTCTGATTCTATTATATATATATATTCCTATATACATGCACAACTGGATCGATGATCTCTCTGTTAATGCTCCTTTTAATATATAAAATTAATTAATCAGATTTGATTATACACATTTTGGCAAGTTGATAATATATTGATATATGAGAGCACATGCATAATCAAATTTTAAAAAAATCCAATTGATTTTATATATAAATTCCAATTAAAGATAATTTCCATTTATCAGTATAAATATTAAGGTGGCACCGGCACAAATGTAGATACCAAATATAACATGAGATGGACGCGAAATACGGCAATTTAAATCAATAATATGTTAAAAATATATTTTAAAAATGTTTTCAAAGTGTTGTTAAAAATAAAAAAATAAAAAATAAAACACATTTTTTGGAATATTTAATATGCATCTAAGCTGGTTTAGAAAATATTCGTATTTGATATGAGCAGGACAAGGATAGTACATTTTCAAAATTGGATACTTAGTAGTATATAACAATGATGCTATGTTTGAAAAGAGATACGGAATAAAATAAGAGTGTAAAATGATATTATTCGTGGTAATCATGTAGTGGTTTGATTGATTTTATTACTAATATGAAAAATAGAGAGTCTTAAGTTTAAGATATTTCGACCACAATTGTTTTTACTAATTCGGTAAGTAAAGAAAAGAGTTACTCTATTGTGTAGCTGCAGTATTATTTCCTATAAAATCCTTTGATAAATTTTAAAAAATAATACTATTCATTTTCTTTAAAAAATAATGTGAAAATTAAGTTAGAAAGATATAAAATAAATTTAAAAATTTTAAAAATTCTAAGGCATTTTCAATATTTTACATCCATTTATATTTTACCTCCACCGAATTGCCCAAATTGCTGGGGAAGAGGAGAGCCATTTAATTTAAGGACGGTGTACCTATACAGAAACAAAAGAATAAGTTATTATCAGCTGTCCTTTTATTATAAAATATTTATATGATGTAGGATGACATTGGAACATAATATTCACCGTATTTCCCCATTTTTTCTTGGAAACCATTTTAACTAATTAAATAATTATTTTGTTCGTAACTTTATCATAATTATAATTTGATAATATATTAATTAATTTTTGAAATTTAATTTTAATTACTTAATTTTTTATTAAAAAAGGAATATTTTAATGATTTACTTATGATATAAAAATTAATTAATTATTTACTGTTTAGTCCTTATATAACAGTAAAAATAATATTTTCTGGATGAAAAATTATTTAACTTTTGGGATTAGGTTAGTTATTGTGTTTAATAAATAAGAGGGATGAAGTTATATTAATTTTGGGCAGCCCTAATACAGTCAAAAATTAACCATAACACAAGAAACAAACAAGCCTAAACGTAACATCGCAACCAAACAACCATACAAGAGCAAAGAGGAAACCGAAACCACTAAATGGTTTCCGGTATTAAATCTGGTGCGGGTGGGAGAATATAACAAAGAAACCCCACTTCTTTATTCAGATACATTGCATTTGAGCAATCATTGCGTGTATTGTCATGTACCCAAACCACACTCCACTTGCAATAAAGCTTCTGACCACCTCAGCTCACCTCTGTCATTCATTTTCTCTATCTTCTTTCCTCTCTTCCTCTCTCTCTCCTTTGCTCCTTTTTTTGCCCTATCTGATAGGGTTTCCATGTTCTTCGAGCTCTAATCTCTCTCATGCATTCGTGTTCTCAAGCTCTATACCGTGGTTTGATAGCCTTTATTGTGGTTGCGTTTCTCTTTTTTGCTCTCTTTGGAGGGTTTCTTGTTGCTAAAAGGTGCGGATTTCACCTCCCGGAGTTTTTTGAGCTGTTCCCATGTCTAAGCTCTTTGGATTCGCTGGTAAGCTTTGGAATATTTTAGATATAGCTTATTTTTGTGAAATTTTAGCTGATATGTCCGCTTTTCCAGCTCTTTTGGTAGATCGGATATGTGGTTTCTTATTTTTGAGATCTTTTTTGCTGTTACTATATGGGTTTCCTGTTTTTCGGGATTAGGAGCCGTGATTGTTTGCTTTTATGTGTATTATGAGGATTGTGTTCGCTATTTGTTGCTTTGAAAGCTTTAGAGCTCAGATTTATGCGATACCATGACGTAGATCGTACGTGGGATCTTAAATATTTGTTGATTGAATGATTTTTCTTTGTAGATCAGGTTTGTTAAAAAATTAAATCGATATCGTTTCTTGGATATTATGGAAAGGTTGAGCCTGATGATTAATTGTTAAATACTTAATAATTTGCCACGATATCTCTAGGTTTTTTCTTATGGTAGATCCTAACTGGAAAAATTGGAGATCAGCATCTCTGATTGGTAATTATAGAATTCATAATATTGTCTACCGTAACTGGCTTTGGAAGTGTAGATGTCCAATATCTCCACTTGGATTCAGAAGATGATAATCTTAGTCCTCCAGATCTATGCGGTTGACAGTTGATGCAAGTTGTAATTAACAACTGCTTTTGACCATGTTGGTTTATTTTGACTTGCCAATCCAGAAGCTAGAAGCACATTAAGTTTCTGTAATTTCTCTTCGTTTTAGATAAGCAAGGGTTTGCTCGTGTAGTAGCAGGAAGAAAGATATTAATTGTATTATTAGAACTTCTTATTGCATATCTATTAGAATATTGAGGCTAATTTTATATCAAATTTAGTTGATCTGTAGATTTTGTTTCTTGAATTGATCGGAGATGTTTTTCTCTTTGGTTTATCAGGAGATGATGATTTTTGCCCGGGGGGCCCAATATACGCAAACCCGAAGGAGGCAAGCCTACTTTTGTCCCTTGGTCGCCATGTGGATGTGTATTTTCCTTCTCGCAAGAGGTCTCGCATCAGTGCTCCATTTGTTCTTGTTGGAGAGAGGTTTGAGCAGAAAAAGCAGGCATCTATTGAAGTTCTGCCAGATGAGTGTCTCTTTGAAATCTTCAGGCGTTTGCCTGGAGGGGAGGAACGAAGTGCCTGTGCTTGTGTTTCAAAGCGCTGGCTTGCTCTTTTGAGCAATATGTCCAGGGATGAACTTTGCAGCAAGAAAACTACCCAGTTGTTGAATGAATCAGCTGAAAAGAATGGTGAGGCTGAAGATCTGGAAATTGAGGATGATGGATATCTGTCCAGGAGCTTGGAGGGGAAGAAGGCCACAGATATTGGACTTGCAGCTATTGCGGTGGGAACTTCTAGTCGGGGAGGTTTGGGCAAACTTTCTATCCGTGGGAGCCGTGGGGTAACAAGTGTAGGCCTGAGAGCAATTGCCCGTGGTTGCCCTTCTTTGAGGGCTCTTTCCTTGTGGAATTTGCCTTCTGTTGGCAATGAAGGTCTATTCGAGATTGCTAATGGCTGCCACATGCTAGAGAAGCTCGATCTTTGTGGGTGTCCTGCAATTTCTGACAAGGGTCTGCTTGCAATTGCGAAGAGTTGTCCTAATTTGACTGAGTTAACCATAGAATCTTGTGCAAATATTGGGAATGATGGTCTGCAAGCCATTGGCCAATGTTGCAACAATCTGAAATCCATCTCAATCAAGGACTGCCCAGTTGTTGGGGATCAAGGAATTGCAAGTCTGGTATCTTCAGCCACATGTGTGCTGGCAAAGTTGAAGCTCCAGTCTTTGAACATTACTGATGTATCTTTAGCTGTTATTGGACACTATGGTAAGGCAGTTACTGATCTTGTCATCACCAACCTCCCAAATGTGACTGAGAGGGGCTTTTGGGTCATGGGTAATGGTCATGGCTTGCAGAAGTTGAAGTCGTTTGCAGTTACATCATGCCGAGGGGTGACAGATGCTGGGATTGAAGCTATGGGGAAGGGTTGCCCAAACTTAAGGCACTTTTGCCTTCGGAAATGCGTATTCTTATCCGACAATGGACTGGTCTCATTTGTAAAAGCTGCACAATCACTGGAGGTCCTGCAGTTGGAGGAGTGCCACAGGATCGCCCAACTTGGGTTTTTTGGTTCCCTTTTGAACTCTGGTTCAAAATTGAAGGCCCTTTCTTTGGTAAACTGCATGGGCATTAGAGAACTAAATCTGCGATTACCTCAGGTGCCTCCTTGCAATTCCCTGCGTTCATTGTCCATCCGTAACTGCCCAGGTTTCGGTGATGGCGGCTTGGCTCTGTTGGGTAAGTTGTGCCCCCAATTGCAGAATTTGGAATTGAGTGGACTTCACGGAGTGACTGATGCTGGGTTTATCCCATTGCTGGAGAACTGTGAGGCTGGTTTGGTGAAGGTTAATCTTAGTGGCTGTGTGAATTTAACTGACAAAGTGGTTTCAGCATTGACTGAGCAGCATGGTTGGACTCTTGAGGTTCTGAATCTTGATGGATGTGGAAAAATTACTGATGAAAGTTTGACTGCAATTGCTGAGAACTGCTTAATGCTCAGTGATCTTGATGTCTCGAAATGTGCTATCTCAGATTCTGGGCTCATGGTTCTGGCTCGTTCAAACCAGCTCAATTTGCAGATCTTTTCGGTTGCAGGTTGCTCTATGATATCAGATAAGAGCTTACCTGCCATTGTAAAAATGGGTCATACTCTTTTAGGGTTGAATATTCAGCACTGCAATGCCATTAGCAGCAGCACTGTTGACCTTCTCGTGGAGCGTTTGTGGAGGTGTGATATCCTTTCTTAAGTGAGGAAGGATGTCAAAGGAGATCCCTTTTCAGAAATAGGATGGCAGATAATGCGTGATTCAAAGTAATTAGCCTCAGGCTCTAGTCAGTTTTTTCAAGTAGCAGCAGCTTGTGTAGTTTTTGGGTCCATCAGCTATGGGTCTTTTCTTTGTCTTCCAGTGCTCATTTCCCTTTTCCTGGGATTGTGGCCATCTACCCCACTTTTTTCACAGGTTTGGAAACCTGTTGTTTTAGCTCCAAAAATTGACAGGAGTGTAGCTTTTATGGTGGCCATAACTCCCTGAGAATACAGTTAAACTGGGTGCTGGACTTTCAGATTTTAATTGTTTCCTGTTTCAGGGTTTTGACATTGGGTATTTTAGCTTATCCTTGCATATGGGTGAAAGCTTTACGAGACCTACCAATGTCTAAGTCTGTCCATTGTGAGTCTTTCATGTTTTTGTAATCATGTATTGGACGTGATGGTTGGGTCAGTTTTCCTCAAAGGGTGGGGATATTTGGAGTCAGGTTTGTCTTGGTTGCTCTTTGGCAGTTGCAGTTTGAGATATGGCGCCTTGTGGTCGTGGGCTTTGGCCATGGCAGCAGTTTATAGTGACTGCCATGACAACCTTTCTCCTCTCCTTTAAGGAGAAGGTTGTTTTTTCCTATTTTAATCCAAGTCCTTGTTTTACAGGCGTCATTTCTTCACGAACTGTATTTTGCAACCATTTCACTTGGTGTAATGAAAAATATATCTCCACCCTTTGTGTTGTATGCTTGTTATCTTATGGAATGATATGATAAAATAAATAAATAAAAAGGAAAAAAAAATTATGTAATTTCGTATTTTGTATGCTTCGGAATTCGTCTTGGTTTGCTATCTCTGACACCGTTTATGAGAGCCCCATAAGTCATTGCAGGCTGCTGAGAGCTGTTCTTGTTTTGGATGTTATTGCTCGGTATTGAGGAGGCCAGGCCACGCTCTTCTGGTAGGGACTAGTTGTATATTTTTATTCCCATTGGGGATTTGCCAACTCATGGCTTTTGTCTTCACCTGACATTACATTACGAGGGTGAAGTGGGAATGAAAAATATTATTCAGCTTGTGATATGATGTCAGCAACAGTGGAGAAAAGAGGCCATACCTAACTAGCTATTAATATTTGATTAGACTTAATCCTGTGCTTGTTTAATCAAAGCTAAGATTTCAATTGCCTTGTCATTTCCATGTGTTGCTCACTAATCTATTTCTTTTTTCAAAGCAAGCATAATTAAGATTCTTCTTTATAAGAAAAATTTCTTAGATATATAGTGGTTAGAAAATAGATGGGGGAGAATCCAATAAAGAGGAAACATATCCTTCCAATGAAAATTTTCTTCCAAACCCTAAGTTTTCTAGTTTTGTGGCTTGGGATTCTCATTTATAGGTGTTTGGTATAACAAATTTGAAGTCTTAAAGGCAAATCCATTGAGAAACAGGTGGGACAAATTTTCAGCAAGGATGCCACCCACCAGCATCACATGTTTCCAAACACCCCCCATGTGAATTGAATCGGACCTTGAAAATTCAACCTTGGATTTGACGAATCTTTTCACACAGTAAATAGATTCTTGGAATTGGGCCTACTTCCTATTGGACCCTAACTCGATAAATCTGTTAGCCCAACAACCATTTCTCTGGTTTTGGTTTGTGGGCTTTCTGTTATGTTCCGACCGAGAGAATTGGAATCCAACTTCATGGGATAAGAGGAAAGTTAATATGCATGTCCAAACACTAATGCCACACCTTAACATTTTTTTTGTTTTTTTTTTTTTTTTGAGAAAACTAAGGGATGGAATCACAAGGAATCTTTGATGAAAAAAAAAAAAAATGCTAAATTCAAGGTTTAACCCTCTCTCTTTTTATTAATTCTGATGGACCGTCCAGGTTCAGTTACTTCGAATTAGCATGTGAATCAAACGGTGATGTGAGAACAGATCACGCTTATTAAAAATGGAATAGAAAATAAAATTAACCGAAACAGTCAATTTCTTCGCCAAAATTCGCTGAGGACCACACGCTATGATCTTTTAAAAATAATGGTAGTAGTAATAAAATGGCTGTGCCTTTAACGTCTGCCGTAGGATTACAATCAGACGGTCAATGCATATCTATTTATTGCCCATTGTTTCCAGATACATCTCATCGTTCTTTATCTATTTCATCAGTCATTTGTCTCTGAAACCCATTTCAGGGTTTCAAGAGAAATAAAACGAAAACAGAATCAAATCAATAAAAAATAAACACCCGAGAAATTTGTTAAAAAAATGCTTCTAAGGAGCACTTCAACGCCATTGTTGAAAACATATGTTTGCCAATTATCAACTCCAGAACCGGATCCGGGGTCACCCCGACCCGTTTCATTGTCCCTTGAGCGGACATCATCAGACGGCGAGCTCAAGCTTTTATCTTTAGTCAGAGAGAAAATGTTAACAAAAAGTCCTGCAAGGTCTGGTCGCGCGGTTGTCTTTAAGGAAGAGAAGAGCGTATGCATGGAAACAGCGTCGTCTCTTCTTTCTGATAGTAGTAGGTCGGTGGCACTTGATGATATTGAAGAGGAGGAGAGAATGGTCTCCGATGGTGGTGATGGCCTTGGAAATGGTGGCGGCAGTGGTGGTGCAGGTACCAGAAATGCAGGTGATGGGTTTTGGGATTTAAGTCACGAACGTATGGATAATTATTATCAGATCATGATAGAAACATATCCTGGAGATGCCCTTCTTCTTGCAAACTATGCCAAGTTCTTGAAAGAGGTAAAATAATTTCTTGAATTTTAGTTTAAACATGAAATTAAACATTACATTACAATGTTATTTAAACATTTTTATAGGTACGAGGTGATAATGTGAAAGCTGAGAAGGTGTGCGAGAAGGCTTTAATGGCAAATGCAAGAGATGGGGATGTACTATCTATGTATGGAGATCTAATATGGAATAACCATAAGGATAATGCTCGAGCTCAGACTTATTTCGATGAAGCTGTTCAGTCTTCACCTGATGACTGGTAATATATAATTATCTGAATGTTTTAACTATTTATTACTTGATTTATAGTTATTGTTTGATATATTTAATTATTGCAGTTATGTTCTTGCTTCTTATGCTCGATTCCTATGGGATGCTGGTGAGGAAGAAGAAGAGAAAGAAATTCAATTGAGCAATTTGAGTACATGTGCACCATCTCATAATAATCTTTCGCAGGGTTATGCTCATCTGGCTGCTGCTTCTTCTTGAAGCTTTCACTACTATGTTCTTCTATTTTTATTTTGTTAATATTCACGTATATATACTAGAAATAGCAAAAATTTAAATTAAATAAAGACAAAGGAAAAAAAAAAAGAAGACCTTCAGAGTCTGTTTCTTTTGTCGTGACCAATTATAAACTGTTACCCCATTCTCGTTAATGTGGGTTGTAGGTTAATTTGTTTAAGGAAGAAAAGGGAAATATCTAGCAGAAGATAGAATCAAGAACACTGGAATGTAAGAGAGTTTCTACCCTGTATTATATGAAATATACAGAATCCTTTTTTGTTATTTAAATAATTTAGTGGCCCTTCATCGTCTGTTCTATATTTTTATATCAGCCTACCCTATGGTCAGTATGCACAGTAACAAATTATGAGAAGTTCAAAAAATAATAATAATAAAACACGCAAAACCAATAAGATGTTGCTTGAAGCAGTAATCTATCCTCGTCAGAAAATGCATTTTACCGGAAAGGCAAAAAACCTTTAAGCTATTATACTAAAAAACAAAAAAAAAGAAATAACACAGGATTTTGCCGATTTTGCATACAAGAGAAAGCTAAAATACATTTCATAACAACAAACCAGGCTTCAACAATATTCAATTGTTCAATTGAATGGGGGGTGGGTGGGTTCAAACGGTGTGATTTCAAGCTTAAATAGCAAGCAGCAGACTTCTCCAAAATTTTTCCTAAAATATTTTCAATAAGCAAGCGGGCTTAACAACATAAATAAGGATTTCAACTTCTGCAAAAGATAACATATAATGCTGCAAGCGGAATGAGAGTAACTCTACCGAGAGAGAGAGACCGCCAGCAACCTCCAAAGCAAGGCACACAAAACAACTGATGCTGCTGACTATTGACCAACAAACATGACATCACAATCCATACAGCAAAAACCCTTCAAGTCTTCTTCCTTGTGAGATATGATTCAAGTCTTGATCTCTTATTTACGGATATGGATTCAAGGTCTGCGTAGCACGAGTGTCTGATTCTAATGCTTGATTAATGCTCAGATGCTATAGGTTCTTGCAGTAAAGTGGGCTCAGCTTGCTCTCTGACCACTACCACCTCGTCTATTTGGGCCTCAATTTCTTCACTAGCCAATGCCCTTGGAATAATCGCTTCCTGCTTCTGGGCAGATGCATCTTCAGTCATTTGATTAGAGGTGGGGGGATTTTCCTTGATTAGTGCTTTAGATAATGGAGTTTTTTCATCATTTGTTGCATTGGATAAACTGGTCTTCTCAGAAGGCAGTTTAGGAAGAGATTTTCGCTGTGGCTTCTTTGAATGGATAGGGGAAGGTCCTTTGGCAGAACGGTTAGTAGACACTTTCTCGTCTAAACTTAGCCTGCCTGGTCTACTGTTTTCGCCGTTGTTTCCTTCAGAATCCACAGGAGATGAACTCTTCCTTCGACCTAACTTGGGAGATTTGGGTCTTGTTGGAGGTATCTGCATTAAGACAGGAATAAAGCCAACTTAATTTTGAAAGAGTGATATCAGTCCCACCCGGCCAGTCAAAAATACATTAGAGATTAATGCTACTACACAGAAGCGAGTAATAGCCATGCAGATCATCAAAATGCAATGACAGTAACCCCTTGGAATTTGAATGAAACTGACTAACACATTAGTCCAACAAATGTTGATCAAGTCTGGAGGTTTCCCCTGAACTCCCTGAATGAAGAAGGTTCAGCAGAGAGGAAAATCGGGAAACATAAATAAATTCAGCCATAAATTTTTAACACTAACTCTTCCTACAAAAAATTATAAATTTTTTATATTGACCTAGAAACCAATTACAATAAATGAGATGTTCAATCAAGTATGAGGTATGTTAAACTAGAGGTCTTCTATCCCCAAATTGGTTACCCCCACAACTGTGAGAAATTGGAAGGGCAAACACCCAAAATATAGATAGTGCAAGAATTCCAGGGTTCAACCAAATAAGAACTATCACTACACATACTAATTATAGTAAAAGTCCTAGTTTACAACACAACACATGCATATTGTAGCAAAAATATTATGGTATTTCAAGTGCATATAACATGTGAAGAAGAGAGCATGAATATGTGAACATCATAAAAGAACATACAACTTCTCCTTAACTAGTTCATGCTAATTTTATCATATTTAATAAGCTGCAGTACTAAAGGTATCTAAGATAAAGATTGTGCTGAAATCGGAAGAAACGGTTGGAGAAGGCTTCAAAGCTGCAGTACAGATATAATTGGCAATTGGGTCATAGGTGTTAAGATCAGGATTTTTCAATACTATAGAGAAGGGAAAGATGCAAGGCTGCTAAAATCAGAATTTTGGCTAACTTAAACACAAATATTTAGTTATGGTAGGATTCTCAATGTAGCAGACAACTGTATATGGAGCTCATAATCCGGTGCGTTCAACTTTCAAGCCTTCTGAGACAGTTCAAGATCCAAGAATTTACCCCAGGCTAGGGCAACTCAGAACACGGAGTAAATTCACTAAGATTGACCAGAAAGACAATACTTACCTTTTTTAGTTCCAGCTTAGGTGGTGGAGGTTCTTGATAGAAGCTAGGCATTGGTGTTGCTTTAAAGTTCAAACTCTTCCTGAGCATCTTGATCTCAGCTTCTTGAGTTTCCTGAAAGAAGATTCAATTAGCCATTGTAGGAACAAAATTTCAATAGAAATCATAATAATTATATACCTTGGACTTTGCTTGTAATGTATTCTTTTCTACTTCCTTTGCATGAATCTTTTCCTCAAGTTTGGAGTAGAACTGTCCAATATAGTAACAAAATATTACGTTAGATATTTTGCCACTCAATTGGTAGCCAGAGAAGCCCAAATCAAAACTTGAGGATCAACTACAAAACTAACCTCTCTCCTTTTCTCAGCTCGCTCATCACACTTGAAGCTAAAACCATAATTTGGAAGTGCACCCACCCTGCGAGGTTTAGAATCTTCTGCAGTGGGACTTCTAATGAATAATTAAGGAAGAACTCTGAAAGATCAAATTATAAAAAATGATAATGCAAAGACATAAATGAGGAATGAGCCATTTCTATCTGCAGAAGAAGATAATCATAAAATGTTCAAATAAAAAGGATACAAAGTTTGTGTCTCCCCTTCTGCTTTAATAACAGAGTCATTTTCTGTGTCCCCTTCAGCTTTAATACCAGGTCCTTTCTTCAAAGCTTTCAGTTTTGTCCTTGACCTGTATCCAGATAATCACAGTTCACAAAGAGCTGGATAAAACAGCAAATACCTATAAATATCATTTATAAATCTTAACAGATACTTAAACATCATCAGGTATTCCATATCAAGTTAGTCGCTAAGCACTTCATTATCTCTCTCTCTCCATCAAAATTAATAGAGGATATTAACAGGCTCAAACAATACATACATGAGGCCTTCAGAGGATGCCACATCAGACTTCCCAGATTGCTGTTAGGAGCAGACAAAATCAAATATAATATAAGCAACTTTAGAGAGGTGAATGCAGATGCAACACATGCAAGAAACTTTAATCACATAAAATTGTACCTTTGATGCCTGAACTTGCCTCTCATTAAATGATATGCTTTTGAAAGTCTGTTTTGCCTGTGAATTTGATGTAACTGAGCCATTTGAAGCAGTAGGAGGTGTTCCAGCAAATTTCTCATTCTTGGCTTTCTTCTCTTGAGTGGCTGAGACAGTTTTGCGGTTTGATGGTTTTTCATTCTTGCCCTTTCCAGGGCCCTTCAGTGATTTGACTTGCTCTGACTGACTTCCATCTTTTAATTCCCCTTCCTATGTGACAGATTTATAAGTTTCTAATCAGCCTTTGCCTTATCTACTTACCAAAAGAACAGATTGCAATTTACAACACTACTTTACCTTAGAACCAGTGAATCCATTGCTTCCCACATGTACATTTGATCCTTCCCTGAACTCGACAGCATATGAGTTGCCAGTACCACTGTCTTCCAACTTAGATGCATCATCTAAATTTCCATCTGGCTCAGTAGACACTGTAATTTTCTCAATATTGCCATTTGCACTATTTGAAAAAACACCTTCCTCCCCAGAGGCAGGACTTTGCTCACGAACGCCATTTTGATGAGCCGTCTCAAGCCCATCAATGGGCACAACAAGGTTATCAAAATCCATCAGGCACCCTAAAAAAGAAAATTAAACTGCTAAGCCTGGACAAATGATTATGGTGAACAAAAGAAAACGCATAGAAAAGAGAAATTCCAATTCTGCTAGAGAAATTACTTCTAATATCTATATGAACTCAGATGATCCTAATCACAGGTCTTACTTATTGAAGCAAGACAAACTAATAAGTATTTTTGTCCAAACAGAACCACAACCATCAAATTCTATCACCATAAGGTTGCCGGAGTGAAAATCATTTAAATAACACAATTTCCAGCTAAAGCAAAGGAATCAGGACATTTTGCTGTAGTAAAAATTGTTTGAACAATACGCTTTCCAGCCAAAGGAATCAGAGCACAGATAATGTCTCTTTCAAACATGTGCAGTTACTATATAGATGACTCACCAAGGTCCTAATAAAAAATTTCCGCAAAAAGATGCCTACAAGTTTAGCCTCTACTGGGACGATGAGAAAATTAGGAAAAAACAATCAAAGGTACCTCTTCAAGTCAGCACACACAGTAACCTAGACAAAAAAAAAAAAAGTAAAGAAAACCCATTGCAATTTCTAATTTTGATTAATTTTTCTCCTCTTCGTCAACAACCAAGCAACGAAGCATATTAAAAAAAAAAAAAAGAATGACACGGTTGGACACAACAATCCACCAAATGAAATTTCTTTCAGAAATAGAAGAATGAAAAATCAGAATAGAAAACACCGTGAAAAAACAGTAAGATTCAACCAAATTAAGAATCTCTACATCCACTAACAAAAAAGGCGAACGCGTTTAAGGGGCAAATCCGTCATTTGAACACTGATCTACTCGTAGCGGAAACATGCAAAAAAAATCTCGAATCTAAGTCCACACTTGGTGCAGTAACTAAGCAATTGTAACAGTGAAATAGAAGGCACTATTTGAATCTAAGTTACATTGAGACTTCCGCTTACAAACTAATAGTAAAAACAGCTTGAGATTTAGTTTAGTCTACTTTCTAAGCAACCAAACAAGAAAAAGAAAAACAATTAACTTCACTGAAAGTTTTCCTTCTTACCTGGTGAAGGAAGCGATACTCAGAGCTCCATAAGAGCAGATTTGACTAAGAAGAAAACAAGATTTGCGAATGGCTATGAAGGATCTGCAGGAGACAAAGAGAAGCAGAAATGAAGGGAGCAGGTTTTGCAAATCGGAGGATCCGAACCCGAAACTGGAGGATCTATCGGATATTATAAATTGAATTCCACTTCGCCGTTTGTGAGTGTATGTGAATGCGATTCTTCTGTAAGTGCGCAGGATTTGAAGGCTCACAACCGATTTAAAGCAGCGGCTTTCAAATCCATTTCCAGGTCACTGTCTAGAGAGAGAGAGATAGAGAGACAGAGTGGTGGAGTGTGGGAGTTCATACGATTAGATAAAGGTATACGGTTATTCTACGGTTTTAAATGGAAGAATGGGCGGTTAATTAACGGAGGAGTAACTAAATAGTTACTGGCTGACTAATGACAAAGTAACTAGTATCTTATTTGTATTTATTTTATTTATGTAGGCCAGGCCAGGTGCTGTTTTTCAATTTTTAGCATTAAAGAATAAGAGTATTTTGTCTTACTAGTTGTCAATTTTTGTAATTTCAAATTCAGTGGCATGGATGAAATTATATCCTGAACGTAGACAATTCTAATTCTTTTCGAATTTCCTTTTTAGCATCTAAAATCATAACTTGACAATTTTCAATATAACTGATTTACACAATATGTATAGCACACATGTTTATTTCGAGTTATAATATATCTAAAATTAAAATTTAAAATGATCGAACCCATTTTGTCTGTATATTTAATTATACAAATTTATATTTTAACACATTATATATGATTAATTTAAGTCCATTATAAGAGTTGTTTCAGAAAAAAAAAATTAGAAGAGTTCTTTAATTTAATACGTAATATTTTGATGTTACGTTTGAGATATTTATTTTGTTTAAAATGTTTAGCCATCCTTATTATTAATATAAATGTCTTTAAATTTATTATAAATATAAATACTAAATAATGTTATGCCACCAATAATATAAATACTAAATGCTAGTTCTGTAAATTTAACTAACAATTTGATAAATAAATTTTGCGAATGTATAAATTCACTTCTATAGTTTAAAAAAAAAAAATTAATGGCACTCTAACTTTGCAAGGAACTATTATATCCCTAAAGTTATGAATTTTGGTAATGTTACTCACTTCTTTATCTTAGCAATAATAGTTTGATATTTTAAATTTTTATTAAGAATGTCAAAATGGATTGACGTGTCAGGTTTGATATGAATTCGTTTAACACACGACATGATTAAGGTCAACACAAACACAACGCGTATAATCCGTAATGTCATAAACATGTTAAGTGGATCGTGTTGACCTATACACGATCCATTTAACATGTTTATAATATTTTTAAATTTTAACCTATTTAACTCAATTTGTATTTAAAAATATTTCATAGATAAATTATATAAATTCTTCAAGATTCATAACTAAAATAAAAATATATATAACAATAAAGTTTAAATAGGTTTTAGTTGAACTATTTATATATGACACTAAAATTACATTTTCTTTTAAATAAACGGGTCACTCGCCTAACCCGCTTGTCAACCTGCACAAAACATATTTATATTTGTATTATAAATGAGTGATTCGTTTATGACACGAACCCGTTTAACCTCAAGTATAATCTATTTATTTCGCGTGTTAAACGAATCGTGTTCATGTGTCGTGCCCATTTTGACACCTCTACTTTTTATACGTACATATTGATTTGATATGAGGTTATCACAACTTTTATAATAATAATTTTATATTTTTAAATTATTTAATAAATATTTAATTGATCTAAAATCTAAAAGTTAGAATATATGATAAAAGAATTTTACAAAGTGAAGTATTTAATAACTGTAATTTTATAAATTAAAGTGTCCAATAGATTAAAACAAAAATTGAAAGTGGTACGATATTTTTTGTGTAAATTTATGTACTTTGCCAAATAAATTTAGTTGTGTCAAAACTTGTACTTTATTACACAGACTAGGAAAGAAAATATTAGTACTAGTTTATGAGCAAATATAATGAATTGATGATTTAGGAAAGAGATGGTAATTAATTGGGTGTGGTCACACACCGACCAATTTGACAACATTGTCGGAAAATGACTTCGTACCGCAGTAGACCGCCATGTTTTGCGGATTCTTAACCCTCGGTATCACAGCGTTAACAGTTAGTCATTTGTTTTATAATAATTTATTTATTTTTATATTTTTTTTATATATATGAGGTTCAAAATTTAAATTCAAATTCAATTTACGTCTATTTTAAAATTTAATTTTCTTTTATAATAAAAATAATAAATTTGTTTCTTGGCTTTAAGTGTAATCATTGTTACTTAGATTAGTTAAACTAAAAAGCAATTAGAAGTCAAATTAAGAGAAATTGCTTTGCTTAATAGACAGTTTCCACCTACATTACAAAGGGTGAAAGACAAATGCTTTAAAGCCAAGTTGGACAGGGCAACAAAAGCCATTGAGATAATATTATAATTTTATTATAGGACATTATCTCTCTGCTCCACATTTTTCACCACTTGATGATGTCATTCAGATTATTTTCAGACCACTAACCACTGATAGCTACAAATAACAGATTTGAGGTTGTTTTCACCTAATCAAAATTATCCTCCTCCTCCTTTTTATTTAATTACATAATCGGAGGGAGTGTCCTACGAGAGGGCACACAGGCTGAAGGGCAGTCCGAACGGTTGAGAGCTGATAGATAATCAGTGCGTGCATGTGTCCCTCTTTGGGTTTGGCCTCTGCTCTTCAGTTCCTTCTTCAAGAGATTCCCTAGCATTTGCACGTGTATTATGCGACGGTTCTTGAATCATATTGGGTCCTCAACACGTGGCTTGTTTTAACTTTAACTCCATTGGAAGTCAAAGCCAAGTAAACGCTACTTATAAATTTATTTTATATTCAAAAAATAATTATTTAATCACTAAAATTTCACACAATTTCGAAATTACAGATCAAAACCCTTCGTTCATAATAGAAAGACCAATCATATCACAACTGATTAGCTAGAACAAAATTTCATAATTAGCATATATTTTTCTTTAAATATAACCAAATGCTTATTTATCAAATATCATTAATAGCAAGAAAAAGACAATCGAAAAGTTAACAATAATAAATTAATCATAAAAAAAGTATATATTTGATCATTGAATAGAGAAAAAAGAAAGGTCTTGCGAACAATGGAAGCAAACATGTAACTTTCAAATAGTAATGGTGGTGGCCTAAATATATCATATATTCTTTTTTCAATTAATTCTGTTATTTAAATTTTTGGTCTATTGTTATTCAACCAATACTGGCTTAGTAGAGGTCCGACGTTAATTGCGCAAGAAAAAGAAGTTACCGGTTTCTATCAAAGAAAAAGATGGAATCTTTTTTTTTTAACCATTTCAATTTTACTGGTAAGAAAGGGCGAACCTTCAATCAAATCAAAGAAAAAGGAAAGAAGGAAGGAAGGAAGGAAGGAAGGAGTTTTGTTTTAGATGGAGAGCTCTTGTATGTTTTTTTTTTTTACCTTCTTACTTTAATAGAAAAGTTCCAATGTAGTAGGTAAAAAGGTAAAAGAAAATTAACCATAACTACTGAAAAATAAATGTCCTGACTTATCTCTAACACACTAATCTCCAAATGAACATAATACTTGCTGTTAAAGGAATGCTTTAAATCGGCTATCTGCTTTTAAGGAGAAGAGTTATGGTAACCTAAATACCAAAACTAAAAGACAGGTCACAGTAGAAACAAAAGTATTATGTGGATAAGGACTCTTCTCTCTTTATATATGACATCAGAACTCGGAAAGCTCCAAAGGGTATTTATGTATATGCATTGAGCAACTACAAAACTTGAACTAGTCACCATGGTTAGAGACAATGAGACATGGATTTAGTGATCCTCTTGAGAAAATTGGACTGGTGTATATCTTTTATTTCAAAAGAAAGCTGTTGAAATTCTGATGCACAAGAGCAGTGGGGCGCCCATTCCAATTATTTCTTTTCCCTAGGTACAACCAAATTCTAATGAAAAGAAAGAAAAAGTCTTGAGAAGGTATCATCACAAGCTTTTCCATCTTGCACCAGTATTCACAAGTTTGATGTATGCATTCTTGAAATCTTCAAAGAACGTGTTCTGATTGTCAGCATACTTTTTGATCCATCTGCAAAAAACAATAATTTTCTTTTAGTTGAGCAACTAGAACATTTGATAAGCTTTTTCTGGTATTATGCTGCTCTGCGTACTGTTTGTGAAATTTGGAACTATTCTTGCACAACAGCTGCCTATAAGTATTTGCTTTTCACACATTAATGTAGTTTATAAGTACTGAGCAGAATCATATCGAGACAAGACAGCATGGATAATATGTCTGGTTAGGAGGCTTTGGAAGATAACTAACCTTAAGCATTCATTATCCTCAACAAGTGCACGATCTGAAGGAAGGCCAATCATGCTTGACATTCCACCTGTGTTTCAAAAATCAGAAGCAACATTTCAATTATGAATTATAAAAATTTGCAAAAAGGAACCAAAATATAGAACATTCCATTACAAAAGCCCATAATACTGAAGTTCGGAAGAAAAATTCTAATTGCTCTGAACTAGTAAATGCTTGTTTTACTCACAAATAGACTAATCTAATGAGCTTTTAACTAGAAAAACGAAATGGCAAACGTGTTTACTGATCCTGATGTATGCATGTTAACAATTCCTCAACAGAGGAGATTCAACTTAAAGCCTCCAAGTCTAGGCTTCATGGATTCCATACTATTAATAATTTGAAATCATAAGGCAACAATCTGATGCAGCTAGAACAATTTCTAGAAATATGAAAATTATGATTTTTTTTTACTACCTGAGGACATCCATGGCTTTTCCAGAAGAATTTTATAGTAAGAATTGTCGAAAACAGTTGGATTCCCAAACCCTTTACTCCCAAGAGTATGAGCTCCAGACAACGCAACAAGTTCTTGTGTTCTGTGAAGGAAGATTAGCCTTCTTCAGAAAAAATAACAAGCAAACTTAACTGTGGTAAACATACAAGAAAATTTTCTTATAATACATCACTTCACATTGACAGTGGTACCAAAATCATATTTTCATATCTGGTAGGGTTAACTAATGAAAGGCGCCCAAAATCATTATCTAAGAACCATCAATGTAAACAACAGTTTTGTGTTGAAGAGAAAGCAATCCTAATGCCACCAGAAAACAGGGACATCAGATAAGTATTTAGTAACTGGCATCTCAAAAGTCAAAATGGACACTGAAGATAATGTAAATAACTTTTTCTTTGAAATCATTGCTTCAAACCAAAATATGCAAAATATGTAAGAAAATACATGTAAACTCACGATAAACCCTTTCTTTGAAAACATTGCTTCAACGCGGAAGCATCCAAAGACTCTTCAGGAAGTTTGCCTTCAGTATCTACATCCCTGCCAAGAGGTACTCATTAGTGACTGATTTCAAGAATTTTAAGTTGGCACTATTTAAATTTCTATATTTTGTCAGTAGTTTACATGAAAGCTGCATAGAATCAAGCGTGTGATAATTCTAGCACAAGGATCTGATTCACGTGATATTGGGTTTCATTCCATGTTAAACTCTAAGGTTAAGAACTTGCGGCGTCTTACACTGAGTCTAGTCTGCCCAATGTAACTGGAATTGTTGGACCTCCACAAACTGAAACAGCTTCAGCTCCAGCCACAGCAATCATGTCTGCCCATGATACTAATAATGGAAAAAATCCAATTGTGCATCAGCAACTCTCCGTACAATCTACCATTATTGAAACGCTTTCACAGAGGACCAAATTAATAACCACCTGGTTGTATTGCATCGACTTCCCTCTTAGCTTTCTCAAGAATCTAAACAAAAATGCAACACACTTTGGAGTTAGTTGGTAGGAGATCTTAGAAGATTTGACCAGTCTGAATTTATGTCCAAGAAGAAAAAGGAACATAAGAAAGCGGAAATACTATGACTTCAGACATGCTATACACCTGATCAGGTCACAAGTTTGTGCTATAGGAACAGAAGCATGAGAAGAAGGGAGAGGGAGATACCTTCAGAGATTTCTTTAAACCTGCATTTTCGGGTCTATCAAGTTCAAAAACTATAGAACCATTCATACCCCCTGCAGTAGTAAAAACCATGCAAGAGTAAGTTTAAAGCTCAGGAGAACAACATTTAGCAAATAAGAAGAAGACCAAATTGTGGCTTAAAATTTTGATAAGTACTGGAAATCTAATTTCGACAAAGTCAGGCAAATATTTGATTTGCTCTCTGAATTCACTTACCAATCCAACTAAAAACTAGAGTTGCAATCACTACTTCCATGGCACTGCCAAACCTTAAAGTTCTCATTTTGTCATATAGGTCCAACAAACATTGTATGGTGAGAATCCTTAATTCAACTAATACTACGTATGTTATGATCATTTCAAAATCATATTATATCATCCACAAAATTAAATACCTGAATTCCCATCCATTTCAAAAGTTCCTGCATCATGAAAAACAAGCCGAAGTACACCGGCCGCTTTGCCTTTGGACACCACCTTCCTTAATTCTTCCTTCATGAGCGCGTACATAGTATTATCCAACCTTTAGAATTAATAGAGAAAACAAAATCACAAAAATTGTAAACTAAGAACTATCCAGTAAATGAAGGCAGCAGAATTATATATCAATAATCCACCTATAATATTTCAACTCTACTAAAGCCAGGTGCCATATCACTTGAATTAAATGCAATTCAACAGCAAAATAGCAAAAACAAAGAAAAATAGGAGGGAGGGCATTAGGTTAACTTACTCAGTTCCCTTAGCACTAAGACGAAATAGAAACGGTAATACGGATACACAGATAAGGATTTTCCTTCTATTAGAAACCCAGTCACGATTCTCGCCTGTAGACCCAGAAATCAAATCAGAGAAAGATAATTGCTTTGCTTCATTTTCTCAGCAATCAAACATACAGCAATAAAAGGGGCAGTGACGTTTACCAGAATCACCATCGCCAGTAGTTGGAAGAGTGCAAGCTTGGAGAGTTTTGGCTCGAAACTTAACCGTTGGAAGAGAAGACCGTTGTGATTTAGCGGGAAATTTGAATTCAAGACGGGAAGGAGAGTACGGAATACAGCAGAGAACATAAGCATTGGCGTGCAGGATGGTTAAAGACGCCATCTTTAACGGACGGTTTAGAAGCTGCCTTAATTTGCTTGCTCAGTGCTAGTTTTAAGTTGGAGAGGTGATGATTGAATGCGGTTGAGAGTACAATTACTCGACTAGAGTCGAGCAGTCAAAAAGGAAACGCTACAACTCAACACCCGAGATTGGCCATTTCTAGTGTCGATTGTGCTCATTTGTTTGCACCGGAAACGTACGTTTGCCAGTTAAAAGAGGTTCAGGATTCTGTCAATTTAAAATAAACATAACTTCTCTTTAAAAGATCTATTGTCAATCTCTGTATATGACAGAAACTTGTGAATTCCATCTTAATGAGTTATACCATAAATCAAACTCCATGTAATTAATTATGCTGGTGACAATTTTTGAGGATTGAGCTGTTTTAAGATTTAAGTATGTTCATTTTATATCACTTTTGTAATAATCACGCCTGTTATTTACAGAGCAATAATGAATGGGTGCAGAAACAAGTGACCAGCTTTACTAACAGCTATTATTGCAAAACTGCTGAGTGTACTAGCTAATATACAGGACTATTGTGGGAAATTTATACATGAATAGCTCGACTCTAAATCTAAATAAGTATCCCCCAAATTGTGAGTGAATGCTATCTTGGACCAGAAAGCTGCACAGAAGAAAGGTAGGCGTCACTGTTGTGCTCTGAAAATCCTGAGGAAGTGCCCTCCTCGCTTGTTGATTTAAGGAAACTCGAATAGAGGCGAAAACCCAATGGTGAAGAAGTTGGTGGATGAGGAACAGGACAGAGACCTTCAAGCATTTGGACAACTTTGGGCATTGATGGCCTCAGACCCATATCTTCTTGTATACACCACAATGCAACTTTAATAGCAGTCGATACCCTCTTGTCGTTTTCATCGAATTTCAGCTCTGAATCAAGGATTTCTCTCAGTTTCCCTTCTTCCATCATCTTAAAAGCATAAGATGGGAAATGGGATTTCTCAGAAGATTCGGTTGGGTTAAAGTTTTTCCTTCCACCAATAATCTCAAGCAACAACATCCCATAGCTATAAACATCACTTTTCTCTGATATGGCATAATTTGTGATCCATTCTGGTGCAAGGTATCCCCTGGTGCCTCTCATGGTTGTGAAAACATGGCTTTGCTCTCTATTCATTAACTTTGCCAACCCAAAATCTGATACTTTAGCAAGGAAATGATCATCAAGAAGCACGTTTTCAGGTTTTATGTCACAATGAATAATCTTTACATCACAATCTTCATGGAGGTAAGCTAGTCCTTTTGCTGTTCCCAATGCAATACTGAATCTTGTTTCCCAATCCAATTGGAAATCTTCCTTGTTTCTCTTGAAGATCCATTTATCCAGAGACCCATTTGCCATGAACTCATAAGCAAGCAGACGGTGAGTTCCTTCAGCACAGAAGCCTTTAAGCCTAACCAGGTGGTGGTGATGAATACTACCAATGATACTAACTTCAGCTCGGAATTCTTTCTTCCCCTGACCAATACCTTCCAATTTCTTCACAGCCAGTTGTGTTCCATCAGGAAGAACTCCTTGATAGACTGAACCAAATCCTCCGTGTCCAAGCTTCACCGCGAAGTTATTAGTTGCAGTTTGAAGATCTCTATAACTATAACGAATTGGCATCCCAGATAAACCCTCTAAGAAATTATCTTCTTCAGAGGTCTCTTGAGGAGATTCTAGCAACCTTTTCTTACTCTTGTAGTATCGAAATGCCACATAAAGTAGGCTAAAAATGACAAGTAAAGTTGCAGCAACTATTATTATCACAACAGTAGGAGAACCCTTATTGGAGCCATTGTCGGAGCCATTATTAGCATTGTTACTCAAGACTTTAATGTAGGTGACAAAACTAGAACCCATGTCAGATTTGAAACTTCCTACTTGATCAAATAGGAAGCAACTACCGGTACTGTTCTGGAAGAATAAAGCCAGGCATGAGCAGTTATTGCGACAAGAGGACTCGCAACCTTCCAAACTGGTTTTTAAAGAGGGTGGAACATACCCAAGCGCAAAATAGTTGAGCCCATTTCCAGCACTCATAAGCACTGTTGAACCCTTTGAAGTATCACATGAAGAGACAATTCCTGTTTTGCAATTTTGAAGGTTGTTAAGAGTTGAAGGGCATTGGCATACATTGTTATCAGAACAAACATAATATGCATCACAAGGTTCTGGCCTGCTGCAACTATCACTTGGTATTTTTGTCGATGAAGCACTACCTCCATCATCAAGATTGTAGAAAGAAACAAAGCCATCATTTCCAACAACTGCAATCCAGGTAGCATTTGCAGCTTTCTCGTCTGCAAACTTGTACTGCCACAACAACACTTTGTTTTTGTCATAGAACCTCCATGAATTTGCATTAAGGGATGCCATAGTGACTGCACCACTACCTTTATTAATGGTTTTCTGAATACCATTTTCCTTTTGAATTGACCAATAAGGCTGTAGAGTTCGAAACCCAGCAGAAAGAATCATGTCCCCAGACTTGATCTCAAGGACATAGGTCAAGTTATTAGAGCTAGGATCACTGACAAGTTCCATTCCTTCCTGAAACTCCTGGTTTGATATTAGGGTGTCCGTGGGATGGCTAAAGCTCTGCCAAATTATATTACTATCATTCCCAAGCAAAACCAGATTTCCTGAATCCTGCAATTTTATCGCAGAAACCCTTTTACCTCCAATATCAGGTGTCCAGACTGGAGTTTCTCCTTTGTTTAGAGATACTTTACCGTCCTCACCAAAGAAGAAATTATCAGAATTTGCAACTGGAGAGCCTCTGTTTGCAGACCAGATAACATGTAAGCTTTCCATGTGCATGATAACTAGTAAATATAAAGTGGTGTCTTGAGTGGGTCGGAAGCCAAAAGCAAAATTTGAATTATTAGACAAAAGAAACAACCCGCTTTTATCAATCCAGTTCATCTGAGACCCTTGAAACCCCGGATAAATTTCTCCAATACTTTGTATACCAGCCATACAGAGTTCAACTAGAAGGAGAAAAACCAAAAAAACGGAGCCAATCAAGCGAATGAGACACTGATAATCCATGGTTGCACAATGAACCTAAAACTTTGCTAGGATTTGCAGAATCAAAGGTCAATCTGGATGCGAAGCACAAATCAACTGATGAAAAGAAGGGAAATTTGCAAATAAATGAAGGACGACACACAGAAAAAGGCCTTCTAACTTTGCATTCTGCAATCAATCTCAGTCATTACGTCAAAAACCAAAAATTTGCTGTAGATAGAAATCACAGCGGAAGACATAATAAGATAATAATTCCTGAACTAATAAATTTTCAGGTTACTAAGAAAAAGATAGCAGGAAACTGAAAAGAGTGGATAGAATTGCGAGAATAACAAGATTTAATATCAGTGGACAAGCATGAAAACACACCTTTTAAATATTCACACGTGAATTGGACAATCAAAGACTTTTCTCCTTCACCTTTATCTCGAATTCAAAAACCAAACTTTAAGTTCCAAATTGGCTAGACAAATAAGCAAATGAGGAGACATCAGATCACATGATTTCACTTGGCATCTAAATTTAGTATTGAGGCACCAGCTTCAGACCTAAAAACTACTACCAAACACTTAATTCAGCATCTATCAATTGTTTCAGGACAATAAAGTACGGAATCAACAATTACCATTGATGGGTACCCTTCACTTCAGTGGTCCATGAGATAACCACTAAAAGAAGAAGAAGAAGAAGAAGAAGAAGAAGAGAACCATCAATGATAATTGAGGAGTTCTCTTTATTTGGCCCATAATCTGAGACCAAGTAGCAGAAAGAGATAAGTGAAAAGAACAAGATTCAGAAGAACTGAATTGTCCTGTAGCAGTTAAATGAGAGAGAGAGAGAGAGAGAGAGAGATTAAAGACAACAGGCAAGAACAAGCTCTCCCCTGGTTTTCAGGGGTGAGGTTGGAGAAAAAAGTGGAATTGCAGACATGGGTCTCTGGTCTTTTCCAGAAGAGAGAAGAGATCTGAGGTGAATATATTTACAAGGTAGCTCATCAACAATCAAATACATGGTTCTTTCGTGGATTGACAGACTCGTTTTTTAATTTTTAAATTTTCTTGCTTTAATGCTGTTCCTGTTTGCTCCATGTTTGACTCGCTAGTCGCTACTTGGAGGCTAAGGATTTATTCGTCATTTTTGCTGTCGGAGAAGAGGTGTAATTTTTTTTTTTTTTTTAAATTCTAAACGTTACCTTTGAATTTTATCATTTTCGAAAACACCTACCTATCTATAAAAAACCAAAGTGAGCCTTTTTTTTTATTTTATATACCTTTGAAAAATTATCGATCCATCATTTAGTCTTTCCATTTAAAAAATATTATTTTTATATAGTTAAATATTTTATATTTGATAAATATTTATTTCTATTTAATATATGGTTTCAATATAGCCCTTCACATTCATTCTCTCTATATATAATTACAATTTAATTTCTCATTTAACTATAAAAACGATACCTTCAAATAAAAAAAATAATTATATTCAAAAATAAATAAATAATTTTACTAAACAATAAAACAATTATAATAAGTTGAAATAAAATTCAAAGACTAAATAATTAATTAGTAGGCTGATGTCGAATTGTTTTGAATTTTTCAGAGTTTAAAAACTACAAAAACACCTTGAATTTGTCTGGTCTTTACTCTTTTTTGTTTTTTTTTTTTTCTGGAAATTGTCATCATAAGGACTTTTCTTCAAAAATCACTGTCGTTTTGGAGAGGAGATGGCTTAAATTATGTATTGTTAAATATTTAAAAGCCCCTTTCAAAAAAAAAAAAAAAAATATTTAAAAGCCAAGTACATTGAATAAGCCTGCTTCTCCTTATCCCCACCATCTATCAATTCTACATGCTCATCAAAATTGTTCATATTCTGTATTTTTGTATAAAAATTTAGAACAAAAATGAATAAACTAAAGTTGCAAGGAGACATGGTTTTATAATGATTACACCCGTCATCGTCATAATTAATTTCATTTGATTTAATTTTTTTATAATAGATTTTTATTTATAAATTTTCATTAGAACGTTTAACTTCATGACGTGTATTTATTCACCGCGTCAATTTATTTAGACGGTATGATAAGGTATTTAATAATTATTTTTTAAATATTTTTCAATTAACAAAATGTTGGTATTGAATTGATTAAGGTCGAATAAGTCTTTGAAAATTCTGTGACGGTTGAGATTTAATTAAATGCAGGGTTGGAGGGCTTGAGAGAAAGAGTCAAAGCTTTTGCAACTATTCACACCCTACGGAATAGGGTCTTCAGCAACTTGATTAATGGGTCCCAACCCAACCAAAGCTTCTATTTTCATTTTCCTTTTACAAATAATTATATAGTCTAATTAGTTGTTTAGACTTTAGAAATTTAATTCAATACTGTCAAATAAAATTATATTATAAAAAGAAATTAGTATTTATTTATTTATTTAAACCAAGATCTGGGCAATGAAAGTAACTTGGAGGCACGTGATAAGCAAATATTCAGCATTAGCCAGCTATCCAAAACCTCCTTTCTCACATGCAAACAAACAAACAACAACTGATATTCTATAAATATTATTAAAAAATAAATAAATAATTTAGTTGCTCAATTATATTAACCCTAGCACAAGAAAATGAATGTATGTATACGGTATAAATACATGATCACATGCATGCGAATGTTAAGAAGACAAATAGACAAAAGAGATGCTTCTACAGGCAGCCAAAAACCTTAAATACAGCAAAAGACCCGTACGTGTTAAACTATATATTACGAGGATTAAAATTCTGATATGCTAAAACTGATTTTGAAATAAGAACCTTAAAAGGCTAATTAATGATGATAAAACGTTAATTAAACAAGGGAAGAGAGAGACATGGATTAAGCTGGACAAGATCCTCATCTTCTGTTATATTTTCCCAATTCCAAGAAAACAAAAGCCAAAGTACCCATTCTTTCAAAAAATCAAAAACTCATCTCATCCCACATTTTAGAGGTGTAGGTTAAAGTATTATTACAGCCTGAAGGTCAGCAACTGGGATTTTGCTTGCAACCATAAATGAGTGTTTGATACACGTGGAAAAAGGACAGCACTTGATGGGTTGGTCACATGGGTTGCTCTTGCTCATTCATATATATTTCTGTTTCATTCGAGTTCCTTCCTTTCTCACTATCCTACCACGACAAAACCTTAATTTGGACATAATCCAGTTTAAAATGGAAATGAACTCCATTTTGTTATAATACTATAATATAAGGAACTCAAATTATTATGACATTTTCTAATATTTAAAAATCTACCATGAAGTTTTATTTTAATTAATTATTATCTCAACTGAAAACTCAATTATATGATATTATGATGAGATATATGTACGTCCATTTCCAATTTCATTATTCTATTCTATTTCGACGGAATCAATTCTCTTTTAGTATGCACATCACATGCATGAAATTACAATAATATATATATATAAATGATTTTGTTGTTTTAGAATCAGCCTATCATATTAATTAATGCATAACTATATATCTCCTTAACAACTGCATGGAAATGGTAGCATGCATGATTTATTTATTTATTTATTTTTTGGGTTAGGTCGACTGGGGGTGACATGGGTTGAAATTAAGGTTGAGGCTTCCCATATATATATATTCATAATAATTGAATTATTTTTCTCATATTAAAATTACATAATGGTAGGGTCATGATCCACCAAATAAGTGCATAATTAATATTCTACAACCCAAGTTGTTGCAAATTTGATTGAATTATTCAATTTTTCAGATATTAAAAATAGATATATTATGAAACAGACACTTTATAATGCTGGAGAATTGATTAAAGAGGGTGAAATTAGAAGGTAGTTAAACACTTATTATGGTGAAGAAATCGAAATGACTCTGTCAAAATGTTGGAAGCCAATCTTCAACTTAACATTAAAAATGGTTTAGGTAATTTTTGAAACTTACAAGCTTCAACCAAAAAAAAAAAAAAAAAAAAAAAAAAAAAGAACTTACCAAGCTTCAAACCAAAAAAAAAAAAAAAAAAAAAAAAAAAAGCAGAACTTTCGTTGAAATAATGACCCCAACTATTGACTTTGTACCCATAAAAAAAAAAAAAAAAAAAAAAAAAAAAGCAAATTTCGTTGAAATAAGTGACCCCAAATTGACTTTGTACCCATTTTATATTAATGTGACAAGAAATTAATTATTTACATTAAAAGCATTGCATTTTGAATTAGTCCAATTGTACCTCAATGTCATAATTTAACGTCCACTTGCATTAATTTTTCTTTTTTTTTTTTTTAAATATAAAATAATAATATTTATCAAGAAATATTGCAATTTGGTCAAACTGCTTTTTTATGATATTGAACCGCTTATCATTGAGCCAGTAATTAAGCCCAAATCATCATCAAACTTGGCCCAATATCAAATGGCCCGTCATTGGATGGCGCGTCATGCATATCAGTCAAATGAATGGTTGTTTTTGTCGTTTGTCAAAGACACACCACTCGCGAAGAGGTAAGTATTATTTACAAATGACTTGTCGTTTTAAGGAACACCTCTAGTTAAAAACACAAGGTCGAACGACATTTATCTATGCAAACGCCAGGCGACTTTCCCACGTGAGAAAAGTGACACGTCTGGTTAAACCGCCGGATGACAATGTGGTAGGGCTAAAACATCCGGTGCGGAATATTCCTCTGTAACATAGATGGTGTCTGGTTGGGGATTTCATTTTCCCACGTGCGGAAAACAACTTGTCATGAGACGCGTGGCGAAGCGAAAACCTGGTAGTAGTTTATTTTTTCTTCCAAGTTCAGACACCTCACGCATTTTCATTTGTCCAGAACTTACTAGGAGTCTAGGATGACGTGTTCAGACCCTCCCGCCAATTCTTGCTCGTATCCGACGTGTTCAACATTCTGTCCGGGATGACGTGTCACAACCCCACCACCGCTTTCCACTCTGGCTTCTCTAACAGGAACGATCGGGTGCAGTACGCTCCACAGAACTGCCAATACTTAACCCGCAGGCATAATACATCAGGCGGCTCCTATTTACTGCGGGTGTATCCTTAAAAACGTGGAGGTCCACACGGAAACAAGAACCTGACCATTTCCATCGCTAGCCATGAACGTTCAAGGAAAATACAGATACACAAAACTAGCTAACAAAAAATTCGTCTTTTATTTGCTGTTATTTTCTTAACATGTAAGTAAAAAAAAAATCATAAATAAGCGAACACAGTTACTACGTTTAAGCAAACAAGATGAAGAAGTTGTCGTCATGGCTACCAGGATCGACAAAGAAGCTCCATGTGAAGGTGAAGCCATTAAAGCTTGAAGGAGTTGTTATTGGAGAAGAAACCGAAGATATTGGAAAAGAAAGAATAGTTGCTGTGGAAATGGAATGGAAAGGGCCAAAGAGTAGATTAGTTCCATTTTATAGAGTTACGAAGTGGCCAAAGAATTACAGCAGTCATAAATTCTTGAAAAAAGGAGGAGAGCCTATTGAATGGAACGAGGAATTTGAGAATATATGTAATTTCTCGATTGCGTCAAAAGATGATACTAAATCTTTTGGTTCATGGGCTGTATCCTTCAAAGTTATATACGTAAGTTGTTTTGTTTTATTCTGCTAATTATAGTTTCTTTTGAGTAATTTACGATAGTTATCATTGCACTTAATTAAAGTTTGATGGTAAATAACAACCATGGTGATAAAATGTAGGGTGAGGATGCAAAGTCGAAGACAAAAATGAAAGCGGTGGGGCAAGCTTCATTGAATATGGGAGAACTGGGTTCCAGTACTGATTCTGAAATAGAGAAAAAGCTACCCATTGCTTTGCAGATAGATGGAGTTGTCAGCAAGGCTACACTTTCGGTCAGTTTAATTACCTTCTTTTTTCCTTTTTTCTTCCCTCTCTCAAAAATCGTACTTTTCTTTTTTAACATTTATACAGTCGTTAATGACCTGGTCTTTAATCAACTACTGATTATTATTAATTTTTGCCTGTTTTCCTTCTTTAAATTGTTGGTTTCTGATAGATATGCGTAAGCTTTCCCGAGGCAAGAAATTCTACTGAGCCAGCAGCGGATGGGATCGTTCAAAACTCAACCGAGTTCGATAACAAAGAAGGAATATTCAGTAGTGGAAACTGTGGAACAACCTATGCAAAGAATATCGATAAAGAAGATACGGATAGCTCTTCTGACTCGAATGAGTCAACTCAATCTATCTCGGATGGCTTATCTGGAAATGAGTCCATTACCACAAGCGAAAATGCAAACAATGCGGATATCGGAGAGTCAGGATCGTCTTTACGTGCATGGACTCAGCGCAACTCGAGTCTCAGATCGAAGCTCTCTTTATGGGCAAAACAACGGCGTTTTTTGGTATTGTCTAGAAGAAGAAAACCACAGGTAAATTTCTCTACTTTTTTATTTACAACTTACGAGACAAACGACCGAGTCCTAAATTAGTGCCTTCTAGACCTAAAGCTTGTCCTGAAAACATTTGCAGAAAGATGACAACTGCATCGCAAGCAGGGAAGACTGGGAGAAGAAAGAATTAGTCAGCAGAGATGGGCAAGCAAAACTAAAAGCCAATGTTTTCTTCGCTTCCTTTGATCAAAGAAGCCAAAAAGCTGCCGGAGAGAGTGCCTGCTCAACGCTTGTTACTGTCATTGCCCACTGGCTCCAAACAAACAAGGAGTACATGCCAACAAAATCACAATTTGACAGCCTTATAGCAGAAGGATCCTCAGAATGGCAAAAGCTTTGCAACGATGAGGCTTACATGAACTCATTCCCTGATAACCATTTCGATCTCGAGACAGTATTGAAAGCTGATCTTAGACCTTTGAGCATTTTGCATAATAAGTCTTTCACTGCAATATTCAACCCTGAAAAATTTGAAAACTTGAAAGGAGCCATGTCTTTTGATGATATATGGGAAGACATAAGTAGCATCACTGAAGAATATGATCATAAGGTGTATATAGTTAGTTGGAATGATCATTTCTTCGTGTTGAAAGCAGATTTGGATGCTTATTATATTATCGACTCATTAGGAGAGAGGCTCTTTGAGGGATGTAACCAAGCATACATCTTAAAATTTGATGAGTCCACAATAATGTACGAGAAAGTGAGGAAAGAAATTGACTCGGAGGAACAGACAGCAGCAGAGAAGGGTAAAGATGAGCAAGATACTCAAGAGATTATTTGCAAAGGGAAAGAATGCTGCAAAGAGTTCATCAAAAGATTCCTTGCTGCTATACCACTCAAGGAACTTGAGGAAGAAGAGAAAAAGAGAAAAGTTTCAACTTTCTCTCTCCTCCAGAGATTGCAGATAGATTTCCACTACAGCTCTTCTTCCTCCTCCTCTTCAATGACATCTCCTACTTCATCTTGCTTCTCAAGTGGTGAGTGAATTAACTAGTGTAACTGAATTTTGTACATCATACAATTGTTTTCGTGAGAGCTTATTTCATAAAGTATGAGAATATTGTAATACAAAATGTAGTTTTTTTGTTCATGTCAATTACTCAATTCACTAAAAAATCTTTAACTAGCTAGCCTTCCTAGTTTTACGGTCTCCTGTAGAAGTAAGTTATTTATTATATACATGAAATAGCTTTTAATGCAGAACTAAAAACACTAAAAATAAATGGCAGGTCTTTCATTTTCTATGATGCTGCAAGTACAGCACAGAATGCATATAATTGGATAACAAGCCATAAAGTTCTCACACTAGATAAATACAACTATGCGACTCTCGAGCAAGCATCTCCCTATCTTTTTCCCTTCCAATAACTTTTCAACTATTTATTCCTCAGGAATTTTGAGAGTTCCATTACTTTTTCCTCCCATACTTGAAGATGCTGCTGGTTCCCTAAGCACCATCATGTAGTTGAAGCTAAAATGCTGAGAATGAACTTACTCCACCCATATTTTTTGACTCAACTAATTATTAAAAGGGAAGCTTACAAAGACCAAATGGTCCACGTACAAAGCTATAAACTGGGCTAAAGGCAAGAAGAATGACTTAAAAATTTAGAATCCGGCCCTACAAATGGGTAATAGGCACCTAATACCTACAAATATTAATCACCACTCGTACAAACATAAAGTTCTTATCCCCTTGCTAATTAGACCAAATGGAAAGGGGTCCACAACACAACCCCCAAGCACATATCCAAGATAATTCTAAGATTTGGCATGAGACGCCTTCTTGTCCCCCACTAACACAAACAAAAAGCCCTATCCAGTTATTCATTAATCATTTCTTTCCCACTTCTTAACCAGACCAGTCAGAATGGGGGCCAGTACAGATCAAATGACCCAGAATTATTTCTTCTAATAGTTAAGTTTAAGGTTTACTAAGGGACACAAATTTTCATCATCCTTTCCACATAGATACCGTACTCTATAGGTAACTCTCAAGTGCAAGGGCAACAACTAGGTGATTTTGGGATGTGTCAGTGTAAAACTTAAGCTAATTGGACATATAGTAACATAATAAACTCCCAAACTATCTTTTGTCTAAGGTAAAAAATATTAATAAAAGGTTTAACAAGTTCATCTAGGTTCCAAAATCAGTTTTGTTGTTGCATAAAATATTCCTCTGCGCATTGCAAAAGCACAAGCCTCCTCTGTTACTTTCTTCAAGATTTTTCTAATTTACATTTGGTTATTTACATCTTACATTCTTACAATATTTCAGCTAGCAGCTTAGCATTACCTAGAGCTAGGAAAACTTCCAAGTACAGCTAAATTACCAAAAATGCTCAAGGCATATCATTAAGGCATGTCGAGTTTGAAGAAACAAACAGAAGCAAGAACCCGTCAGTCTACGAACCTGCACTTTTGTTCTGCCAGTCAAGTAGCATCTGTCAGTCTATGAACCCACACTTCTCATTCTGCCAGTCAAGTCATTGCATGGAAGCTTAGGCTGCCAATGATAAGCCTGATCATCCACAGGGTGACCAAAAACTGCCTTGCGTTTTCTGAGCATCACATCTAGACTATCATGTCTACCCAATTCGCTTGGACATGAATCTGATGAGTAATCCATATTGCCTCTATTGAAGAGAGAAAGCTCCTTATCCATTTGTGGCATCTTATTGGACTTAATCCCCTCTCTAGAATGACCAAAGCCAACATCTTCTACATCCTGGAGATGTCTGTTTTGCATGCTTGGCAAAGCAGCTGAAAGAGAGCCCAACCGCAATGATAGATCACAACCAATTTCAAGTTGTTCAATTGGTTTGTCTATGGGATCTTTTTGATCTATTTTAGCAATCGCATCCTCATTACAAGACAAGAGGTTTTGCTCAATTCCCACTTTGACAGGCTCCAAGATGCTAGGAAGAGTTTTTGGAAGAATTCCTAAACCATTCTGGTGGTCTAGACAATTTCCATAGTACAAGGGATAAACTGAGTACAAGCTTGACACAGAACGATTCTCCATGGGAAAATACTGGTTGTAGTTAGATAGACGACTGTTATCAGTTCGAAAGAGAAATTTGTTAGAAGCGATACTGATGTTTTGGCAAATAAGGTTTTGTAATTCTGAACCCAATTGGGTTGAATTCATGATTGTGGATTTTATGAAGTTAGAATAATTAGGAATGCACTGCGGGCTGGCTGTATGATTTGCTCGAATGGTGTCATTTACTATGCCAGGAGAGGAAGAATTAGGCTGTTGAGTGCTAGGACTAAGGTAACACCTCGGATTACAGTTTCGTTGGCTCCTGGAGGCTCTTCTTGGAGTGCATCCCAAATTAAGAGCAGCTGAACAGTAATGGAATAAAAAGAAAATGATTATACATATTGTGAGTCAATCTTATAGAAATTCTCTGAGAAATAACTGCTATAATATAATCAAATTCATCAAATGTCTCTCTTATGGTTTCATAAATCTCAAGCATCTATTCTACAAACTATATTTCTTGTAATTGACATCAAGCCATGAAAATTGAAACTAAGTTCATTTCAAAGCAACACAAAAACTCCAATCCAGAGAGAGTAAAATGGGTAAGTACCTTCAATGCAAGGTTGAAGAAGCTCTCCAGTTTCAGTACTTTCATCACGCCGAATAATTGTATTAATGGCATCATTTGTCCGATCCCAAAGAGTTTTAAGGTCCATATATTCAGCCTATGCAAGGTTTAGAAGCCAAAGCATAAGCTTTATATAACAACAGTAACTACATCCACTAACAAATCAAAAACTTCTTGAGGAGTGCCCAGGCAATGAATAAATGCATAAAGTTTGAATCTTTAATTGGAAATGTTTAGGACCCAAAGCATAGAACTTCAAACTCAGCCTTACAGATGAACAGTTGACTTGATTGATTCTTATGATTTTGTATATGTCATATGCAATAGACAACAACCGAATGGGGAAAAGTTCAAATGAGATTGACGGAATAATTGAAAAGATCAAAGAGAGAAACTGAAAAAGAGAATTTTTACTTCAGAATTGGCTTTGGAATACATAATTTCTTCTGCTCTCAAAACAACAACAGGAAGCTTCTCTTGCCATTCCTTGTTCTTCTTAGTTGCAGAGCTATGAACTTCATTGACAACTCTAATCAAAATTCCAAAAATTGGTGACAACGGTGACATGACTAAAACACAAGCATATACATAAAAACACAACATGAAGAGAGAGAAAAGAGGAGAGAACCTGAAAATTTCTTGAATGAGAGAACCTCTGATGGGTTGGTGTCTATCACTGTGCCAAGCTCTTCTAACACATTCATAAGGTCTGGGGCCTGGTCTAGGCATCGTCTCGCTAAACTTAGAGAGAAAGAAGAAAAACAGAGACCTCTGTTTCTTGACAGGAGAAATGGAGCTAGCTTCTGCTTTTTTTTTTTTCCTGTTACCCCTTTGCTTGGCTCGTGAGTTGTGACTCTCACCCAAGTCCCACAGTACTTGAGCAGAACCAATTAGTATAAAAAATATAAGTGAAAATGGACAGAGAGAGAAAGAGAGAGGGAGAGAGAGAGAAAAAAAATTGGGGTTTTTGGTTTGCTTTCTTTTTCTTTCTTTTCTGTCACAAACTCAATTATTTCGAAGGGTTTTAATTGATGAGTTTGGTGTGTCCCCCACTCATCCACATGCCTGCTTCCCCTAGCCCCAAGAGTCTCTCTCCTATTTTCTTTTTTTAATTTCTATTTCAATAGTTTTGGTCTTTTTCCTTTCTTTTTTCCCCTGTTTTTCACTCTCTTTCCCCTTTAATATTTTTTTTCTGCCATTGCCTTGTAAGCCTTACAGTGAGTAGAGGCTGGGGTTTGCTTAAATAGCACCGACAGCGACAATATTATAACTTCTCTTTCCCTGCCACAACATTACATGAATGGTCAATATAGTCATGGTGGTGGGCTCATTCTATCTACATGAAATGTTTGGGTTTACACTATCGAAATTAGCTCTTTTCCCTAATTTTTATGGATTTTGGTATTGGAATTGAGTTTTGTCCTAATATTGATCTAAGCACAATACAGAATCTGTTAAAATTAGTAATGGGTATTTGACAGACATCTCATTACTATGTCCCAAAAAGCAAGCAGTTAAAGATTCAACCTTTCATTAAGTAGATAATTTAATTTTGTGCCAGAAAATTCAGTTTGGTAATTAAAGGACCTGAACTGACATTTAAAGAAAAGAAATGGGCTACTTTGCATTGACTGATGGAGGCCAGGCATATGTCACACTCGTAACTTTTTGAGGCATAACTCAGCTTGCCTACATGTGGGGTAAATGACAGTAATTCTGTGTTTGGATTCTGAGAAAGCAGCACTTAGCCAAAGCTTAGCTGCTTCTGGATCCTAAAAAGTAATTATTAAAGAGAAAATACTTGAAAGAAAGAAACTACCTTTTTTTTTTTTTTTTTTTCCAAGTCCTTGAGAATCTTCTTAGAAATTTGTGCTTTTGATTACGTTACTTCTTTTTCCAGCAATTTTTTTTGCAGTGATGGCTTTTCTCATGCATCTAAGCAATAATGTGAGTACTCTGGTATGTATTAATCCGTGAATGGAATTTCTGAATCCATTGACTCTGGTCAGTATCATCAACACTCAGTTTTTCTTTTAAATATAATACGTAACGATAGTGAAAACCCTAACACTGTAGTAATTAAATAAGTGAAGTGATTTACTGTGTAAAATTACCTTGTTTTGTAATATTGAAAACATGGTTGGAGTTGATTGAAAAGGACAATCACTTGCTGGAGGAAAGGAAAGGAGACACGACACAGAAGGAAAGAGATTGAAGGAACTACTCAAATTGAAAATAAAAGGTAAAACAGCACAATAGTAATTAACCAAAACATCAGAGAGGACAGCACAGGCATGAGATTGGGTGGATAGTAAGAGTGGGAAGCATGCTCGCTGGCACTATTTGGATGTTCTTCCTTTTTTGGATGTGCCCTGCATAATTCATTCCTGTAAAATAAAGTTGCTGATAGAAAATCTGTAGGGAGGTAAAACCCATTTGGCTGTTCTTTTCTTCTCCTTTAGCATCCAACAATGACAACGAAATTTTTATATATTACTCGAACCTGGCTCTAATTGGCTGGATACAATAAAGACTCGATCTGGTTCGTAAAAGCTGGTTTATTGGGTCCGAATGCACATGACAATCCGTCCGGCCCAAGACCATCAGGTATTCTGATTTTCTGAACATCAATTTATAGCCATAGGTCCTCTTTAATTTGCATGCTTGCCACGTTTGCATTTTCGCATCATATTCAACCCCACTATTTTCAAATAGTCTCCACTTACCTGAAACGCCAAAATAAAAATATCTTCTCTAATTCGAAATTATAAAATGGATTAGAATTTAATTTTTGAAAATTTTTGTCTTAAAAGAAGCTTTAACCGTTTTGCTTTGTATTATATGGTTGATTAGGTTATCTCCGCCGTTGATTTGGCATATCACCAAATCCTACTTTTTATCTCTCTAAATCAGTCACTCATACTATGTTTTTTCTCAGCAGAAGAACGGAAAAATATTTTGAAAAAAAAAAAAAAATTAAAACATGTTGTCTCCAACTCCACTCTCTCTTCTCTGTGCTCTGCTCCTCTGTTTGCCCTTAGCCGTAATTTTCACTATTACTAGCCCCACCACCACCGCCACAACCACCGCATCCACCACCAAGAACTATCAGAAACTGAAAATCAAAACCATCATTTCACTTCCACGACCGCCTCGCCCTCCTCCCCCGCAAGACGACGAATCGCTTTTCCGACTTGCAGCCGGAATAAATCCGAGACCCGTTCGTCGGAAGAAAATAGCATTCCTGTTTCTCACCACCACACCCCTCCACTTTGCTCCGCTATGGGAACTTTACTTTGACCAAGCTCCCAAACAACTATTTAACATCTATATCCATGCGGATCCGAGTTATAAGTACGACCCGCCGTTCTCAGGCATGTTCGCTAACCGAGTTATTCACTCCGAACCTGCGAAACGGTTCACCCCTACTCTCGCCTCGGCGGCGCGTCGTTTACTTGCACATGCGCTCGTCCACGATCCTTCAAATGCCATGTTTGCTCTCCTGTCACCATCTTGCATTCCCTTGCACTCTTTTAATTTCACCTACAAAACGTTGGCTCGATCCAAGAAGAGCTTCATCGAGATACTCAGAAACGAGAGTTGGGCGTACGACAGATGGGCGGCGCGTGGTCCAGACGCGATGCTACCGGAGGTGAAGCTAGAGGATTTTCGGATTGGGTCCCAATTTTGGGTGTTGTCACGTGAGCACGCGAGGGTCGTCGTTGGTGACCAGATGATATGGGCTAAATTCAATAAGACGTGCGTAGTAGAGGACGCGTGTTATCCGGAGGAGAATTACTTTCCTACCCTTATCCACATGAAGGACCCACGAGGGTCAGTTTCTGCCACGTTGACACACGTGGATTGGAGGGATAGCTTTGACGGACACCCACGCATGTACGAGGCGAGCGATGTGGGGTCAGATCTAATAGTGGCTTTGAGAAACAGCAGGCCTAGGTATGGTGATGATGAGGGTCGGAACGGCTCAGATTCGTCTGTGAGGCGACGACATGACCCATTCTTGTTCGCTAGAAAATTCTCTCCCGACTCGATCCAACCATTGATGAGTATTGCGAAGGAGGCCATCTTAAAAGATTAGAAGAATGTAGAGCAATGATAAATGGCATTGTTGTAAAATGTAAATCATAGTGGGGGGGTTTAGTCTGAAGGCGGCAACTGTATAGAAAGATAAATTCAGTTTTTACTTTGTATTTTTTTAATCTCGTGTGTATGATGTAATAACATACAGAAGCATGAAAATGAAAGCTTTGTTTTTTTTTTCCTTTTTTTTCACTAAACGACAGGAAATGAGTCCTTAATGTATAAAGACAAAAAAGGGTCGGTGGAGGAGATCAAGTGGTTTATTTTTACTGGAGTGAGAAGTTATTTTACTGTATGGGAGGTGTTAGGTTATTATTCTTGCAACCCAATGGTCAAACTGTAATGTACTTAGTTGTTTGTCCTTTGATTTTGTAGGCTTAGCCTGGACCGGACAGTAGAATAAAAAGCCAAAATTAAAATCCTTGCAATAGAGATCCTGTTTCATGTGGGACTTGGGCTTAGGATTGCGAGAAGATTTTTGGGCATTTGAATCAGAATTTTGTGTTGTGTTATGTGTCAATTGGAATAAAAGTTCTGAGTTTGTTTTCTTTTATCGGGCCACATTCACCAATATTTCTCTGGCCCATCTGCCGAGAGTGCCACAAATGTACAATCCCGTCGGAAATTCCTTGCCTACACCCCCGATGTATAGGGTGCAAGTCAATAAAAATTTATTTTAATTATTAGTGTTGATCTAATCGATTGGGAACAAGAGGACAAAGGACTGGTCAATGCGAATTGGCAGAACCGGTGATTTGCTTAGCAGTTGATATCTCCATTCCCAGATTGACATAAATCTTAGGTTAGGTATACTGTAATTATGCAATTGACTAATTACTCATATTTCAGCTACTTTGTCCTCAACGCAGCTGCACAAAAAAGGTAGATTTTTTTTTTTTTTCAAATATCTGATAATTAACCGAACCTAAAGAAACCACTCAGGGTGGGCGTGCAAGGTAGACGACAACTGTACCTCAGCCTGGGGTTCCACTCTCTTCGCATTTAACGACAACAATGATATCTTGTTAGTTGTGAATTGTATTTTTCAAACGAAAACAGGGAAGAAGAGGGAGAGAGAGAGAGAGAGAAAAAAGGAAGAGTGTGGGTCATTGTTGCTAAAGCTGTTAATGGGTTGCGCGAAATCTGTGGACATAGTTTCATGTAAAAGTTGTTTTCAACAAACCACAAAAGAAGACAATCAAGTTCTTTTCAATGTATTTATTGATTATGCCTCTACTAATTAATACAGACCATCCATTCCCACGATCTGATGGATCCGAACCCGGATCCATTTGGGTCTCGTCTTAACAGGAAAGGTGATCCTTATAAAGTAGTTCTAATTGCTGTGGTCCATGTGGCCACCTCTAATTTTTTGGTGAACCACCGCCTACCACCCAATTCAAGGCTGCTCAATCATGACGACAAAAGAAAAAGAAATTACAGGTCAAGGAATTTAGAAAACAGATAATGGGGCTTAAAGAAAAAGATAGATGGTATCCAATGCCATTCTTTAGAAAGAATAATTAAGTACAGGATTATGGATTCTTTAATTCCTGCACCAACATATCCTAAGTGGAGAATCAATGAAGATGAAAGGAAGTTTCTAGCTTTACATGGACAAGATCATCCATTTGCTTCTCATATAAGAATTTGGATCATGCAACTTTATAATAGAAGATGAATACATAGCTTATAATGTTTTATCATTACTCAGTTGGCCTTTTGCTTGATTACTCGCCAATTTCAATCTGCTTTGATCTAAAACTTACATTGTTATTGACGCTGGCTTTTCTATCTATGACAAGCCAACTACTTGAACCACATTCATACCATGTTGTTTTGTAGTGATATTTGATGGTTTTGAATGTGTCTTTTTCCTAGATTTGTTTCCTTTTACATTCTGAACAAGAAATTCAACATCAATTTATAAAAACATCTACTTTTCCCTATATTGCCTGCTTTCTCAAACAACTAAGTAATATCTTTAATAGTATAAGGTATTTAGGTCAAGTAACTACTAAATGAATCAAGCCTTACCAACACCAAACTTTTAGTGGGGAATATAAATTGAGAATTTTTCCCTTTCGAAAACGACCTTGAAACCAAGAAAAGAACATCAATTAGCATGCTATGAAGCTTACAGCCTACCTTCTCTATCTTTAAATAAAATTCATCAAGGCACAACTAAGGGTATTATACAGGCCTTCGTACTAAAGTAACTAGTTAGTTTGAAAAAGAAAGAAAAGTAAATTCAAGGACAAGTATTTTCCACAATTAATCCAAGTGAGTTACAATTTCTAATCAAATTTATGCTCTTAAACAAAGAAAAGTATTAAAGTTCAACATAAAGATATCAAAGAAAAATGCTAATATTACAAAGCACAACGAGATGCCATGATTTGAATTACATACAGGTCTCCCATACATCAAAATGCCCCACAATCATTAGTTTATAGAATTCAGTCTCTCCTTCTGCCTCTCCCTCTCAACCCCATTTAATTTGTGCAAAAATTGCAGAAAATAACATCATAAGCGATTGGGAAAAACAACACTAAAAAGATAAACATAACATGAACAAAGAGCAGTTCTATAGATGAACGGAAAAAAAAAAAAAAAAAAAAAAAAAAAAGAGCCGATTGGGAAAAACACACTAAAAAGATAACACATAACATGAACAAAGAGCAGTTCTATAGAATGAACGGAAAAAAAAAAAAAAAAAAAAAAAAAAAAAAAAATTCAGTAACGGGGTATTAAAGTAATAAACCCAAAAAAAAAAAAAAAAAAAAAAAAAAAAATCAGTAAGGGGTATAGTAATACCCGGCCGGTGGCCCCATTCCATTGACTGGTGGCATTCCATAAGGCATCATTGGCATTGGCCCCGGTCCGGCAGTGTAGTATCCATTGCCATTGATCTTGGCCAAACTAGCTTGGCCTTGCATTCCATCCTTTGCATATTGCTGCCATACTTGCTGCTCCTGGACAAGCAAGTGTTGTTTTTTCTCCATATCAGACATTTGCACGTATGAAGGAGGTGGAATGCTCAAAGAAGCAGCAAAAGGATCCTGATTAACAGTCTGAACTGTTCCATCTGGAGCTGGGAGAGCCAAAACAGGCGTTGCACTCTTCCCTACCGCTGGCAATGCCACACTGCTAGCACTACCTCCACTCAATTGTGTAGTACTAACGTGTTGTCTCACAGTTCCTTGATCATACATGCCACTTAACAACAATGGATCAAAGCCACCACCCAATGTTGCCTTTTGCTTAGATAAATTGCTAGCCGACTCGACCAATGCCAATTCCCAATCTGCCTTACCTGGTTCGGCAGCTGGAGTCTGCCAAGCTGAGGTCACTTGAGGCTCCCCGTTAGATGGAAATGCTTCCCATGATCCATTTCCATTATTAGCAGGTGGCCCAGCAAACAAAGCCAATGCCAATCTATTTCCTTGATCATCTGCAGAGACAACATCGTCCCTCAAATTCACCAAATCTTCAGCAACCTGCGGTTGCTGAGGTGTAGGCTCTGGCTCAGGAGGGGGAGGAGGAGTGTAATTCTCAGGCGGAGGCAATGCCTTAATTTCGTTCATATCAGGTACAGGCTCTTCCTCTTGAGCCACAGGAGGAGCCTCCTCTTTCCTCTCAGGGCTCTTGGGCCGCTTGGCCCTATCCCTGACAAACTCCTCCAAAGTTTCCAACAATTTACTAGTAATCTTCTGCACATCTGGATACTCTGAGGATCTAGCCACACCAGTATCCTTACACCAATTATAAAATATAATTAGCTCATCAATCTGTTTCCCTGCACTGGCATAAGCATCAAAGGCCTTCACACAATCTGGATACTCCATGTCAAAGAATTTGTCCAACAAAACAGCCAAAACCTCACATATATCTGCATACAACTGAAAACTCTCCCTCACAACTGGATAAAGCGCAATTAGTATCATTCTGCTGTTCTTGGCTAATCCAGTAGGCCGACATGACAAGAACCTATCCAATAACCTCTGCAAATGAGCCATCTTGCCAAAAATTCTCTCAGGTTTCATTTCCCTCAATGGAGTAACTGCCCTTCTTTCCTCTCGCCCTTCTCCACCATCTCTTCCGACCGCTTCACTCATATCTCCAAATGACCTCGTCCTCCTAGTCATTCCAGGACCTCCATGTCCACTTTCACCCCTATAGTCGCCATAATCATTGTACTCGTATGGTCTCGGTGGTGGTGATCTAAAATCACCTCTGGCTCCATATCTCTCAATTTCACCATGGGCACTGCCGCCTTTCCAGTCCAAATCACCTCTAGCACCATATCTTTCAATTTCACCACGGGCACTGCCGCCTTTCCGGTCAAAAAGCACCAATTCAAGTCTCTGATCTAAATACATGGCATAAGTCCTTACGAAGGCAGAATGATCCCACGAACTCGAGTGGGCCTCATCTCGAAAATCAGACATATTCAAAAGCCTAGTTCCCCTCCTTGTAGCATACAGTATTTCTTCTTGAAACAATGGATCTCCATCGTTTAACAGCCTGTGAATCAGCATCAGCGCCTTGAGCGCCACAATCCAGTCCCTCGTCTTCCCCAGCCGCTTCGACACCGCCGCCACACAGGCGTGCACGTATCCACGAGAATACGATGTCAAGTTCAAGATCTCTCTTATGTATTTCTCATTCGCCGGATCATCGTCGTGGCTCGTCGCCTTCACTATCGCCACTTCTAGCTCCGGTGCCATGTTACTTGCCACCTTGGCTATGCCAATACTTGTTTGATCCTTAACGGTCCCGATAGCTTTGCGGATTGTGCTCGGCGCCATTTCGACCGTTCGATTGAACCAAAATCCCCCTCGATCTAAAGCTTTACCACTGTATTATTGAGCGTAGATGTAAGAATCAATGCAATTCAGTTGTAATCAAGTCATGTTAGTTACTCTAATTATGGTTAGTGAAGTTTGGAGATTATCCTTACCGTTTTCTGTTTTAAGGTTGTTATAGATCTGGTAAGAAGAATTTCCGGTTGGACAGAATGTTGTCGGATCTGTTAATTCCTTCAACAGAAATGGACTAGGAAAGAAGAAGACCGGTAGACCGAAAACGGCAGCCGTTTTATTCTCTCTCTAGATTTTCTCCGTTGGTGTTGGAAATGTGTAAAAATGGAGAAGACATATCAAAGGAAGAAAAAAAAAGTAGATTTAAATACTGGGTTGGGATCCGGATTACACGTGGAGATATTGAAACCGTTGATATGATCAGAGATCTGGAAATGAGAGAGAAACAGCTATATTACCGGAAGTGTCGGGGGCGTGTGCTTTGTCTGAGATAAAGCATCTTTCAATGTGCAATTGGAGTCAAAACGGACAGAAGAGAAGAGGAGGTGAGCCTGGTTTCAAATTTCAATAATATGCGTGTGGGATTATTTTAATTACCATGGTACGCGTACGGTCTACGGTGATGATGACTGTGCGTTTGCCAGTTTGGGCAATCGGTGTGGAGGTTGATCCGGTCGCTTGGTCCCACAGACGAAGGACAGCGGACGAATGGGCAACTTTGGAAAAAAAAAAAAACCATTTGCTGTGATGGAAGTGTTTTTATGGTGTATTAAATTAGTAAACTAATTATTAATCCATTAATCCATTTTAATAGGAATTTCTACAAAGGCAAATCTAGAAAAAAAGCCATTATTTTAAATTATAATATATCATTAAAGCCTGATTTCCTATATTAGTAAATCATAATAAACACTGAATCCATTAGATAATCAGTCAATATTGCAAATTAATTATTGCAATTCAATGTTATTCTCACTTTAAATTCATTAATTCAATGGCGTATTTTCTTTTTTCTAAAAAAAATTATTTTAAAAATTGAATCTTCACTTTATAGTTTTTCTCAAATCACTTGCACAATTTTATACTTTGCTCTCTTTTTAAAACATATGTTATATAGTTTGTTAATTTTTTCGTTTAAATATTGATTTTGTCTATTGACACTCCAAATTTTAAAAAGCATTTAGTTATGCAATAAATAAAATTAAAATTTAAAAATCAAATATAATCCCCTAGTTCTTAACTATTAACCTCAAAAACAAGTTGGTGATGTTTGGTGGAATTAACGCAATCTACAAGTTAAAAAATAAATAAATAAATATATTCAAACTATTTATTTCTTTTTATTGCTAACCTAATTATAGTACTTTCCTGTTGAAAGCTGAAAAATGTGATGATTAGTTATTAGACTTCAAATAACACTGTGATCGCGTGGCCTAATGGATAAGGCGCTCGCCTCCGGAGCGGGAGATTGTGGGTTCGAGTCCCACCGTGATCGATTTATGATATTTTTATTTTTTCCCTCAAATACTTTTTACAGTTCATTCATTTCCTGCCGACAAATGCATATTAATTATTCTTTGGGATGCACAACAATAAATTCTTTCAAAGCGCATCACAATCCCTACCTTAAAGTTTGCCACAAAAATACCCACAACCATCTAAATATAAGAAGCAGTAGAAAGGGCCACTGAAACCAAACTTTTATTATCTTTACAATTCTAACATACAATTCTTCATATGTCATCCTTACATTTTACAGAGCATCATTGATCCCAACCTTCCAATTATGTTAGGAAGCATCAGATCACCAGAGTAAATAAACAAGAACTTCTATTTAGAAAACTTTTCTCTTGAAAGCCAAAAACCACAATTATATAAATTTATTATTTCCCAAGTGGATCTCTGAGAATTTGGATGTGTTTGTGAGAATCCCTTATCCGCCATAGATATACTACAGAACAGATGATGATCACAAGCGCAGCTGCACATCCTACTGCAATCCCAACAACTTTTCCTACATGCTTCTTGTCTCGCTTGGAAGAGTCTGTACCATCAGAGACTGAAAAAATATACATATGTATATATATACATATATGAACTTGATTAATAATCAAAGAAACTGCAACCCAGAAGCTAAAAATATGAGATACTGCATGACTGTGACAAACCTTGAGAAACATGAATTGCTGACACTAAAGGTCCATATGTGCTCTGTAACGGTATGCAACAAGTCCCTTTCCCAGCCCAAAAAAAGTGAATGACCATGACGGTATTTGTCACATTTGCCTCGAAGGTTCTAACCAAAGCTCTTTTGGATCCGCCAGCTTCTTTTTGAATGTTAAAGTCCTGGAGAACTTTCTTCCCCTACGTACACAATCCTTATTAGTGCTTTTAGATACGAGAGGCAAAGAAGAAGAGACAGGGTTAGATGTACACTGACTTTCCATTGTGTTACAAAGAGTTTGAAGTTTTCAACATACCTGAATGTAAACGTCAAAGATGCGCCTCCCAAGACCCTTCCAAGACTGAGATATGTCATCCATTACTATCTCTGCAAAGTGAAGCTCAACGTTGTATCTCCCATTCTTTAACCCAAGACCATAGTACCTCAGTGAGCTTGCTGATATCCTTGCTGTCTTATAGAGCTCAGATTCCAAAGTTACTGTGATTTGAGAATCTGTCTGTGCTATATATTTAGGTGCAGGATTGGAGATGAAATTCCCAACATTGCTCACAGCCCACATATTGTTAGAGCTTGTGAGAAGTGTTGCAGCTCCCAGCATTTCAGAATCATCATTATATTCAATGCCAGATGCAGACGTTTGGCTAGGGCCTCCACACTTGATGGAGAATGTGGCTGCAATAGAAGTAGCAGGGCTTTTACAATCGGAAGATCAGCTTTACAAGAATAACAATCTCAAACTTTGGTGAACATATTTTAAAGGAAGTTTTTATCTTAGAATTACAGAAGTTCTGACGGCTTTACATACAGGATGGAAGTTTGTTGTTGCATTTTAAATCATCTTGAACGCATTGCAGCATCCCAGAAACCTTGCTGCTTCCATTATAATTCATTTGGTTAAAGAAAAATAGGAGTGATCCAAAGTAACAAAGAAAAGGATTCACTGCATCAGGTTAAGAAATTCTAGAAGAGTCGTCTGTGTATATTTATATCAATAAATTATGCGAGCAATCTTACTTGTCCTGCAAGCCATTTGCATTAATGGATGTCCCAACAACAATCCTGAAGAATAAAACAAAGTCATTACAGTATGACCACTTTCATAAAATATTTGAGAATACATAAATACTGCCACCGTGTAGCTAATACCACACCAGTGGCTTGGGAAGAGGAGGCAGCAAAGATTTACTTACGTAGATGGTACAACTTTGGTAAGATTTTGTGGCAAATTTCCAGAAAGAGGATTGAATGAGACATCTCTGCCATGAAACAATCAATTAAAATTTGGCCATATGGTTAGAATGCAACTTATCATAATTCACATTGCAAATACCATGAACCATCATAGTAATTACATTACCACCGTTCATTTTCAAGCGGCTTTGTTTGAATAACAATGATAAATTTGGTCCACAATTGACATGACTTGATTGATTTCAACTTCAAATAAAATGTATATAAGATAGTATGTACCACATGATCATGCGTACACTAATAAAATTGAATATCTGAACAAAAAAGGAATACCGAAGGAAGGATCACTTACATTGCAATAAGCTGTGGACCTATGATATTTGCAGGTAGCTCCCCATTCAAGTTGTTATTCCCAAGATACCTGAGACATAATTGTTTTTGTAAGCAATCACAGGCTATGAAAACATATAAAATTTCCTGACAAGTACAAGAAGGAATTATCAGGGGAAAAAGAGAGATACTCTTTCCTTGCCACATTTCAGATGGCGTGTAGTTCAGCATAAGCAAACAGAGTGTAATTAGTTGACGACTCAGAATTATTACTTGCAGCATTACAATAGAAGTAGCATTAAGCAGTAAAACTAAAACTTACATATATTGTAGGGCAGTTAAATCTTGAAATGAATCTGGAATTGGACCTGTCAACTTGTTGAAACTCAAGTCCCTGTCATAACAATATCATCCAGACAGCAACCAGATAAAATTCAGAAAATGAAAAGAAATGCTGAAAATCTTTTAGCTTTATAGAAATTAGGCTAGTGACTGGAAGTCAAAATTAGAAAATAGATATTTTTGAAACAAAAAAGAAGCATATCAATGTCCAGAAAACGTAACTTTAATGTCAAAGGTACTTACAGTAGTTTCAACTGGGAAAAAGTTCCAAGTTGTTCTGGAATTTGTCCTGAAATTAGAGAGTTCCGCAAGATCCTGCAACCAAAATGGACAATGGCATTCACCTAGCCTAATACAAGAAAAATGTTTTTGAAAAAAAAAAAAAAAGAATGCTTTCAGAAATTAAGTAGAAAATCTTACAATATGGATAAATTTGTTTGATTTTTCAAGAACTCAAGAGAAGAATCTTCACCGCTAAGATCACCAATTCTCCTGTAAGGAACAGACTGACGTCAAAGATACTCTCATGTAGTACCTACTGTCAAATTAATATGAACAAATGGAGGGAACAAGTGGAAAGAAAAAAGGCCACAGACATCCAGCAGTATAGCAGAACTGATTTAGGAGCTATCATTATTTCAGGACAATAGCATATGATATGATGCAAAAAAACTTTACTCCTAATTTAAATAGACTTACAGGTCTTCCAGTTTGTTAAGAGCACTAAAACTGCTAGGGATTGGACCTTCAAGCTTTGTACCTTGAATTCGCCTGTAGGTGAGAAAATTCAACAGTTCATACATGCACCACAATTAATTAAAACAAATGATATATTTATAAAACCAGAGCAGTGTAGCTTAAGAGAGATCACGCATACAAGACCCTAAGTTCTGTAAGAGTCCCAAAAAAGTCTGGAAGCTTTCCGGTAAAGGGATTATCAGATGCCCAGCTGTAACAAAGAACAGGTCCACCCAAAAAAAAAAAAAAAAGATTATGACCTCATTATATAAAATTCAGCTGTCAAAAACAGTGTTCAATGATCTACAGGAAAGTACAGAATCTGAAGGGATTTCAATTTTGCAAATTCTTGTGGTATTGGTCCACTTACTCCGCTGCTATCAATATACCTGAAATGGAAGTGCAAACAGTTGTTGGTCAGATTGGACAGCAAGAAAAGAAAAATAAAAAACATGCACAGGATGACCAAGTGCACGAAGTATTCCACATTCGTGAGTTCTGAAGAGGGCTAATGTATGCAGCCTCCCCACGCTATTGCAGAGAGGCTGTTTTTTTGGCTCAAATCCATGACCTCTATATGACAACTGGAGTAACTTTAAAATTACACCGAGCAACCTTCCAAAAAAGACATGAATGATGCTTTAAAATAGCAGGAAGATACAAAGCTAACATCTCTGCCACATGCGTATTGTTCTCAAAGGTGCAATGACAAACAAGGTAATAGTGGCATGCAGTTAAGCGGTTCCCATCCGGGAAACTTTTTAAATCCAGATTTAACCAAATTTGGCATCAATCAGTCAAAACAATCGATTGCCTTTATAGTCTTCTTAAAGGGCCCCATTAGTAGGTGTCCATGTAGAGGCAGTAGTAAAAATAAAGATCTGTTAAAGGTACCATGACTTCAGATTTCATACAATACAAGTATACAACTTACAATTGCTGTAAGGAGGTCAAGCTTCCCAGGGTTTTGGGTAATGGTCCAAGGAAATTGTTTGAGCTAAAACTTCTGTGAAATGAAAGGAAACCAGAAAATTAGTATTGACTCCGAAGACCAATTAAAGATTAATATTAACATATAAACAGAAAGATATCTGAAAAATTGCAAACAGCACTTAACAGAGAAAGCAACTTGGTCAGATTTCCAAGCTCTGAAGGCACCAGACCTGTGAGATTATTGATGCCTAGGCTGCTGTTCCATTGTCAAATATACAGAGGAAATTTAAGAAAATCTAAACATTGACCGGAAATTTCTTAGCATGAAGTTAAAAGAAGAAAAAACTCAGAATACACTATCACGTGAAGCTTGTTAGACATTTACAGGTATTGCATATTTGATAACTGTCCAATTTCAGGAGGGATAGACCCATTCAATACATTTTGACCCAGATTCCTGCAACGTAATTCAGTATTTTTATGTATCAGTAATAAAATTAAAATGGTGAAATGAGAATTCTAAGGAAATTTGGAGTCTTACAAATCCATTAGCTCCTTAAGCATAAACAGTTCACTGGGTATCTCACCAGAAATATCCAAAGCATAAATCTTCCTGAATTACGTAGGAAAGAGAACAAAATACTTAGCATCAACAAACCATTATAGCTAAGAAATAGCAAAGGTAGAAATTTGGTGATTATATATGGACTGACAGGTGAGTTATGTGGCAGGTGTTGCCAATGCAGTCACAATGAACTCTTGGATTAGCATTTTCATTGGACCAAGTTGCATTTTGGACGCAAGGATCAGTAGTAATATTCAATTTGCCCCTCAAGTTCCAGTAATCTATCATCTTATTGAGTGCATTCACTGAACAAGACAGATAAGATAACCGTTTAAATTTTACAGTACAAAAAAGCATAAAAGGTGTTTGATTTATTCAAAAATCAAAAAAGTAGAGAGACCTTCACTAGGATCGGTGGTGGGCTGCGCAAAAGCAACCTGAAGAACCCAAATAATAAAAAAACAGAAGCTCAAGAACCTCATCTTACTGAACAGCAGCAAAGAGCACTCTCAAACACAGAGAGGGCGAGGACGGCTACAAATTTATAGATAACAAGACAAAGCGCAAATAAGGAATTTTAAATTGTGATTTATTGAAGGTATGGATCCAGTACAAGAACAAGCAACAAAATAGAGCCATTGAAGTCCAAGTTTTCTGGTTTTAAAAAATAAAGATGTAATTTCTCAAAAGTATTATTTTGACCATGCTTTTAAAGTAAAGAGTAGTGATAGTGACGTATGAACAAAACTATTGCAAGTGGCATAGACTTTTCTCCTATGCTTTTGACCGTTTCATTTGGCACTAGAAATCGAATGGTGGGAATCAAGTTAGAGTCCATGCTTAAGATATTAGCAGAAAAGGACATTTTTATATCCATTCTCCGTGTCTCTTTCTCTGCGATGCATCAACACAAACAGATAGTGAGTGCCTAGGGGCTTGTAAATGCTTCATGGACCCTGTACTTTCTCGTTGACTCGTCCAATTTATTTCCATGGCAACACAAATCGGGTGTGGGTGATTAGCGAAAGAGAATTTATTAAAAAAAAAATGCAGAAACCTCCTTGGAGCTGATCCACCAACATGTCAGAGTCTTAAGCCGGCAAATGGTTGTTTCAACCTTTTCTCTATAATTCTGACAAATTGCAGATAATAGCAGATAAAAGATGTTCTTTGTCCATTCTCTGTGTCTCACTGAGTGCTTAGCTAAGAGAGAAAAAAAAAAAAAAAGGGCGTTTCAAGCACTAGGAAATAATATACTTGTACGTACTGCAAGTGAAAAGGAACTGTTGATTTATTGACGCGAGTAGTGTCGTGTCGTTTCATATTTATTAATTGTTTTACATTTATACGTGGTCGTTCGACGACCGCACAAGTGCATCACCTTACATTATAAAAAATTATGCAAAACGGCGTCGCAGGCTTGGTTTGGATCAACTCGGTCTCAATCATGATTCAACGGCAAAAACGACCTTCTTCGGCCTGTGGGCTTTCTTAGACAATTTAGTAGGCCTTCGTTCATTCGATTCATTTTGTTGGAACTCGGTCTACAAAGGCCCAACCTTAAAATATTTTAAAATATTTATTTAATTCTTCTTATTTAGTAAGTTCACATTTACAATTTCCATTTTGTTTTATACCTTAAAGGGACAAAGTACTCGTTCTCGATTATTTAAAGAAACTTTATAACTAATGCTTGAATTTAATATCTTTGACTAAGAAAGAAGGGATCCTACCATCTCACCCCACCTCTCGAATTTTACGATTTGATTATTAATAAAAGTAAAGTAAAATTTTCTAAAAAAAGAATTAATCACAACTTAATTCCTGTCCAACTGACAGAAGGTACCTTCTATGAATTGTATTTTGATCCATAATTATAAAACAATACAAACGCATTTTTATTAATTTATTTGTCATTTATAATAATAAATTTTCATATAATTTAAAAACAAGCAAGTAACTTCAAACTGTGTAATTGAACAATTTAAAAAAAAATGATTTAATAGATGAAAGAAATAGTGTAAACCGTCTCTAATCATCAGCCATTAATAGAATTTTATAATAACATTTTTTCATATCATAAGAATGGAAAATCAATAATCTTCTTTCACATTAATATATCCAATTTGCGTAACAAAAGATTAAATATATTGCATTAAATAACAGCTAATTTTCGTTTTCTCTCTCATATTTCTACGTATATAGCTTAGGTTAAGCTCTACTTCACCACTTTCACTCATTTTCTACAAGTACTTATTCCATCAAATTCCACAGCAACAGCAAGTATATTACAGTCACAATAGAAAACAAAAGAAACATATATAATCTAATTGATATATCCACTCTGTCAATATTTTGAGCAAACCTGAGAATACTAGAGGCGAGCTTCAAACTGGCAAAGTGATAGCAAATGAAATTATTTTATAAAGGTATAGATATAAAGATTATGATATGTAACACACACTCAAATTAAATATATCTAACTAAAACAAATAAACAACAAAAATGTCCAAATTTATATTAAACTCTTATTCTGTTCATTTAATGATTTAAAATTAAATTAATTCTAATACAACCTCTAATATACTATCCAACCCACTAAGAGACATAATGCTATGTATACCGCACTAAACTTCTAGTAACTGGTCGTGTGGTGTTTAACTTATGTAGATCATATTTTAAACAAAAAATAAGGTTTGATATTATTTTAATGAGCTATGGAAAAGAAAGAGGTGAAGTGAGTTAAGGGGTCTCGTGCTACAGTACAGTCATCATGACCAAGGTTTAGATAGCAATTTTGTTTTATTCCATATATATCCTCCTGAAACAAAGTCTTGAGTTTAAATCATCAATAAACATGATATATGTAACAAATATATGGTTTGCACAATCATTTATTTCATGTATTAATCTCCTTCTTTTAAAGTTCTCACAGCAATATATGAGGTTTACTCTTCCAAAATTTGCTTTTTCCGTTAATCGAGGAAAGCACTTTATAAATTAGGATATCATACTTCGTCAACATTAAATAACGAAGCTAAGTTATGTATCTGTTTTTCTACGTTCTTTCTTCACTATGGAAAGTTGTGTCATACGTATATGATAAAAGTCTGATGTTTAGGGTCTTGGGTAGAAGCTTCAAGGTACTTAGCTACAAATTCGCCCCACTAATTTTCACAAACATTCATTCTTCGCTAAGACGAAGATACTTAAACTTCCATTCTTTGGTCTACTTCGAAATCAATCAGTCCAACCATCCAAAATAATCTCACACGACAAAACTATGCTAAGCTCTAGGTCAAGGGTTTTCACATTTTTAATCAACTAATAAGAAAACTAAAAGAAACATATTTATAATCTAATTGAGGTATATATAGTATATATATATATAAATCTATATATAGATTGCTAATGTTTCAACGACTTTCTCAGCAACTCCAGACGCTGCACAGAACTCAGCTGAAAGTCCTGCAAAAATTTTCCATCACAACCATGGTCCAAGAATTTTTTTTTTAAAGAGAAGGTAAGAGTGGAAAAATACAAATGGGAATATATAATTGCAATTTTCAACGACCATTTCTCAGCAACTCCAGACGCTGCACAGACTCAGTGAAAGTCCTGCAAAATTCCATCAATGTCAGAATTTTTTTAAAGAGAAGGTAAAAGTGAAAATACAAATGGGAAATTATTATTCATTATACGTACTGCCATGGTACGTCTGCTGCAAGTAGCCAGTCTCCATCTTTGTCTAGGTACGTCAATGTGTAGTTATTTGGAGTACTATCTTTCTCTGCAAGTTGGCCTGTGGAGAACGAAAGATCAAGAAATTGATTAATTTATAATTTATAGTATTAATTTTAATAATAAGGTAGAATTAGAAGAAGCAGTACTACTCACACTGGGAAAACATACTAATCAAGGAGTTTGTAAGTGTTTGATAAGAGTGGAAAAGCCTAAGATCGACTTTTCTTGCTATTGCCACTCCTTCCATTTTCACCTTCACATAAATAGAGTTATTTTCTTTCCCACCACCACCACCAGCCACCCTATTTTTCAAAATACGGCCACTTTGTTGGTGGTGAAGCGCCTTCTTCCGCCACGATTTAATCGGCGGCCAACCCACCACATGATCATCATCTTCACCCTTGCTGTATATTCAAGAATTAAATTAATTAATAAAGTTTCAATTTTTCATATAAAAAATTAAATAATACACTTACTTGTTAAGGCGACAAGAGATTCTCTTATTTGCTCTATTATTCTCATCATCTTCGTCATTAGGGTGTCCACTCCATAAAAGCAAAGGCAAAGCTTCAGATTTTGAAGCGTCTTTTAGCTTTACAAAGGCATCTTCAAAGCAACGCTTCTTACTAATCTCTAATGAACAGGCATCAATAGGATTTTGGGTAGAGAGGGAAAGACCTAAATGAAGCTCCATAAATCAAAAGAAGAAATGGGTTTAACGGAATGGAGTTGTCAACTCGATTGAAACTGTGAAGCGTATAAATAGAGAGAGACAGATAGAGAGAAGGAGACAGACGAAATTGGACATTGTCTTGAAAGAAGAGAGGAAGTTAAAGACAGCATGGAAGTTGGGTCGGGAAAAAGCCTGGCAATGATATGGACAGGTGAGGAAAAAGGTGCACCAATGTGCTTGGACCGCTTAAGCCCATGGTTCGGTCTTTCTAATCTTTCAGTTTTTAACCAATTTGTCTTTGCGTCCCCACGTTAACAATCTCAGCTTCCCTTTTCTTTCTTTCTTTCTTTCTTTCTTTTCAATTCCACTTAACTGTCTACGTCTAATTTTCCGGGAAATCCATTTTTTTCTTATTCGCAACGGATTCAAAAGCTTTAATCCTAATTATTGAAAGAGCTTTATTTAGATACTATCCGGAACACTGTTGCAAACCCAACAAAAAAAAAAAACAAAAAAAAGAACATAATACGAGTTAAGATTTATTTTCTTTAACGAATTAATGTTTTTGTGTTAATTTAATTTGTATAAAATTTAAAGACTTGTTCCAAACCTAATTGATTAACTATTCTCAAAGCATCATAATCATGTGTTTCTTGACTAGATTAACTATCATACATGTTTGATAAAATTAATTATTTTAGTAATTATTAGTTGTTTTGAAGTCTTTCAAACTGTTTAATCAGTATTTCATCAAACTAAAAAGAGTAATATATCATAATCTGTTCCGCTTGCTTAAATACTAAACACTATGACGCATATAGTAGTAGTTCAAACAATATTAATAAAATGGAGCCTCCATAGTTTCATCTAATTAATTGGAGAAAAAAAAAACAAAAGAAAAAGAAAACACAAAGACAATATTGTTGTGGTAGTCAGTAGAGACATTATAGTAAGTGCACATGACTTAGTTTATAAACAAGTGAAATGTGTCGGCAGAAGTCCGTCAAACATATCATGATTCATCAACTCTATGATTTCAAGAAGCTCCAAAATAATAGGTATCAAAACATTCTACTGATCCTCTTCCATACAAATCATATGTACTCACACTAATTAAATATTTAATCTCAACTTCTCCTATTTATCATAATTACGATTCTTTCTGTCGGAGTTTAGTTCCACACTTCTTGCTCAATAATGTCAGAGAGAGAAGAAAGATAAGGGAAAATGAACTTAGACAACAGAACCTACTAACATACTATTTCTTTGTGTTTGTGTGTGTGGTAGGGTTCTTATATTCTCATAATATTGAAGCAGAGTTACAGAGATTGTTCCCATGTGAAGTTCACGTGACAGCCAGCGTGGGCGCGGAATGCAGGGCCAGTTTGAGTGCGAAGACAGGTTTAAACCAGCTATGGAATTTCTAATTTGACAAGTCCAATCAAACTGGCTCGATCGTGTGTAGTGGAACCCAACAAAGAGTGAGTACCTTTAGCTGGCACTCATAAATTCAAAGCTCTATAAGTTATAATGCACTAGCCATGGGACTTGGCTGTCTGGATGGGTTTTGTGCAAGTATGGGGAATTGAATAGTTCAAATTAAAACTTGTATAGTGAATGTTGATAGTGTTTTTGAGCAAGTGGGATATGCCAAAGACATTATGGAGAAAAGTTTTACTAATTAGATACCCACATGTTATAGGTTGAGTGGTTATTGTCTTTGTCACTTGTAATCATTCTCTTTGAAAATTTTTTTTTTATTATTATTATTTTTATAATTATTGTTATTTTAACTTGCTTCAAAGATTCATTATAGCAGCGGTGCAATTTTTCTAGTCAGGTGGAAACCTAACTCCAAGCATTTGCCTAATAAAGATAACCAAGTGTAACCTAACTCTAACCCTTTTTTAAATTTCAAAGTGTGATTAATCAAAACAATTGAGCCAAGTCTAAGGAATCGATTGTTTTTTAGACCCACAACACAATTCGTGTAATCACATTTACAGAAATCACCCCTGGTCCCATTGACAAAATGCAAGGAGCCATATGCTTTGAAATGCAAGTGGTATTGTGGGAAGCTATTTCTAATCGCAAAAGCATTTATTTCCTTATCTGCCCAGATAAGATCTCCTTGAAATGAATTATAAAAGCTTGCTAAAGCAGTAAGAGCTTTTTTCAAATTTCAAAGGCCAGGCCTCTGTCCCAAGTTCCCTTCCCTTGAGGATAGAAGCTCTTTGATTGATTAAGACTGCCATATTTCTATCCAAAAGTACTTTTATAGTCTTGTGTCGCGTTAAATCAAATGTCACACTCACTCTGATGAATACAACCAATTACTGAATTTGGAAGATTGATGTAAAATGTCCTCCAATTCCCCTACCAAACTTTATACATATCTCAGGCACACGAGCTGGAGTCGGGGTCGTCTGAAGGACATTTTACTTAACAGTATTCTATGTACCTTCTGAGCAGTGGGTCTATTTAATGTTAATCTTATTAGGACAAGTTCATCTTCTTTACTCGTATTAATGAAGCACCTAGGGTACCCCTATGACGAATGGTCTCAAAACGATTTTTCCCACCACTGAGACCAAGCATTTTGCCTGTTGGGCTTTGTCGATCTTGATCGTCTCATTTCTATCATCAGCTCGTTTAATTCTTCATGACGGGCCGCAAATGTCTTTTTAACTGAAAGGGTGTCAAAATATCATTGTTAAACACAATGATTTCCCTTTGTTTTCAACATCATTTTGTTAACTAGCAGTCAAAACTCTCCCTATCTTCTGTTCCTCTAAAGCATAATCATACATTGTATATCAATCATTGTTAACTTGGTATTTCTACTTCTGTTGGGCTAATCTGCATCTGCCTCATCTTTATCTCTTCATTGTTCTTGCAAAATGTTAATTTAAACTGTGCGCCAAAATCTGACCTATTTGTGGACTTAACTGAATGTGGTTGCTCAAGCAAGGCAAGTCCTAATCCACATATTGCTTTTGGACCTGCAGCTAAGAGATGTCCAATGGAAATGGGTATCATGAACCGTGGTGTATAAATAATATCAGCAAATGATTAAGAAATAGATATGGATTGATTAAACTTCAAATTAAGAGAGTGAGATAAACATCATCATCTGGAGATGAAATCCTTCAGTACAGTTAACCATCTTCTGTAGATGTGACTGAGCTTTCTTCATTGCCAGTGGCACTACACAAGGCCTTCCAGATAGGGACCAACATCTTCACAGGTGGATACAATTCCTAGACACGGAATTTAAGTTAATTCAGTAGTAAAGAGTATACTAATAAAAAATTAAAACTTTGTTTGGAAAAGAGAGTAAGGAAAATGATTGAAATATTTCTTCCTTCAATATTTTCCTCCCCTTTTTCAAACAAGGGGAAAACACCTTTCCCTATATATTTTCCATGGTTATTTTCCTTTCTTCCAAACAAAAGCTAAATGAAGAGCATTGATTATCGAATATTTCTAAATCATTTCTTACAGGCAACAAATTATCTTGTTATAAGAATTTGCAGCTGTAATTTTAACCCCATAAAAAGCACTTGCATCTTGTAAGCTTGCTAAGCTCACTAATCAGCTGTACATTTTTCAGAATCTATTATTGGAGAAATTTTTATACCTTAAATACCAACATTAGTTCTCCTTCCCCATGCAAAATCAAAGATAGGCTCCAGTAACAAGTTATAGGAGTCACGCATTCTAGCAGCACAGGTTTCAAAATCTTGCCAATTGGAACAAAGTGTCGGACAATCCTTCCACTGCACAAAAAAGAAAAATGTTCAGTGCAGAAACAGGAAACGGAAATAAGATATCTTTTGACAGACAACTAATAACTATCGTGAGCATAATCTTAGAGGGCTAATAGAGGAAAAAAAACTGCTGGGATTATGATAAATTTGCATCAATAGCAATTGCAATATTTGCAGATTCTTTGAGGTAAAGCATCAGAGAAACATCATTGGCCTAAAGGAGAAAGAGATCGGTTGAGATGTTTGATACAAAGAATGAATATGAAGAACAAGCAACAATGATGAAAGTTTTTATTCGATTCATTAGGTTATCTCTAATTTGGTATACATGATAATGCCAACTTTCAAAATGTCCTCAAACAATGATGCCAACTTAAGACATACAATGGCCAACTTGTCCTCTCCTTTCAGTATAACCGCTCATCCAGGCTAGTCACCAAACTTGAGCTTCCAAAATTAGGTGTGCTATCTAACAGCCACATATGTTATGCAACCAAACCTCTCATGTAAACTTGATGAATGATGCCATAAACAAAATTAGCAATATATTTGTATATGCATAGTTCAGGTGCCTTAGATACAATTCATATGTGTATTCACACATTTGACAGGATGAAATTTCAGGCATGTGTGCACTGATGAAAGAAGCAAGAAGAAGAAAATAAATTATACCTTGTATAGTGTGTTTCAAATTGGACTCCAAAAGCTGGCATTACCACAACAGATTCTGAGTCATTCCAACATAAGACTGAGTAAAGAATGAAAATATAATCTCTCAAAATTGAAGGACGCACTCAATACAATTTATTGTGCCATAACTTCTAAAATTAAGATAAACTAATGCATCATAATATTAAGAGCTAAGTTCAAATTCTAACCTTTTACAACAGGCTTCCAAATAATCAATTTGACAAGGATTGCACTTAAAATGAAGCTCCAGAAGAGAATGTTGATTGATATGTCCTGATGATTTTATCATCATTATGTCAGTTAATGTCACAAATGACTAAAGTAGCAGAATAAACTTGCAAATTGCATCAACTTAAAAAACCTTTTTTTTTTCTTAAACAAAAGAATTAGAATAAAAATGAGCAAATAAAAGCTGGATTCAGCTCCTCAATATTAAAATTATGGTGCAAAGAGCTAAAGCGTGGACAAAGGCTTTCAACAAAAGGCAACATACCGAAGCTCAGTTTCACGGAACTATGGACAAAAGCACTAACAACAAACACTCAAATAAAGGAAGACAAGAATCAAGGTCTTGAAAAACTTAAAAAGTAGACAAGAATATGATATACCTTGACTAGAAAGAGACATAAGGCGTTTGGTAAAAGAACAAAAGCGGAGAGGTATACAAAGAAACTCTTCGTTTTGCTCTTCCGAACTACAATATGGTGCACGTCAATTGCTTCGGAAGGCCATTTACAGTCATGAATGTAAGTATATCTTCGATCAGTAATGGACAAATCAGCCATTATTTATATCTGAGAATTTAAATCATGACCAGCAATATAATTATATCTGCACTGAGAACAGCACGTCAACAAAGAGATAAGGAGCTGTTTCAGTTAGAAGTTCAAAATCATTTACATAAAAGAATCTTATTAGAACTAGATAGACGGTAGGCCCATCCTTACATTGCAATTCTATTAACAAATGAATCCTCAAATCCAATGGCAGTAGTCAGTTAGTCAACAGGAAGATGGAGAGCTAGGGTTAGCAAACAAGAAAAAGAAAATCAATCACAGACAGAAGAAAAAAAAAAAAAGAGGAAAAAACTTACAACTATCAGTAGATTAGAGAAGACGTCGGAGGTAGAGAGCTTGCCATGGGAAACCGACATAGTCCGGCGAAAGGTGTCCGTCACGGGCAGAGGAGGTTTCGTTGCCGCTCGAAGCCTCTAGTTTTAGACCCAATAAAAAAATTGAAAGGCTTCTATTTCTTTTGTTCTCCTTCAGTAGCCCAATTAGTGGCCCATTCTTTCATGGTTTGGGTCTTAAGGGCCATATGGTCGTTCACGAAATCCCATCGAAATTTCTGTGAAACTGAAAATTAGAAAAAGCGTTTAAATTTCCCGACAAAGAAGAGCATTTAAATGGCCGCACCGGAAATGTATAAAGCGGAAAAAAAAAATAAAAAAATAAAAAGCTAGCGTTGCCAGGTCAAATTCTTCATGTTGGATTGACCGCAGCCGCGCGAACCTCCACATATGACTCATGTTCCGCTGAGTTACGACTCAGTTGACCTTGACCAGGTTTGGACCTGGGCTTAGCTGGATTCGCTTAACTTATCCCAAAATAAAAATTATTATAGAATTATATAAGCAGCACCCGGCGGAGAACAACAACGCAAAAAATAAAAAATAAAAAAATCATTAAATTAAGATTTGTTTCTTCTAAAAAAAAGATTTGTTTATTAAAATCGTACCATTTTTCATTAATTTAGATTACAATAAATTTATACTCACAGCATTATAATTTTGAAGCCTCTTTATTATCGTTAATCAAAATTCATTAGTATTCATGTTTGTTTTCATAAATTTTCTTAAACAACCTCTTTAAATATTTGTAGTAAAAATTTCAATGGCTTTTACAAATATCAATCTTATATCAATATAAATACTTTTTTCTAGTACTAGAGAGGGGATTCAAACTTGAATCTATTGTCGAGTTGTATATACATTTATTCCTTGGCTATACTTTAATATGTCAATATAAATACTTTTATTTTAACAAAGAAGAATAAAATATATTTTAAAAATTTTAGAAATCTCGTAATTCATTTATATTTTCATTTTAAAGTCATCTATTCATTAGTCGGTGCAAACTTTTTACAACACATTTATATTATCTACTGTAAATTTATAAAAGTCATATGTTATAAGAATGTTTTTATATATATAGTTTAAGAACAAACGGATTAGCAATTAAATTTACAATTATACTCATCAAAACATAAATAATGAATAATATTTCTACTTACCTTAATGTAAGTTGTCATTCAATGCTTATAATAAACTATTCTTATTGTAGACTAATCCAAAATTATATTCATTTTTTGAATATAAAGGATAATTTTAACGATAAGTCTTTATTAAAATTAAATGTACACTTACTGTCAAGGCAAGCTGAAAATTCATAATATATGTATATATATAATTACATATTGACTCTCAAAATATAAAAAGTTTTATTTCCTTGTCCTAATTTTAAATTGAGGGTAAAATATTAATACCAATATGAAATAATATAAAAAGGAAAATGTTACTCTAGTGGAAAAATATTGGCCAAATACCTCGACTCATAATGACACACCCTTCTTATTTTTATTTAATTTGCAGTTTCTCAACCAAAATGAAGGATACAGTGTAGGCGACCCCGGCCTCGATCAGGTGATCTCTTAAATACTCCGAGTTCCGAGTTGCGCGACTCACTTCGTGGAGTTGACTATAAAACCTATGCTTGATTTCACTAATTTAAAATACAGAGCAACAAAGACAACTGACAGACATTTCTCCAATGGCGTCAAATTCCTCCAACAATCCGATACTTCCAGTATCCAGCTCTTCAACCGGCGAAGAGAAGGAGAAGGAGAGGCTTATCAAAGGAGGAGATGAAAAGCTTTTCAGAGGATCCGCTATGACTAAAAGAGGAGCCTATGCTGCTATCTCTTACATGTCTTGTGCAGGTACCTTCTTTGAATACATTTAGGTTCGTGATTCGCTGAAATTTCACGTAATCTGTAGTCTTGTTATTTGCAATTTAGAGTAAGAAAGATTATGTACGTATACATTGATTCCAAATCTCCAGCGTGTAGTTAATCTTACTTAATTGTCTTTGTTATAGAACATAGATTAGATTTTTCAAATTATGGATTTGAATTTGGTTGACATGTAATTTGGATACTATGTAGACCTGATTTTGGAAATGGCGGTTGCTGCAAGGATAATAGGCTATGGTGACCAGGACTGGATTGGTGGTGCTAATTTAGATTTAAAGTCATTATTATCCGTCATATATTAGGTATCGTCAAGCTTAGATGCGCGATTCCCCTAATTTGATGATTTGTGCTGCGTTATTATGTTTGGCTTATTTTGGATGTGGTTGCACAAAATCCACATGAATAATCTGAGATATATCAACATCGGGCTTTCAATTTTCTTGCATCGTCTGAATTTTAGAAGAAAGAATGAATTAGGAAAAAAATGTAAAATAAGATTATATGATTTCACGGTAGCTCATTTACTTGAGTTATCAAATTTTGTTATATCATTTTGTTTAGCCGCTTAAAGTTTATCCACATGTTTTGCAGTGCTCTTGGTAATGTTCAACAAAGCAGCTCTTTCTTCTTATAAATTCCCTAGCGCAAATGTTATAACGCTATTTCAGGTAGGTCTTTATTCTTTTATTAACTGAATACGCGCAATTAGTACTATTTTATTCTTCCCTATACTTTCCTTCTTTATTTCAATGAACAATTAATGTTGTAAGCTACTCTTTCATTTCTGTATTCCTTGGTCTTGTTTTTGGGATATAGCAAATTGACTCGTACGTTTGCTATGAAATTATGCATTTGAAAGGCAGAAGTACAGAGCAAGAGTAGGAGTGGACTTCTATTTTTATATCAGAAATTGGTTAGAGCCAGATGACCAGGAGTAATCCTAAGGTTTAGCTTAGCAAACTTCTAACCTGCTGAGCTCACTGCTCATAACAATTGGTTTGATTATTGATCTTAAATAAATTTCACTATGATTGCAGTTATATTAGTTGAAGTTCTTGGATATTAACAGTTTGAGCCTCTTGACCTAACACCTTTAATCTTCGCCAGTTCTGCAAAACTTATCATACACTCTTATGTGTAATGAAGATACTATCCATCAGTATAAAATAATTTGTGTTTTCATGCCTCACCATTTTGTGAATTCCACTTCTTTAGATGCAAACAGGTCTATGGCATTTTCTGGAAATAGTATATTTACACACTTTTTTCTACTTCTGTATAGATGATAAGCTCATGCTCTTTTCTGTATGCATTAAGACGCTGGAAGATTGTTTCTTTCACGGTCGGTGAATCTTTACATGCTGATAGCAATGCTACTTTCGTGTCATTGGAGACCTTGATTCACACCCTTCCTCTTTCAGTTGCCTATTTACTTTACATGGTATATATTTCTCTGTAAAATGTGGAATAGTTTTCTTCAAGACATTGATTTTCTGCATGTAACTAATGTCTACCTGTTATTCTATTTTCTCCCTGAAAGTTAGTTACAATGGAGTCTATTCGTGGAGTAAATGTTCCCATGTACACGACCCTAAGGCGGACAACAGTGGCATTTACGATGGTTATGGAGTACTTTCTTGCAGGGCAGAGGTATACACCACCTATTGTTGGAAGGTAAATGGTCCTTAAATGCTGCTGCTTTTCTTAGTGATATTTTTTTCACTGGCAATTAGGAATCAAGAGAATAATATCACACGTGTTTGTATGAGTTTGAACAAAAATTTGGTCTCATGTCTCTACTACTGTGTCTTGTTATGCATTATTTGCCTGGAATGGCAACAGCTTGCTTGCTGTGGGCATTTACTGGGAAAAGTCTAATAATGCATTGGGAGAAATAGAACAAGCCTTATGGAACATAAGTCTGGGATCTTAAGAACATTACATTGTAGATAACTTAGTAGATGCATATAATCAATCATCTGATAAGTTTTTGTCACTCACCTTATTTTGTAATTTTAATTGTTTTCATCTTTTTTTTGTTCCATGACTATATCTTTAATATCTAGTTGCATTGCAAAATTCCCAATGGATTTCTAATCGTTTCTGCATCATTGGTGTCGTACATTGTTTTCATCAATTATTCCATCGAACTGACATGGATGTCATAGAATGCCAGAAAGTGAATTGTAGTGCAAGAAATGATTATCAAACACGATACGGAATCTTGGATATTTCCATTTCCTACTTCACCATATTATATATTTCCATGTATCTGTTTCCTCATGTTGTAGTTCACTTTCTGAGGGTTGCTTCTGTTTTGCTAATATTTGTCCAAAACAGGGTCGATAGGTCTTGTGCCGGGCATGCATATTGAACTTTAAATTCATAGAGACCTGTATGATGAACTTTGCATTTAGGAGGTCTATTTTGGACTTGCAAAAGACTAGTAAAAGAACGTTTTGTATGTCTCTAGTTCTCTATCTCATACTGTCCATATTTAATGGTTCTCAAGAAACTCAACCAGGTTCTGCCATCGGAAATAGATGTGATTGTACTGTAATATTTCTGATTTCTTCATTCAACTGAATCAGTGTTGGAGTGATTATTCTTGGAGCATTCATTGCGGGAGCTCGGGACTTGTCATTTGACTTCTATGGGTATGCTGTTGTCTTCTTAGCCAACATTACAACAGCAATATATCTCGCTACTATTAGTCGAATCGGTAGCACTCTCATCTTTTCTTTTGGTTTTTGTTACCCCCTTAAATTTTCTTTTGGGAATTGTTCTTCACTGTCTCGAAAACTCTTCTTTGGTGAGTAATCTATTCTTTTTCTCAGGGAAATCCAGTGGCCTTAACAGCTTTGGACTTATGTGGTGTAATGGTAAGTTAACATGCCTAAATTGAGTCATGCATTTGGACTTTTTTCCAATGTTTGCTGAAATTACTGCATGCTAGATTTCCTTTTTCCCCTTTCAGTTTTTATATTCTTTGAATATGTTCTTGTTACTATTCCTATGATAGGAATTATATGTGGACCAATTGTGCTGCTTTGGACATTTATGCGTGGTGAATTGAAGATGATGATGAATTTCCCCTATCTGTTTTCTACTGGTTTCTTGGTATGATCTGCTAACTTTTGGGAGTGCCTCTCTTTTATTTTCTCCGTCTCCCCTTATTTTATTCGTTAATGCTTATGCTGCAGCTGCTTGGCAGTCAAGTAATATGTTTTGACTCTTGAATGCTTATCTATCTACTCATTGAGATCACTAATACAGAGATACTTCTTGCAACTTCTTAGGGGAGGGTGGGAATGTTTTTGCACACCAAACTGCAATTTAATTATAGCTTTTGTTTAGTAGTCTATATTGAAAGTGTTACTTGGTGTATTGGGTTTGGGTGTTTCCAAACACTATCTTTCTAAGCACAATTCTTCGTTGTTCCTTTCCCCCCCCCCCCCGTTCCTTTCCCCCCTCCCCCCCCCCCCTGTGCTTGTGAATATCTTATACATAAAATGCTAAAAATATTGGACTTATTTTATTTTTTGTTTTTTACTTTCGGCAGGCTGTGCTCCTTCTTTCCTGTACACTGGCTTTCTTCTTGAATTACAGTATATTTCTGAATACTACTCTCAATTCGGCTCTCACGCAGACAATTTGTGGTAACTTGAAGGTTTGTTTACTAAGTTCTGCTGCTTGATGCAAAACCATATTTTATTTTAAATCCATGTTGACAAGTATTTTGGTTGATGGTACTTGTTTAATCAATTGTATGGTTTCCATGTCTACTGATTTGTGCTGCTCAAAATGTATGTTCAATTCTTGCCACATTACTCAGTATGCTTTTTTCAGATTTATTTGTTATTTTGTAATTTAGGACCTATTTACAATTGGATTTGGATGGATAATTTTCGGTGGGCTTCCTTTTGATATGGTGAGTTTAAACTCTTCTCATATTTTTGCTCTTCTCTACATATATGCCTCGTCTATTTCTGATTTCACATTTTGATCCAATATTTCTTTCTTGCTTACAGTTCAATGTGATTGGACAATTGCTTGGTTTTATCGGCTCTGGTATGTATGCTTATTATAAGCTCGTAGGGAGGTAATTGCTTGAACTATACTGGAACAGTACATCGCGGGAGATTCTGTAGCTGCTCTAATTCCCATGCTTCTTCTTTGTCTGATGTAATGTAATGGGCTTCTGGAAGAGATTTTACTAACACCCGAGAGATTTTTTTGTCTGTATAAAGTCACTGATCCAGCATTTTAGTTGAGGCCTGCTTCTGGCAATGTACCGGTTGCAACCACCAGGCATCAGAGGAGCAATGATACTTCGCACTCATTTTTAACCATTCCAATGGCAGAAGAAAATGCGGAAATTTTTAGTAGGCGCATATTGTTAGAAAAGAAAAAAATTGCTAGAAATAATGTTTTCTTTTTCCAAGTATTATATTTTTCCCACTCAGATGAGTTGTTACAAGCAATCTGTTCTGTATGATCAAGGAAAATTTAACGAAGTTGCAGTGATACTTTCTTACTGGCTGTTGTTCTTTGTCCAATCCAATAAACAAAATACATGGCTTATTGGACTGGAAAATAAAAATTAATAAAAATAAAATTTTTTTATTAAAATAAAAATATTTAATTTTAACTATACAGTGAGAAAAAAGATAAAACAGAAATAAGTTCTAAAAATTTTTATTTTCATTAGTTAATAACTTGGAATCAGGTAATTATAATCCTAAAAAAATTATGGAAATTGAAGTACAAATGGCGCGCTCTTTCGGATAAAAAAACCGTTTCCGTTCGGAAGTCCGAATTCAACTGTTACCTTGTTGAAGTTCAAGCCCCCAAAACAAGCAATTCCAGATTCTCTACATATGTCTCTTTCGAATCTCCCCCGACACAAGCTCTATAACAGCGCCAAAAATTAACAAAAAGCGAAACCCTAACGCTACAAGTTCACTCTGTTTGATCCAACATAGAATGCGTGTCTCCTTCCCCTAAGAATCTTCATTAAGAGGACCTGAGGAATTTCCATTTATTGAGCGCCAACCGACGATCAATCATGAGCCTTGTTGATATGAGAATCGACATTGATGATTATCTCCCTAAGGTGCCCATCGGCCCTAGGCGATCCATTTCATCGGCGTTGCATCCGTTTATGGTAACCGATGGGCGTTCTCGCAAAAATAACTTTTCATACACTGTTCTCCCTGAGGAGCCGCTCAAGCTCTCCGTTCTCAAATTGGATGGCTCCTGCTTCGGTAATTCTGTTTTTTTTTTTTTTCTTTTTTCTTTTGGAATTATCTTGGGGCTGTTCTGATACTGAGAAATTGCATTAAAATGTCAGAGTTTTTTTTGCGTAGTTAATTCTTAATGATTCTGAAATTGATTGGAGGTTTTGTTTTCACAGACATTGAAGTTATGAAGTCAGCTACTATCGCAGAACTGAGACAGGCAGTGGAGGCTGTCTTCAGTCATATGCCACAAAAGGGGCCAGGCAAGATCTCATGGTACGTTCTTTGGAATTTTTGAGCTCTTTCCTCTGTAATTTGATGATTGAGAAAAAGCGGGAAATGGAGTTTAAGTTGTATCGTGTTTGGATCCATTGATGAGGATCTCTTTTTTACCCGGAATTATAAACAGAAAAAGAAAAGTTGAGATTTGAAATCTCCATTTGGAACCTTTATCTCTTTCCAATTATTTTTGACATGGATATGCTTTCATGTGAATTGAGTTCTTGAAGGCCACATGTGTGGAGCCGTTTCTGCTTAACTTATGATGGCCAAAAGCTGCTTATGGATACTGACTACATCAGAAACTACGGAATCAAGGATGGTGATCAGGTATGTGGCTTTACTCTTCCTGCATTGTTGAAAAGATATTTGACTATTGCTACGTTGGAACAATACTTAGTTCTCATTAAATTTTTTCTGTTGGATAGACTTTTTCTGCTTCTATTTTGTTAAAATTAACAAGATAATGGTCGAGTTTTGCATTGTTCAGTCAAGGAGTTGCTTCCAGTAACATGTTTTAAATTCCAATATCATCTAGGCTTCACCTTTCTACATTATACCTTTTTATGGGGTTTTGGCACCGAGAAAAGCATATTGATTTGTCTGGTTATAGACTTATGATCTTGCATGGATGTAAATGATTCACTGTATTGATTTAGTTCAATAATGATTTTACCTTCTTTGATGTTTCATGTTGACAGTTGACAAAAAATAAGAATTGCAGAAAATGGTGATGAATAAACTAATTTGTATCTGACTGAATGCTTGGAATGTTTATCTGTTTTTTGTTCAGTTGAAATATGTTCAATACAATGACAGTTGCTTTCACCCTTCAGCTTTTCTCTTAGCATTAACATTTTCTTTATGCACAGCTTCAGTTTATTCGGCACATATCAACCAGTTATACCCTCAGGAAGAAGAGCACAGTTAAACGGATTGCTGCTCCTGAGCAGCACAAGATGTAAGGCTCTCTACATATTCTATTCTGTTTCTTGGATTTCTTAAGTAATCATCACAGTCTCCTGTCTCATCTCTGTATAAATCATCACTGTCTTGCTATATTCAGTTGGATACAAATCTGTTTCAATTTTCCATGTATAATAATTTGGCATAGCCTGAGATAGTTGAATTAGCATGCCCATAGTATCTTCATCCAAATGGACTTATGTTCTTAGTGTCGCATTGCTTCAAAATTGTGGAAAATTGGGATCAGCAGAATCTTCATTGTACCGGATGTATAGGCAACTCCATTTCTAACGTGCTTCATAGCAAATATAATTATACTGATTTGTATCCTTATGATTTATGTTGTTGCCTCCTTAAACATTACTATTGAATTTGTTGCAACGATTAATCATCTACTAGAACTATAGATGATGTAATTTGTTATTTGCAGCTCACTATCACGTCTCGATATCTATGAAGAGAAAGAACTCAGTGATAAGGAAGAGAACCTTTATGATGTAGAGAAAGGCGTGATAAAAAATTATTACTCTGAACCCAAAGAAAAAAAGCTGGCTGGCTTCTTCCAATGGTGGTACCAATACTCCAAGATGCAAAGCGCAAAAAGAAGTTTGAAGATCTCTCCCACTAAATCTCCCCGTAGTTTCTTGGGCACTTTCAGAAAAATCATAAAGTTTTCTGATGGTAGCCAACATTCTCATAAGAGATAAACTGAAAGAGGAGTAGGATAAAATGCCCAACAGTTCATTTTTTAATTAGCCAATTGGAATTTTTTTTTTTTTTTTTTTTTGGGAGAAATAGATTATTATTTTCAAATATTGGAATTCAAATAAATAAGCTTTAAGATTCTAAATTCCGATGGCGTCGAGCGGTGTAAATATGGGTCAAGTTTGACCCAATCAGGACCCAAGTACCTATAAAAGGCAAATGCCACGCACGTGTGCACGTGCGATACGCTTCCAGTCTCAGTCCTATTCCTTCCTCTTGATTTTTGTCCATCGCAAATTTGTGTGGCGAAGAAAAGAGATAACCCTTCTCTTCATTTCCACAGAAAATCTCTCCTTTTTCGACACTCGACTAATTTCAGTATCATCGTTCACTCCTCAGAAATCCAAACCGACAAAAAAAAAAAAAAAAAAAAACCAAAAAAAAAAAAAAAAAAAAAATCCAATTCACCGTTTGCCAGCCATGGCCGCCATGATCATGGCCTCCTCGAAACCTCTCATCCCATTGTCTTCCGCTATCCCTACCACTACCAGACCCAAAATCCAAATCCCTCAACTCTCACTTCCAGTCAAACTCCCCAAAGTCACCAAAACGCAACTCGCTTCCCTCTCATCTTCCACTCTCAAATCCCTCTCCCTCCTTGCAGCCACCTCCTTCACCTTCGCACCACCCTCTCTCGCTGAAGAAATCGAAAAGGCTGCTCTTTTCGACTTCAATTTGACTCTCCCGATCATGATGGTTCAGTTCTTGCTTCTCATGGTGGGTCTAGACAAGATCTACTTCAGTCCTCTCGGTAAATTCATGGACGAGAGAGACGCCGCGATCAAGGAGAAACTTAACAGTGTTAAGGACACTTCGGAGGAGGTAAAGCAGCTGGAGGAGCAGGCCGCGGCGGTTATGCGGGCTGCCAGGGCAGAGATATCGGCGGCACTTAATAAGATGAAGAAGGAGACTCAAGCTGAATTGGAGCAGAAGCTAGCTGAAGAAAAGAAGAAAATAGAGGCAGAGTTGCAAGAAGCATTGGGCAATTTGGAGAAGCAGAAGGAGGAAACTATCAAGTCCCTCGACTCCCAAATTGCTGCTCTCAGTGATGAAATTGTGAAGAAGGTCCTTCCTGTATAATAAATCAATCTTTTTTCTTCTCTCTTAAAGTTTTAACTATTGATGTTTATATGTGTTTTACAATCCATTGATGGGTAATGTAATAATTCTATCCAAAGAAAGAATTCGATTTCTACGGTTTCTTTTGCTTTTTTTTTTTTTTATCTCTTTTTGTTATGCCTGATGAAAATTTTGGATGAACTGAAATTTTGAGATTCATTTTGGGAAACCAGAATTAACTTGGCTTCTTGACGCATATGAATTCAATTCCTTTACAGTTTAATTGTTTGAATTGGGATACCATGTAAACCCCAATAGGAATGAGACTAATCTTATTTCGAATTGTGGTATGTTGTTTGTGGATTATTCGGATTCAGAATATGTTGGTAAGAGCTCAAACCTGGTTATTTCTCTGCTTCAGCTCTCACCTGCGTACCAAATGCAGCTGCCCATAATAGACTAGCCCGAGCCCATAGCCCATAGCATGAATGGATTGGATTTTGGTGGGCCGCTGAAAGATTGAAACTATTTTGTTAAAAAAATATTATTATTTTATATGCTGATGAAAAAGGTGTTTAGCATTAGTTTAAACTGTTTTATAGTTAAAAAAGCCTAATATAGGTGAAACTCACTTTAAAATAAATTCTATAATAACCTTTTATTAATATTTTTATTAAGTGCTTTTGTTAACAAATGCTTAGGCATGTACAATTAGACATCAGTGTGGCCCATTGTTGAACAAAGACTGATTGCTACTTGATAACTTCCCATCCAATAATTGTGAGAAACAACAAAACATGATATTGCGTGCACTTAGAACAATTTCATTTTTTAGTTTTACTATATATATTTATATATTCAGTTTTTAATTTATTTGATATTATTATTTGAGATGTGGGAGAAAAAAAAAATAATAGTAATCCATCTCTCTGCTAAAACATAATTCGTTTTTGGGTGATTATTTTATCGTAAAATATAATTTTTTTGAGTATTTTAAAAAGTAATAAATTATATTTTTTTTCAATATTATCCTTATTTATATTAAATATAATAACTTACATTAATTTGAGATAAATTATAATTTGATCAAATTACAATTGATTTTATTATAATTTAAAAAAATTAATTATTTTCATGAAAAACCCGATTTTGTTGCAATTACAAATCGGATATATAAAATTAATAAAATTGCAATTAGCTTCAAAGCCAATTTACCTATCTTGATAATCGATACAATAAACTATCCTGTAAGGAACAGCAATACTAAATATCATACAAAAAGTCCAAAATTTTCAATTTCCTCTTCCAAATCCTTTCAAAAAAATTTGCAGTAATTCTAGAAGGCATAATTTGTGTTGCATATACAAATTAAACTGATGGGCAAAATGGTCAGTTCATGATGTAACAAAGAATTTCGGGGCCCACTATTGGAGATACCTGAAGAAGGGCGCTGCATCTGTTCGCATTGTACTCATAGTATCTCTTTCTGTCTCTCACTTTCCCTGGGTTGGGTTGAGGATTCTATATGAACAGTTTCTTCTTCTTCAACTTTTCTTGCGGTTCTCTCCCTCGCTGTCTCTTTCTCTGTCATCTACCTCTCTTTGAAACGTATTATAATTTGTAACTATCATTTCAGTATTTTTTAACTGAACGTCTGTTCTCTTCTTTTCAGCTTTGATTAATTCGTCGAAATCTCGGAGGCTTGTTTAAGCCTAGGCCTATCACTCTCTTACTCCTTGTTGCTTCTTCACTCTTTCTGTAAGTGATTCTTATCTTTTCCTTTCTGTAGTGAAAAGGTAGAAATTGAATTATCGAGTTGTGATTTTGAGTTGGTTCTAATTCCACTGTGGATTAATCAAAAAGGGAAATGGAAAATTAATAAACGGAATTTTATAATTATAAATATTTCCAGTTTCTTTCTTATTTCCAGATTACCAAACGGATGGATCCTAAGCAAACTGTTTATCTGTTGTTTGGCTGTTGGTAATTTATTTATTTGAATATTCTAATGATTGTTTCGTGCTATTTGTAAAAGTTGTAGTATGTTCCATGTTAGTCTTTAGTTCCAGAAATATAGGGTTGGCTGCTACTTAGTTGAACTTGGTGATTACGTTGTAATTCTGCTTCTCTGTTTCGCAATTGAATTATTAATCTGTGATCTTCTGTTGGAGTAGACTCTTTCGGGTGAATAGCATTAGTTGGATTCGACTTAATGCTTTAGTTTTTGCTCTGGTGCTATTTCAGTTCCATACCTAGTTTCATTGTAAAGGAGATCACTTATTGTTAACTAAAGTGTAGTTGTGCGTGTAGGCAGAGCAATTATGATATTCATAAATATTTAATGATGTGTGCAAATTAGTGCACCATCTTGATATATTAAATTCTAACCTTAAGAGAAAGCAACACAGTTCCTCTCCCAGGTTCTGATTTCCTGCTCAAGCTTGTACTTTATTGTGTTTTTTTTTTTTTCAAGGGAGATATTGTTTTCATAGCGGAGGTTCGGATCGAGAATTGGAATTCTTATTGGTTTCTTTTAATTGTATGTATCTGGGTGTTACTAAGTTTCTTTTCCTCTCTTTAGTTGCAATAATATAACATTTTTAAAAATGTTACCATGTGATTGTAATCAGGTTCGTGTTATTGGAGATTTCACCCTTTATTTTTTTTAACCAGATGTAATGGCTGGAAAAATTGTTCCTGTTGAACCTCCTACTCCTTTTGAGTATGAGCTTTTTGAAGGTGATCCTGAGCACCTTATAACAGTTGTCGCCTCATCAAACCAGTCAACACCTTGGATTGATCCTGCAAACTTGAAACTTAGACACAGAATTGGGAGGGGTCCTTTTGGCGATGTGTGGTTAGCTACTCATTACCAATCAACTGAAGATTATGATCAGTGTCACGAAGTGGCTGTCAAGATGTTACATTCAGTGAAGGAGGATCATGTGAGAATTCTTTTGGATAAGTTTAATGATTTATTTTTGAAGTGTAGAGGGACAGAAGGAGTGTCTTTGATATATGGAATTTCAATTATGAATGGAAAGGTAAGTGATGTCATTAGCTTTGGTTATGCCATGGAAATTTTACATTTTCCATCTAATGATCATGAAGAAGTTATTCTTGTGTTGTATTGTAGATATGCATCATTATGAAATTTTATGAGGGATCAATTGGTGACAAAATCGCTCGCCTTAAAGGAGGGAAGCTATCATTAGCTGATGTTTTGAGGTACTGTATTATCACATACTTTCTCTTCTTCTTCTCCTTCTTAATACTTAAGGTCTCAAATCCTTAGATTTGCTGATGCTTGCAGGTATGGGATTCAGTTGGCTCAAGGAATTTTAGAATTGCATGCGAAAGAGCTCCTAGTGCTTAGCCTTAAACCTTCAAATTTCCTTCTGAATGAAAACGATCATGCAGTTCTTGGAGATGTTGGAATTCCTTACCTATTGCTTGGAATTCCATTGCCAAGCTCAGACATGTCTCTCAGGCTTGGAACCCCAAACTACATGGCTCCAGAACAGTGGCAGCCAGAAGTAAGAGGCCCACTGTCCTTGGAGACTGACTCATGGGGATTTGCATGCAGCATTCTGGAGATGTTGACAGGCATTCAGCCTTGGCGTGGGAGGGGAATTGAAGAAATTTATGACTCAGTGGTCAGAAAACAAGAGAAACCACAAATTCCTGAAGGCCTCCCTCCTTCAGTTGAAAATATTCTTCAATGTTGCTTTGACTATGACTTCAGGAATCGGCCCCTAATGATAGACATATTGCGTGTATTTAAAAGGTAATTGTTCATTATAGCATATTTTTTTCCTTTAACGTTCTTATATAAACTGGTGGCTGTTTTGATATTTTATATTTTTTTTGGGTCATTTTCATTCTTTCATGTAAATGGCGCGTATGTGCCTATCCTTTTCTTGTAGATATTGGTTCTTATGACACAGAGCAACTTATGATTGCCATATAATGAGCATTTAAGCTGTGGAATAAATTTGATGATATTAAAATTTCAGCTGTACAACGGTTTCTATTGACATATCTGTTGTTTAATAAGCTTTTCATTGGGGTAACTTGAGACCTTGTTATGAATGGCCTTTATCCTGAAAATAATTTCCAGGTCATAGGTTTCTCGAGGATATATCGTATAATGCAGCAACATCTTGTGTTTACCTCTGTGATTCATGAGTAAAAATAAGAATCCAATTGGGCGAGTAAAAGAATTCTGTATTTCCACAATATATATTGGTCCATGGTTTTTGTGGTTAAATTGCTGCTATGCATTTTTTGGCTTTGCATTAATATGATATGATATCAGTCTGTTAACTTTCCTGCAAACCCACAATCAGTTGCATCAATAGAGATTGTTTTCCACAGACAAACTTGTTGCCCCTCTTGTTATTGTGTAGTTCTCATTATGTGTTTTCCTACTTTTCACCTTGGTATGTGTTTCTATAAGTGTATGGTACTTCCCTGCTGTTCTCATTAGTGGAAGGTTCTCTGGTCTGTTGCTTGTACTTTTGTGTCGCCAGTTATCATTTATTGAAACATAATGTGCAGATCACAAAATACAGTTTATGGTGACGGGAGTTGGATAGGACTTGGGAGCAGAACAATCTCAGAAAAATCAAGTAGCACTGGTTACTCAGAGTGGTTTCTGTTGAAGGATCATCTGCAAATGGGAGACACCGTGCGCTCTAGAAAACCGCCTAATGCACGCAAGTCTGACAATATGGATGTTCCAGAAGCAATAGTAGTAGGCTTAGAACATGATGCAGATCAAGATGGTTTTGCTTTGGTGAGGGTCCTTGGTATTCATGACCCGTTGAGAGTTCCCGTTTCAAGCCTAGAGAGGGTCACTTTTGGTTTGACAGCTGGCGATTGGGTACGTGTGAAGGAGGAAGACAAAAAGCACTCACCAGTGGGTATTCTTCACTCTATCAACCGTGATGGAAGTGTGACTGTTGGATTTATAGGAAGGGAGACATTTTGGAAAGGAAATTCTTCAGAGCTTCAGATGGCGAAATCTTACTTTGTGGGTCAGTTTGTGAGGCTGAAAGCTAATGTTCTTAGCCCTCGATTTGAATGGCCTCGTAAAAGGGGAGGGGCCTGGGCTACTGGGAAAATTTGGAAAATCCTGCCAAATGGGTGCCTCCTTGTCAAGTTCCCAGGAAGATTGACTTTTGGGGAGGAATATGACACTTTTTTGGCTGATCCAGCTGAAGCTGAAATAGTTTCTTTTGATACTTGTCCAGGGGTGGTTGATAAATATCAACATCTTGAGGATTTTCATTGGGCTGTAAGACCGATTCTCATAGCATTTGGTCTCTTCACCGCTTTGAAAATAGGATGTTTTGTGGGGAAGAAAATAGGGAGGTCCAAAGGTAAGAAGCTACATCTGCAGAATGATGATCGACAGAGGGACAGCCAGAGTGGTGTTAATAATGGCAAACAGGCATGGTTGCCACCCCCTGTGGCAAATATCCTTGGTGTGACAACTAGTGCAGCTCGGTAGTTAAGCTGTTTAAGTATGCAAATATCCATGCATATAGAAGTTAATTATAGCTAACGCAGGGCAATTTAACCTACTGTTTCTGCTAAATTATTTACATTCTGCCTGTTGATAAATATAGCGTGCTTGTGCAGACTTTGCTTTCAAAAAATTATGCATTCGTTTCACCGATTGGGTTGAATTCAAAAAAATTAAAGCATTTTATCTTCCCATTGAGATGAGAGAAAATTTGCCAAGGTGGGTAGCTGCCCAACTGATTGTGTCGAATCTCCAATCTAAGCAAATTGGTCTTTGAGACAATTATCGAAAGACAAAGAAAAACAGAACGATAAAAGAAAAAAAAAAAAAATCATCTTTGGCATTATATTCTCAGTTTACATTCGTCATACAACAACAACTGGCGTTACCGCAGTGGATTTTGATACTATAAAGTAGCTGTACATGGAATCTGGTGATTATACCTTCTCCATCCTGCTAGTCTCCACCAACAGAGACACTAGCTTCTTTCGCTAGCTGCTCAGTCAAAGCAGACAATCGAACAACTCCTGTTTTAACCTCCTTTAAACATTCATTGTTTTCAAACATGCTTGTCTGAGGATTAGATTCAGATCCGTTTTGCATGAATGTTCCGATATCAGTACCCAACTCGATGCTCAAGCCAGACTTATTCAGAAGTTCTCGGCTCATCCCTGCAAGCTTCTGAAGAGCAGTGGTTGCAGCTTCGACTTCCAGTTTTGCTGCCTCAAGTTGAAGCTTCTCAATAGCCAAGTCCCCAATACTTTTCTCACCAATTCTCTCTTGTGCCAAAGTGTAAAGCTCCTTCAGATTGTTAGCATCATCAACCATTTCTTCCTTAAGTCGCTTCAGTTCCTTTTCCTTGGCATCTAATCTCTCGGTAACTGCTTTGAGCTCCTCATCTTTGAGTGTTAGAGCTCTGTGTGCTGCTAAGACTTCCATTTCTTTCATTCTTAAGCTTTCTCTGGTCAGATTTAGCTCATTCTCAAGCTGTTTCTTCTGCAACCCAAAATCATCACTTGGCTTGTTCATTGGTTGTCGCATGAGCTCCAAGCCAGTGCTCTCAGATTGCCTAAATGCACTATAATCTTCATCCTTAACGGAAATAACCAGTTCATTTGTAAGCTCTACAATCTGTTCCACTACAGTTTGAGCTTCAGATTTTTTCATCTTTGTGTCATTCAACTCATCTTGCATCATCTGAACGTGTTCCTCTTTCTCCTTTAGCATATTTGTTGCTTGAATTAGTTGGTCCTCTTTACTGCTCATAAGCATTTTTAAATCTGCAACCTGTTGCTCCGCTTCTTCTAACTTCTTCTTTGCATTAAAGAGTTGCAAATCTTTCTCCTCCAAAAGAAGCTTAAGTGAAGTCAGCTCAGCTTTCAAATGTTGAATTTCTAGCTTAGCATCCACCAACTCTGACTCTTTTAACTGAAGAAGACCATGCGTGTCCTCAAATTCAGTATTTTTGCGCTTTAGTTCCTGCTGTATAGAAGACATCTCCTGCATTGCCCGATTCAAAGCAGATTTCTCCTCCTTCAACTCCTCGTGCAACTCCTCCATGAGCTCTTTCTCCATAGATAAGTCTCGTTCAAGCTCCTTGTTTCGAGCCTCTGCAACCCTAAGTTTCACTCTCTCACTCTCAACTTCTATTTGGGCATCTTTCAGACTAGTCATGTAGGAGATCACACTCTTCCTCTCTTCTTCAAGTTCTGCTAGTTGCTTTTTTAATAGCTGGTCCTGTTCTTCCATTCGCTTTCTAGATGATGCAAGAGATTTTTGCGAAGTAACCAGCTCAGATCTCACATCAATTAGAAGCTTTTTAACTCTTCTGAAATCCTCAAAGGTTCCATTAGTTTCTACCATTTGTTTATAAGCATTATCAGCCAACTTCTTTAGTTCTTGCTGTGCTTTTAACCATTCCATTGTTTGCATCTCCAGATTCGCTTTTGCAACTCTTAACTTCTCCTCTTCAAGTTTCCTTTCCGTGGTAGATACTTCCAATTCTTCGTCTTTCTCTCTAATTGCATTTTTGAGTTCTTGAAGCTCAATTTCTTGTTTCTTAACAACTTTATTGGCTTCATCCAAGAGTTGAGCCATGCATTTCAGTTCAGAGTCGACTTTAGCAACTTCCTCGCTCTTCTTTGTCAATTCGCTTTTCATTTTTTCCATTTCTTCTTCTTTAGCAGATAGTATAGATTGAGCAGCAACAACTTCCTCCTCCCTCTCCTTAAGTTGAAGCTTTAAATATTCTATCTGCCTGGCTTGAGAAGCCAGGTTAACATTTGCCTCCTTCAGCTCCTCTTCTAATTTTTCATACTTGAAACAAGCAGCAGCCATTTCTTTTTCTCGTTGCACCAACTCCTCCCTTGCACGGCTTAAATCATTATGCTCTGACAAAACCTGTTTTTCTGCGTCCTGAAGATCTTCTTCCTTTTTCCTTAAGGCTTCCAAAACAGCCAAAAGATCAGACTCCAGGACTCGAAGGTTAATTGCAGGGTAAGCATCCTTGGGAAATTCAGAATCTCCATTCATCTGTTCTTCAATTTTCTGTGTCTGTTCAAACAATCTCTCAAGAAGAATCCTTGCAGGTTCAGTTGACTCATTGTCCCTAATGCTTGACGCACTGCCATTTAGAACTGATTTGACAATTCCAAGTGTTGGTCTTCTTGTTTTTGTAGTCGTTAAAAAAGCAACTTTATTCTGCTTCAAGTTGAATCCAAAGGAGAACAACTGCGAGAAAACATATATACTCCTTCAAATTTTAATAGATAAATACAAGAAAAAGACAAATTTAATGGTGTGGCTAATCATACTTCCAGTGTAAACAACAAATTTAACTAGAAGGAAGAAGAGAAAGACAATTGCACGCACACAAAAAGAAAAATTGTACTGTACCATTTTCTCCCTGTAAACAAATTCCGAGTTCATTCGATTTGAAGAGATTTACATTATCCATGCATTAAAACATTATCAAGAAACAAATAGGATGTTTTTGACATTATTGTTTGAGCTGCTGTAGGGAAAATTTGAAACAAAATAGGATTTGTTGAAGGTGTCGATTAGAGGTCAAAATTTGGTTTTTGAGGAACATTTCAATCATTTCATACATACTATTTATAGAAGTTACAAAACAGTTAAACAATGCTCCAAAACTGCTTTTATCTAACACCATCTGAAATAACTGAAATTGAAAGAAGAAATAATTCCAAGAACCCCCCCCCAAAAAAAAAAAAAAAAAAAAAAAAACAGTTAACACATGCTCAAACTGGCTTTTATTCTAACCACCATCTGAAAATAACTGAAATTGAAGAGCACATTTAAATTCCAAGAACCCCCCCCAAAAAAAAAAAAAAAAACAAAAAATTCAAAAAAAAAAAAAAAAAAAAAAAAAAATCAATGAACAAATTCTTATCAAATCTATTATCTATTAACATAATTTCTCAAACCCTAAAGTTGTCCAATCATTTGGGATAATCCCACCACACAAAATTTCATATGTGAGAGAAAAAAGCGAGAACGAAGACCTTGGGGGAACGGCTGGGCGGAAGATAGAAGCGAAGAGCAGCTGAACAGCCCATGAGGCTCGGCTATCAACCACAGCCACTCGCTCATATACAAACTCCCATGGCTTGTCTTTCAGGAACCAATCCTAATTAAATTACACTTTATCTCTAGAAGGAAGTGGAACCTCTAAGCTGAAGCAGGAAAAGAAAGAGCAGCTTCTCCAAATTCAGAACTCAACCTGACTTTCTGTGGGACAATCAATGCCTCCCATGGCAAGGAAGGGGTGGTGGCTCAAGTTAGCATCACATGCCACATGCTTTTCTCCCTCGCCACATTTTGCATCTAAGGCTAAGTTGCGCGGTGGATGACAGGTTAAGGACCATGTATAAACAAATCCTACGTGTACGTGTTAGGGAGAGAGCAATAATCAAGTGCGTTAAGAACAAGTACTTGTTATGATTTGTAGCCAATCATACTGCGTCATTTGCTTAGCAAGGGCATGTCGGACTGCAACTATAATGTCGTTTACGCTTTGACTGGAACACAAAATCAATTGAATGAGGTGGATAGCTAATGACCTGACACGTGTAATTGGCTCGGACCATGAAGATTGAACTGTGCTTGTTCTTTCTGATCGCAATTTGGTTCCGGACAAAAACAATATCCACCGGAGGATGGAAGGAAAATGCAGCGCCGCTAATATAAGTAACAGACAAAACGAAAGAATTATTATTATTATTATAATTCGATTTTCATATATTGGACATAACAGACAAAATAATAATTCACTTAAAGACTTACGACCTTTTGAAAAAAATAATAATTCGATTTCGTATAATGTGTATAAATTAATCTTATGTGTATTTCCCTTGCAAATGCATAGATAATCGACACGAGATGCCTTTCCACTCAGACATTTCAGCAGTCCTTCCACGTTTAAATTTAAAAAACGTAAAAAATAAAAATAAAAACTTCCAAGTTGGATCTCGTGCAAGCTCTAACTGGGCTAAACTAGAAGCCCAAGATTTGGGCCTGATATCAGCGATCCAGTAGAGGAGAAAAGGATTAGGTTATGGTATTTTTAAATATTTGGTAAATTTTCATATCTATTGAAAAGAATTGATTTACCCGACCGTAATAAAAATCATAAATGAAGTAATCTATTTTTATTTTTTTTTAAAATAGAAGGGTGAAATAATTAATTTATGAAAAAAAAAATGACGAAATAGTAATTCTCCACCTGAAATTTGACATTTTTCCATTAGCGTAATGGAATTGATGATCCAAGTTTCCACCCATAGCTAATGTTAGAAGACCATAGCTTTTTTTTATTTTATAATATTATTGGTAACGACTTAATCATAGCAAATCTAAAGCGAAATAATTAATTAATGAAAATAAATAAGAAGCAAAGCTTTTTATCTCTTACCTGGTGATCAAAAGCTGTAAAGTACACATAAAATATACTAATTAAGATATTTCTAATTGACTATCATGTGTATCAGCCATGAGGTCCACAGTAAGGAAATATACACTGCTCTTTTTCCCACTCTGGTATGGTAGGGCGAGGGTCCCATTTCTAGAATTATTTTTATTTTTATTTTTATTGTGAGAATATAATAGAATAATTCATTGATCAAATAGGGATTATTTGATTAAAATTCAATATTAATAATAATTGGGAATATGTGATTAAGATTCTTATCCGTTGTAAACATGATATGTCTCACTTTTTAACGCAAAACAGCATCGGTAGTACTGAAATTGCTCCCATAAATTCCCTCAAAATTTCCCCATTTTTCATGCACAACGCATCGTGTAGCACGAGAATGATAGGGCATGGCGCACGAGATACCAACTCCTCACACATCTCTTTGACTTTCTTATGCAACAATAAAAATTAAAAAAAAAAAAAAAAAAAAAACCCTCAAAGCATTTCCCCCCATTCTTTTTATGCACAACGTCATCGTGGTAGCACGAGACATGATAGGGCGCATGCCGGCGACGAGATACACTCCTCACACATCTCCTCTTGCCTTTCTTATGCGCAACAATACAAAATCTTAAAACATAAACATAACTAAAAAAAAAAAGCGTGCTAATCTCGCCACCTGATCTCCTGCTCTCATACCATCAAACCTCCGAACGGTCTCGACTTGTCAAACGAATTAAAAAAAAAAAAAAAAAAAAAGCGAATATCTCGCATGATCTGTTACATACATCAACTCGAACGGTCGATGTCAAAACTTGGGCCATCGGTGGCTGATCTGGACCGTTGATCTTTATCGTACAAAAAAAAACTAAAAAAAGCAAAGAAGGAAAGGTTGGGATATTGTAAATCCAAGGGATGTGAGAGGTGGGCGTATCTAAGGCTCTTAATGATCATGTTATTATGTTTATTCATAATACGCTCGCGTGCTCGTGAACAGTAATCCTGTACGTAGATTTTATTTTGTGGGACCATTATCAAAAAGTGCGGCACCAGCACCACCTTCTCATACAGCGCGTTTTTATTACTCGATTTTTAGTTAATAGATATTTAATTAAAGGAGAAATAGTTTCAATTACTCAATTCCAATCGATATTAATTCGGTTAGACGTATTTACAAGATTGACACGTTGGAAACGCATTCATTATTTTATTATTAATATAAAGAAGGGGAAAAAAATATTGTGCATGCAGTTCTTACATAGTACGACTCATTGTAGAAAGTGAAATAACCTTTGCTAGTTTTCTAAGATGACGTCATTAATATAATATAATAAATTCGCGGAGGTCGGCCGACAATAAAGTAATAATATTTGGTCAATAGGGTTAAATAATAGAGTATGTGTTAATCTGCAAATCTTGAAGGGTGACGCACATTATCGGCCGCACGATCAATCGACCTCAGAGACTCTTTCAATTTTAACTTTATCAGTTTAAGCAATGCCACGTCATCTACTGTTAGACAGATAAAAAAGAAAACAGCAGAGCATCACCACAGCCACTTTGGGACCGCCTCCAAATCTTAAAAATCTCCTGCTACATGATTCTCTGCCAATCAATAGCCGTCAATTTCTATAAAATGACAAAAATGTCCTCATCTCGTTTTTTACAAAAGGTTGCCAAGCTGCCCTCCTACCTTGCCTAGGTTACTACGTCTCTTTTACGGCTATGTCACATTGTAAAAAAAAAAAAAAAAAAAAACGTCTCTTTTACGGCTATGTCACATTTGTTAAAAAAAAAAATAAAAAAAAAAAGAATGAATTTTAAAAAATAATTTTAAAAAAAAAAAAAAAAAAAGAAATGAATTTAAAAATAATTTTCAAATTTTTGTAAAAAATGAAAAAAACGATCGAATCATTTTAGCTTTTAAAAAAAATACAGATATTTAGATTAAGGTAAAGTAAAAATAAAATAATTAATAATATTTCCATTTTTAAAAAAACTATCAATTGCAAAAAAATAATTGTTTGAAAAATAAAGAACCCTTTGATTCTTAAAAAAATAAATTGGTAGAAAATTATTTTGTTAATTAATTTATTTAGGAATTAATAAATGAGTTTTCGATTTTAGAATTAGTAATTAGATTCTAGTTAATAAAGTAATTAGTGTTAATTCCAAAGTGGGAACAACATAGAATCTTCCTTTTAAGATTGGGGAAATCGTAGGTTTTAGAAGCTAAGATATACACAACAGTGTACGTATCGACAAGGCAGATCTTCTTCTGGACAATTGTGTCTGCCATATCTACTCACTGCATTTTGCGCGTGTTCTCTCTGGTTGACAATTAACGTTGACTAATACAACCCCAAATCTATTTTTTCTTTTATTTAACTTTTTTTTTTAATTTAGAAATAACCTTTCTTTTCACTTGGTCGTTTTCGTTTGTTAGTTTGGATTTTGCTTAATAATTATTCAGAAATTGCGGCATTATTGATGTGCTAACAGTTCTTCTAATCATTTACTTTGCTTCGTTTTATATAAATTGTTTTGTCTTAATTGTTTTGGATTTTTCTAATGACTCTGCCTTAATCTCATCTATTAAGAAAATAATTAATTTTCGTAAATTCAATTAATTAATGCAATGTTTTTTTCGTTGGATTGTATTGATATTCAAGTAATTTTTTTTTAATATTAGCAATTTTAATTTTTATTTTTTTTTTCAAAAGGCAATATATTTTCATTAATCTTATTATTTTAATTCATTAATGAATAAATAGCATTTTATCTTTTAACGGATCGATCCGGTATAAAAGTAAAATTTAATTATAATCGAGCGAGCTAAAATACTGGCCATTAAAAGAAAACAAAATTGAATAGCAATCATGGCATGCATGGAAGAAATGTATAGATAAGTATGGGATTAAAAGAATTAGTATAATGTATTGATAATGTCCTAAATAAATAAATCTGAAATGACAGAAAAGGATTAAGGAAGATACTGTAAGAGAAAGTGGAAAAGAGGAAGACGGAAGGAAAGGAAATGGAAATGCACATTCTTTAAAATCGCGTGATGGGGAAGGCCAACTTTGGTTTATACAAACAGTGAATTGGATTGGCCAAACATAAATAGACAAAATAGTGTTATTTAATGCGCTTATCGTCTCTTTAGATTACATAGAGAACAGAAAGATTGGATCTCTTTAGCTCTACTTAGGAGGGAAATTGAAATAAAAATACAATTCCTCTTTGTAATCAAATTTCAATTCCCAGCAAACACTCATCATCACACAGCTTCTTCTCTTTGTTTTTTGTATTGAGCCTTTTTCTCAAGAAGAAGAAGAAGAAGAAGAAGAAAAGAACAGAGAATGTTTGCAGCTGAGAACGGACTCAAGGGAGACCCCAGGCTACGAGCCATTTCTGAAGCCATTCGGGTGGTGCCTCACTTTCCCAAGCCAGGTTTTCTTGTTTGTTTCTTTGCTTTCTTCTTCTTTTTTTTTTTTTTTTTTTTTTTTTTTTTTTTGTTTCTGCTTTCTTCTTCTTTTTTTTTTTTTTTTTTTTTTTTTTTTTATTTTATAAATAATATTATTAGTCTCTTCTTTTAATCCCTTTTATTAGATTCTTGAATTAAATATTATTAGACTTAAAAATTGTTTCTATTCTTGGACAGGGATAATGTTTCAAGAAGTATAAACAACCTTGGTTTGCCTTAGATCACAAGGCTTAAGCACACTGTTGATACTCTTTGTTGATCAGCTACCAGAATAATGGGCCATTTCTTGTTGGTTGCTGGTATAGCTCTCAATCACCTTTTCTTTCAAAAAAAAAAAAAAAAAAAAAATTGTGTGGGACAAAAAATTTTTTCTTAAAATTGCAGGATTTTATTATTTTTAAGGCTCCCTTATTGTCAATGATTTATATTGCCCACACTTTTTAATAAAGATCTATTTGCACTTGCTATGAGTTTCTTTGAAATTTGATGCCAGTTTTCTCACTGCAGTAACTTGAAGTTCCTGTGACGCAGAGAGAATAAAAGAGAAAAAGGAAAATCTGTGCATTGTCTTAGGGCTGGAATTGTAATGCTTCCAATGGGAGTTAACATGTTGTTATGGCAAAAAAAAAAAAAAAAAAAAAAATCTTAAAGACAAAAAATTTTTCTTAAATTGCAGGATTTTTATTATTTTTAGCTTCACCTATGTCAAGATTTATTGCCCACACTTTAAAAGATTATGCATTTGCTATGGAGTTCTTTGAATTTGTGCCAGTTTCTCACTGCAGTAACTTGAAGTTCCTGTGACGCAGGAGAAAAAAGAAAAAGGAAAATTTGCATTGTCTTAGGGCTGAATTGTATGCTTCCTAATGCGGGTTAACATTGTTGTTATGGCAATGAATTATCTAAAACTGAAATGGGAACTTGAATTCTAGTCAATCGGAGTATTTCAGTATGTTGATATCAATTCTAAAAAAATATGTAGGAGTTGAAGCGCGAGGCTTCATGTTTGGTCCATCCATTGCCTTGGCCATCGGTGCAAAGTTTGTTCCTTTAAGAAAACCCGGAAAACTGCCAGGTACTTGATATACAATATCTGATTAAATTTTTGAAATTGAAGTGCATTTTGAAACCAATTTGTTTTGGTTAATATTTGATTGGTAACTCTTTCTGTGCTTTGTTATCCATCCTGATGCTTCGAGCTTGTATAGCTGAGATTAGAAGTGCTTGATGTCCAGGTACAGTAATATCTGAACAGTATGTTCTGGAATATGGAACTGACTGTCTAGAGATGGATGTTGGTGCTGTTCAGCCTGGGGAACGTGCATTGGTAATTGATGATTTGATAGCCACGGGCGGAACCCTGTCTGCAGCAATAAGGCTATTGGGTAAATTTGGCTTCTTGACTTTTTCTACCCTGTTTAATTCTGCTGTTTGGCTTTTCTCACAAATAATTCGCATGCAATTTCTGTTATTTAGAACGTATGGGTGCTGAAGTTATCGAATGTGCCTGTGTTATTGGATTGCCTGAGGTCAAGGTAATGACTCCAGCAATATTGGTTATGTCTGTTTATATCCCTTCCAATTTTTCTCCTCGGAGAACTGTGAATTGTTACTTCTAACATGCAATTTGTGTTCTCTGCAAATTCAGTATTTTTAAGTTGTTATCTCTTTCAGGGACAGTGCAGGCTCAATGGAAAGCCACTATACATACTCGTTGAGCCGCGGGAAATAGATAATTACTGTCAAGGCAAATTAGCATCTTCCTTGTTAAGTTTTGATAAAAATGGTTACAAGTCAGATTAAATATGTTTTAAAAAGTTAAATTTCACTTTTTGCAGAAGTGTGAATGTGCATATGCTTGAGCTGACTTGAAGAAAGAGATGATGCTTGAGCAAATAGACAGTGATGATATCTTGATATGTTGCTACAATTTCTTGTCATGTATTTCCAAAAATGAAATTTCTTGTCCAGATTTGGGCCTGTGCTTACCATGTGATGTAGAAAGGATCTTTGGCCTCTCAAAGCTGGAAGCTGTTATTACTTGTTCTTTTTTCATGATATAAAAAAAAAAAAAAAAATTCCATTTCTAAAATTCCTTTAATAGGTTCAAAATTTTCCTCATCCAATTAATTAAAAATAAAGTTACTATACTATGTAGGGTATATGGGTACAAGAACCATGATTCTAGCTGCCTGTCAGGCAACCTGTAACCGTAGTAACGGAACATTTCACCTATAGTCATTCAACTACTGTCTGCCACATTCCAGCCGTTTGCCATACTGTCCAGAACAGATGAAATTTTGTTTTGATATTCACGTCAGTTTTGGATTTATATCTAAGTGAAATATGGATAATCATCCATGAATTAATGTCTGAAAACAGAATAAATAATTGAGGATTCTATAACCTGTTACATGTCATATTATTGACCAAATAATTGAGATGTAACACCAAATATGTGCACTGTCAGTTGACAGGTGTGAGGAACTGTGTAAACAGTAAACACAGCACACATCCAACAAAATACTATGAGAAAAATAATACAAAGCTTGGCACAATCGCATCTCATATTTCTACTCTGTTATTTCTAGAGCACAAAAATACAACACGAAAAAGACAGTTTCTTGGTGATTTATGGCTTGTATAAGTGGGAACACAAGATTACACGAGTTTAGATCAACCATTTAAAGCAGGTGATCAAATGCCTGTAATGGTACTGTTAAAATTTTTGAAAAATATAAAATACAAGATGTATGTGTGACTCATCTTTCTACATGATCAGTTGTGGCTGAAGGAGTCTCGCTGCTATTTCTAGATGTGTTGCCTGTATGAAGAGCTTTACGCAAGATGGAATTCACCCGTTTCCTTAAATTAGCATTATCAGTGAATACATTTGCTAGTATATTCCTCAGATCTTGATCTGTTGCCCATGTATCATCATCCTTTACAGCCGCAGTAATTTTATCATCCACAAATAATGCTTGTGCCTAATTTAAAAAGGTACAGCACATGTGAGTCATAATGAAAAAGGAGCAGACACCGGCATAGGCAAAAGACATGAAGCCTAATTTTAGGTTTTGATATTTCAAATGCTTTACCCAATCGAGCAAAATACAACATCAAGGTGTCCTGATGAAAGATACCAATCAAGATACCAGAGTTGAATAGTGGCCAAAAATGAAAGGTCATAAAGAAATGTAAAGAAAAGTATATTGATGCTTCCTTTATCGAGCACTTCGTCTAATAATGGCAAGCAGAACGGAAATGTGACAAGTACCTCTGCAAGTAGAAGCCCAATTTGATCATCTGATCTAGACAACAAATCTAAAGCATCCGCCACTGAGGATTCCATGATAGATTTATCATCCTCCTTGCTGGGCAAATAGGAATTGCACTGTTGAAGCAGGTTGCAAATATTATTGCAATCTTCTAGCAACTTTTTTCGAGCATTTCTCTCACGTGTGCTTATTTCTCTTTCCTCTTGAAGAAATTTCTGCAAAAACAAATCATAGGATCATCAAATAATCCATATTTGCATTACAAAGTCAAACTGTTTTCTGTGAACAAGTACAAAATTTTATTAACATTCGTCATGAGTCAAACAAAGAAAAGTAATGTAATTTCCAGCATTGTAACCGATAGAAGTAAACAATTTGTTACAACATTGAAAAATCTATAAATTTCCCTAAATTATAAAATGTACTCAATGCAAAAAGATTATTAAAATTTCTAAATTAGTAATGTGCGACTCACCTCAACCTCAGATTTCTCTTTCAGTGATTGACTAAGCTCTTGCTTTAGTTCTGCTTGCGAGTTTTTGAGGGATTTGAACTCTTTAGCAAGAAATTTAATATCTGCCTTTGATTTTGCTTCTAACTCCTCGTACTGTTTTGACAAACTCTCAAGCTGCTTTCTAGTAGCATCCAACTCCTGCAATGCCACATCTTTATCCTCATCTGAGGATCCCATTTTTAATTCTGTGCTTGAATTTTCATCCTGTAACAATGAAACATATTATAACAAAACATATTGAAAGAACCACCATTCATCCAACAAATCAATATCACATGTAGAATTTTGGAAAGAAAAATACTACAGGGGAAAAAACTGAAACCAAAATTATGGCTGATAAATTACCTCTTTAGACTTCAATTTCAACTCCATTTCCAATGATTTCCGCCTAAGTTCCTGCATATCCCACTGCATTTGGGTGAGCCTTTCCCTCTCAATCAAAATAGCTTGCTGAAGGTTTTCTTTATTTCTCTGTTTGGTAGTTTCAAGTTCTGCCTCCAAATCCTTGACCTGCAGTGACTCAATTGATTAGAGCCCTTAGCATAAAAATCACAGATAAACATGCAAAAGAGAAATGGAGCTTTCAGCAGGACATTGAAACACTAAAGACGTGCCAAAACTGGTAGGATATTGAATAGACTATTCTGATCTTCAATAATAAAAAAAGAATGTCTTCCATGTAAACAAGTAGGAATATTGCACATAAAAGCCATGTGAATGAGAAGTAACCCAAGGTTGGTATCTGGAAAGCACATTCAATTGCTTCAGCATACCTTTGTTGCAAGGTAACCTTTCACAGCTGTTTCTTGATTTAATCTTGCGATAAGGTCCTCCATGTCTGTTTTAGCCGTGACTAATCTCCGCTGCATGGTCAGTAGAGACCTGTTCATTTTATTACGCTGATCCACTGGGAGGACTACATGTGCATCACCTGTAAATTGCAACTCTGTACTGCCGAGAATTCCTGCCATACCTAAAACCTCAGTACCTCCTGTCACATCGAGAGACCCATCACCATATGAATTTGGCATGCCTGAATTTGATAATTCACTGCCTCTTAGAGAACTTCCATCACTTCCAACACTTTCACTAGATAACTTTCGAGTATGACCAAAAACCTTGCCATGCTCTGGCTCGTTGAAAAGTTCCATCCCATTGCCAGCAAGAAAGGAGGCTTTAGAAGCATTTCCATCATACGTATCCTTTACTATGGCATTATTCACTTGTGTGTCATGCCGTTTATGTCTTGGAAAACCTTCAAGCTGCTCTAAAATAGTCTGTCCCATAAACAGTCCTTCATCAATGTTGGACATGCCATACTTCACAAACTTTTCTATTGGATTTGTCAAATCTTCTTCCAAAGTTAGATCTTCCACTCCAAGTTCAAAATGTTCATTCCTTCCTAGCCTTGGTGTTCCAAGCTCGGATGTTTCATACACAGTATCACTACCATAATCTGACGCAACAGATGAACTACCAACAACTGCAGAAGTTGTTGAATGTGGAGGTGTCTGAAGTGAAGAAAGTGTGCTATCAACAGCAGGACCTGCCTCTGATAATTGCTGATTGGCATCCTGAAATGCTGAAAAAATATAGAAAATGTGAGATGAATTTTCTTAGAAAAGAAACCCTTTAACAATCCAACAGGTGGCAAAGATTTTGTATGCGCCATTTTTAATTCTGAAAATAAAATGGCATTCATGTTGACTTCCATTTCAGCTGCATATAAAGCAAGAGGCAAAGATGTTTCAACGTGAACTTGATGCAATAGAACAACATATACAAGACCTTGCAGGACCTTCTAGTTCAAGAAAGATGTGTAAATGTATAAATTATGGGTAGTTTAATCATTAGCTTTTATCAAAGTGATGTCATTTTATTCTTTCAGAAAAGTCAACATATACGCTTATTCTTTTAGCCCTTGTATATATGTAACTAAACATTATTCAATAAACATAAAAGTCAACAATACTGAGTTCACTTGATGCAACAGAATAACACATACAAGACCTCGCAGCAGCTTCTAGTTCAAGAAAAGATGCCACTGCCATGCTTCGAGATAAATCAATGTCAGATAGCAGCTTTGTCATCCACTCCTCCAATAAGCACCTTCTCTGCAATAAAACTAAGTCTTTTAAGAATATTAGTTGCTCCTATGTGAATGAAAATAAAATTTATATTTAATTTCTGTATAATAAAGAAAGTCATTTACACCTGTGCACTGTGCACAGCATTCTCATCTGATTTCTAAAACTTTCCATCAGATTAGAAGTCTATCAAAGACTTGCCAGCTTTAAAATTAGATGTTGAGTTAGGAAATTCCTTCTCTAAAATGTTCTGGTATTAGATAAAACTAGAAAGGATACTAGAAAGAATAAGTGACTATCAAGAAGATTTGACAACTCAATCATGAAACTTATTGTATATTACAAGAAAATAACACTCCAGTTCAGAAGCTGCTTTCGGTGTCTATAAAACAGAAGACAAATGCAACCGCAAAAATCCTTTCCTACCTCTTCCAAAAGTGCTCTGCTTTTCATTCGTAGTAGTCCCTTGGGTGGAGCTGGTGGAAGATTTTTCTTGGGAAATGACCTTTTAAGCTGCAGATGCAGCAATCAACACTGTAAGAAAATCATTTAAGCTTACGTTTTCAATGCCAAAAGCAGTCTTAGTTCCCAGACACAAAGCCTGATAAGCAATGAGTTATTCAAGTGCACATTCAAGTGCACATTCAACTTCCTTAAGGAGTTAGCTTGCAATAACAAACTGCAAAGGAAGTATAGTACTTACATCACTAAATAACTTCAGGAAATCATTAAATCTTCTCAATACTCCACGTGTAGTTGTAATCCCTTCTGGTGACTGTACACCAACCTGAACCCTATAAAACTGCCCCTTAAGACTGTTAACATGAAGATGTTTAATGCTGGTGCATAGTCATTAATATACACATACACTCAAACAAACACATACACATGAACATCAGTGGAATAGGCAAACTGACTTGGAATATCACAAGACTCTTTGTTAACTCTGACAAACACATTTGGGATTGTTAAGCTAGCAAAATTATATCACATCAAACTCGGATTTCAACTTAGGTTTTCAGCTCAAAGCAAATCAGTAAAAATGAATTAATCTCTAATAAGTCTATAACATACAGTCAGATTGTGGTTATTGAATGCACATCCATTTTGTGTAAATTTAAAGGTGTTCTTCGAGTAAATATCAAAAAATATTTTTGGAAAAAAAAAAAAAACTCAAACAGTAAACAATAAACTGCAGTTATTTAGTGTATCTTGTGGGCCTATTCAATATTTTGTCACTTTAAATTTGTAGAGATACGGCATAATAACAACATCTAACCCTTGGCATAGATAAACACGGGAGAGTCATTCAATTTGAGTACCACTACGGGATCTGAATCTCTTGACTTTGGAAGAACAACCCAGGAAGGTATAGTGAGACAGTAACTCCAGCCTGATCTAGGATCATGCGGCCAAATTGTATCCCGCCCATTCTGCAGAAAAAAATTTCCATCCTTATGCGTATTGAAAATTGATTTTACTAGCAGATAAATATCAGGACTACTAAGAGGTTGATATTGCAATTAGAAAATGTCTATAGCACAATTGTGCGTAAATCAAAGTGAATAAAACAAGAATATCTATAGAGTTTGCAAACAGATGATATGCAAGTTTTTGTGAACCTACATTATACATCATTATGTACACCATTGATTCCACATTGAATAAGCTCTAACCGTCTTTCTAAAAGATCTTCCATATTTCCAAGTGAGTTTCTAAGTTTCATACTTGGTTTTGGAATATATAAACATATCCGCAGATCAACACATCATTTTCATTTATAATCTCTAAGCCCCCATACTATCATCCAAAGAAAAAACTGTCAGAAATCAGAATAAAGTCAACCACTGAAAGGAATGCTTGATTACTGATACCATTATTAAGCAGGAAGGCAAACAACAGTGAACTTTTTGCCTCAAACTCTGGCAGTATCTCAAATAGGACTATTGTACATAGTTTTTTTTTTTTTTTTTTTAAGCAGCGAAGGCAAACAACAGGAACTTTTTGCCTCAAATCTGGCAGTAATCTTCAAAATAGCGACTATTGTACATAAGTTTTTTTTTTTTTTATTTTTTTGGGGGGGGGGGGGGGGGGGGGTGGGGGAGGGAATATGGTAAGGTGATAAATGGAATTACATCTAAAACCGGGTGGGGGGAGGGAATATGGTAGTGATAATGGAATACATCTAAAAACAAATTAAGTGACTTGTTAAAACCACGACTTAGCAATGTCGGACGCGGATGTAGCAAGCCTCATAACCAGAATGCAGTATGAGTGCACCCAAAAGAAAATTAACATTTCATGATTTGTTAGACAGAATGGAACCTGCCATGCCCAAAATGACGGGGAACAAAAGCCAATTAATCGTAGTTACATCTTTCTCATAGACTGCTTAGTCCTAGTTCGAGAAGCTCAAAACTTCTAAACCAATAAATATCAAATTATCAATCAAGTCACCGCTTGATGTCACTGGTAGAGCCTGTATTTGATTACTTTCTAAAAGTGCTGAAGAATTAAAACTTTAAAAGAAGAATACATAAAAAGTTGCAAATACTTGGAAGTCAAAGTTACATAAAATTCGAAGCTGAAAAATTAATAAAAATAAAGCAGCATGTGCTAAGAGATAGAATTGAAATTACGGATAAAAGAGGCCAATAAGTTCAAATCAAGTAGCATTGAATTGAATCGAACTTACCCATTTTCGCGGTGGAGGACTCCAATCCATTCCCAAAGGCAGCGGCGAAGTCCCGTCGTGCCTGTGCTTTGGTGGACTCCTTCTCTGCATCATCTTCTACTCGCTCTAATTAAAGTCTCCCTTCTCTCTCTTAGAAATTGAGAGTGATCACATGATCACCCTCAGACTTCTCCATCTATCTGAATTAACAATGATCTGTCTATATCTATCTCCAATTCCCACCTCAGAAATTAAAATCCAGCATATAATAGACAATTCAGTCTCTGGAACTGGAATGCTTGTCAAGTGCTAGGGTTTCGATGATCGGATCGGAGCTAGCAGACAACAAGAGACAGAGAAATGGACAGATGGAGTCTTCACAATATCAATATTGTCGTCGTCGCTTCCTTCTTTCGGTGCAAAAACGACGCCGTAACATAACAAGGAAGAAGACGTAAACGTAGCTAGAGCCTACAGGTAACCGCGATTGTAATGTGTCACCTGCTTGGATTCTGCGTTTGCTTGTTTGTCTGCCTCCATGGAGGAAGAAAATAGAGGCCAAAATCAATCACAAAAGAAGAAAAAGGCTTTTTCGATCTCACCAAACTGTCTTCTTCTATTGCAGTTGCATTGAGCTTCACGGCAAGGATAGAGAGAGTGCTGATTCGGCCCTTTGTGAAAATGGGCTTCAGGGCCTGTCGCTTTGGTAGTTTGTACAAACCCTTGCTATGAACCCTTTGAATTGACAAGGCCCAATAGACTGGACTCATATTGTTGACAATAAAAGATTGCAAATTTAAATATAAATTGAAACCAATTTAATCGAAAATTTATTGTCCTACAATTTTTTTAATTTTATTTACAATGGTATACTAGTGTAATTTCCAGGAAGATCTTGGGATCTCATATCATTCTTTAATATTACTAGATACTAGCTTAACTATATGTTTAACTGCATTTCAAATAATTATATACTTCCCTCCTCTATAAATAAGCGTCACATTTGCATCTTTTCGTATCTTAAGAAAGTCATTTAATTTATCTAATTTGTAATAAATTATTAAATAAATTAACTATATTACTCTTATTTACAGTAAATGGAGAAATTCTTGAGAATAAAGGCAATTAATGTTTGCTATTTGTAAAATGTAAAAATTTTAAAAACTATTATTTTAAAAATTTATAAATATGACGTTTAGGACGGTGTATTGAATTAAGAGTCTGTTAGATTTTAAAAGATTTTAAAATTCGAATGGTATTCAGTCTAGATTCTTTTAGATTCTATTAAAATTTTTGTGATATTTAATTCAATACTCTTATAAAAATCTATAAAAATCTGATGGTATTTAATTATGACTTTTTAAAAGTCCATATAAATTTGATGGTATTCAAAAAATTACTGATTTTGAAGGATTCTATAAATTATTGATTTCGTTGGATTTTAGAGTGTTTATTATGACTTTTTAAAAAGTCCCATATAAATTTGATGGTATCAAAAAAATTACTGATTTTGAACTTTTTAAAAGTCCATATAAATTTGATGGTATTCAAAAAATTACTGATTTTGAAGGATTCTATAAATTATTGATTTCGTTGGATTTTAGAGTGTTACACATGAATAAAAAAATCATTCACAAATCCATCCTCCGGCCCAAAGATTTCAAAAATCTTTTAAAATCTAACATATTCTTGATCTAATACACTCCTCAATAGAACGAAAGCAGAGTAGGCTCCCGCAAATTTTAAACTACCTGTATAGGCATCTGTTTAAAATTTTATTATCCATATCCATTCTAAACCCATTTAAATACCTATTTAAATATCCATAATTGAACTCGTTTAAATATTTACTACCTGTTTTCGTCTAAAAACCTATTGAAAGTACCTCTTAAACGGGTAGAGTATCCACAAATATTTAACTATTCAAATTTCGAACTTATTTAAAATATATATATATATATATTTTTTTTTTTACGAATAATGGATAGGGTACCAATTACCGAACTTATTTAATATAGCCATTAATGGAAGCGGGATGACTGTCGACGATACTAGCCATTGCAACCCTTTCACTATCGGTAGCCATAAGTTTTTGACGAATAAAAAAATGATTTTGGAGAAGTTGACGTATTTTGCTTTTTATTTACTCATTGTTCTTTAGTTTTTCATTTGGCTCTAAAACCTTTTAATTTGTTCGACTAAATCATGAAATTAATTTTGATTGGATATATGAAAATTATTGTAATTCCATAAAAATCAATTAAAATCTATAAAAAAAGTCTTACAAATTCCATAAAAATCTATGTAAAATTCTAGTGGAATCTGTAAAAATCCTTCAATTCCGTCAAACTAAATAATTTTTTTAAAATCTAACACAATCCTATTTCAATATACCCTTCTAAATGAATTGTAACAGGCATAATACAATCGTAAACGTGACCCTCGCGGAAGTATCCCGCTGGTGCCAAGGATAGGTTCCAGCCCAGTTCCGGTTCCTCCACTTGGACGAGCCTTGTTGTAATAGCTACTAGCCAGGAGACGCCTAAATTTGGAGGCTTGCGACGTGCATTAACTTCTTAGCTATAAAGAATCTTATATGGGAACCAGTCACCACACAGTGCCATATGCTAAGTTTGGAAGAGTTAAAAACGATAAACTCGAAAAATATCTTAACTCAAACTTTTGGCATTTAATCACGTGTCATATTAAACTTTAAAAACATTTATTATATATCTCAAATTATAAAATTATATTTATTAAAAATATAAATTATAAAATATAAAATATACTTTATTCAAAGCTTCATTTCATAAATTTAAATAGATTAAACACTTAGTAAATAGTTCAAGGATGTGAAACTTATTATTATAAAAATTATACTAATAATCTAAAATATTAATTTTTATATATAAAAAATAAAAACTCCAAACATTATTGTCACTATCGTGAAAAAAGGACAAAGTGTGCAAAATTCACAAGTTGAGAAGCACAGTAAATTTTCACAAAATTATATGTGGCATAGGTTTAAGGTTGAAAAGTCAAGGGGAATGTGTGTATAGATATAAGCATTTTTTATAATTTATAAATTAATAAAGATGTTAAGGAAAAGTAAATTTAATAATTACATTATGGATATATAAGTAAAAATGGACAATAATATTTTTGAGGGGAAAAAATGGACAATAATTATTAATTAACATAAGGGAAAAATCACATGCATAATTAAAATCCAATGTAAATTAATTAATACTCAAGAAAGTGATAATTTGCATTAATCACGAAAAGAAAATGCACAAGAGTACAATTAACTCAAGGCAAACGAGCTTGATTGCCTAGTTATTTAAACAAATCACACATCAATTAGCAACAGGAAGATACAAAAAAATAAAACACAATTAAGAATAATTAAGGTAATTAAACAGCCAACCAGGGCAAACACTTCCTAGAAACAAGAAAGACCTAATGATATAACTCACAGATGAGTCTTGCATTAGCAGGAAGAGTTTTACGATCAACACATAAAGGAAAAAGAAAAAAACCAGATCTAAATTATTACACGTATAATGTTCTATGCACATTGGAAGCCAGGAGGAACAGATTTGCCACATGCACTAATAAGCAAGCTAAGCGTAACAGGTATATCCAAGTTAATTCCAAGAACATTATCTTTAATGGCAGTGCACAAACACGCAGCAGCTTCCAAGTCGACTAAACCTTTAAGCAAAGCACAACACTTGCTTCCTGATGGAGGGCTTCCAATAGGAGTAAGTCCAAGTAAACCTGCACAAACCCCGAGCTTCAACGTGTCTTCTGGGCAAGATGCTGCTGGTGGTGGAGCCGCCGGTGTGGGCTTAGGCTTACAGTTACAGCAATCAGTAGAGACTGAGAATGCTGAGAAGAAAAGGAGAGAAAGGACCAAAACGAAAGCAAAGACCTTGTTGGAAGCCATAGCTCTGATTCAGGAGCTTATAGCTATAATCTCTGATATGGGATTTTGAGGAGGGTGTAGGTTCTTTTAAAGAGCAATTGTGAGGTGGACATTGTGAGATTCATTGAGTGGAAGAGAGAAGAAAAAGTCGACACTGTACCAGTTGTTTATCTTTTGTTTCCATATGAGATATAGTAAAGAAGTTTTTATGCTTTTGCATCGTTGCCAGATATTATAGCTTCAAATTGCTAGTCACTTACTGTGGAGGCTGATTCACTCATTCACCGTGTTCTGGTTCAATTATTAATAACCCTGACATAGAAATCCTCATGGACCAATTAAAATATTAGAACCAAACACTGCCTTAAATAAATTAATATTTTATTTTAATATGATCACATTTTAATGATTTGCTTCTTGCTAAGTAAAACAAATCAACAATTGCAACGAGAGGAAATTAAAGGAAGGGTACCAAGTACCTTGTTTTTTTTTATATTAGTTCTCAACCAGGATTCTAATATTAGGCACTAATTATTAGAAACAATGATGAACAATTATATGAAAGATGAATAGCTCCGAAAGGTAATATATTGATTCTCTCCTAATTAGTTGGAGCATAAGTGCGATGATTTACTTCAAAATCTTTAGTTTAAGTTTAAAAGATAATTCAATTGTGCTAAAAAAAAAGAATAAAAGAGTCATTTCAGAAATATGCTATTTTTATTATCGAATTTTATTTGCAACTTTTAGATTTGGGATTATAAAACAAGTCACTGAGGGTATACAAATGGACGGTTCAGTTCCGAACTAAATCAGACCACAAAAATCAAAAACCCTAAAATAGATTTTTTTTTTTTTTTTTTTTTTTTTTTTTAAATCAGACCACAAAAATCAAAAAACCCTAAAAATAGATTTTTTTTTTTTTTTTTTTTTTTTGAAAATCAAATCAAACTGAAGTTAAGTTTAGAATCTGAACACAATCGGGTCAGTTTGATTTTATTCAAAACAGTTGAGTTTTACTCAGAAAATAAGTGTTTTATAATTATCGATCCAAAATAGTCGTCTTGATTTGGATCCTCCGTTTTTTAGCGTTGTTTTTATAATTAATTGAATTCAAAATAGCAGTTTGATTCGGATTCTCGGGTTTTTTTCAGAGTTGTTTTATAATTAATATTTTTTTTTTTTTTTTTTTTTTTTTGAAATCAAATCAAACTGAAGTAAGTTAGAATCTGAACACAATCGGTCAGTTTGATTTTATCAAACAGTTGAGTTTTACTCAGAAAATAAGTGTTTTATAATTATCGATCCAAAATAGTCGTTTGATTTGGATCTCCGTTTTTTTAGGGTTGTTTTATAATTAATGATTCAAAATAGCAGTTTGATTCGGATCTCGGTTTTTTTCAGAGTTGTTTTATAATTAATAATTCAAAATAGCAGTTTGATTCAGATCTCGATTTTTTTCAGAGTTCGCTCACCCTTGAAAGCCACTACTTTTAAGATGGATTTTAGGCTCTATTTGTTTCCATAAAATAACTTGCATGAAAATATTTTATACAATTTTTCGTTGTTTTGGGCGTTTAAGAAAATAAATCAACGGAAAATATATTTCTGGTCGAAGGAAAATTAAATCATTTTTTAAGGAAAATAACTTCTCATTCTCGAGAGAGAGTAAAACATTTTTCGGATATTGACAAATCTTATAAATCCATATTTTTTAATTTATTAATCATCACAGTCACTACCACCAATTACCATTTACCACCGACCACCACCACTAGCTACCACCAGCATCAGCACCAGCGGCTTTCATAATTTATATTTTTTTGCATTATTTTATATTCAACAATAAAATTTTTAAATTATAAAATTTCTATTATTATCATTAATCTTTTTTATGGTCTTATGAGATAAAGACTTTAATATTTTTAACTAATTTTTAATATTACAATCAAATAACTGAAAATAAATCATTTGGAAAATATTTTTTATGAAAACATTTTTCAGCAAGTTATTTTTCTGTATATTATTTTACGGAAATAAACATAGCGTGTCTTAGTAAGTTAAAAAACGAAGTTACAGTTTGGTATGATATTTTAGGAGTGAAATGGGATCCAGCTTGTGAATTGTGACAAAAACGAATTGGTGTTGTTTCTGTTTGTCTGATTGGTTTTGTCCATTATCGAGACCATGGATTCACTCATATCCATATAGATAAACAATTGAAGATGATGAGATAATAGACGCGTTTTTTGGGTCACATGGCAGCGATTTTTATTGTCGGAACCAAACTTGAATTCAAACGGTGGAAGCTGGGGCTGGATGGGTCTATTTATGCCCACCCAACGGCCAAGAAGTTGACTGAACGTCTCGTCGCATTGGCCGGATAAATCACAATCATGGCCTTGCTCTGCTCATGAATCATGAAGGAGTACAATCCTTCTTTCCGGTACCGAAAAAGACTCGCTAATTGCACTTTTTGCCAAACCTCAACTCAAGTAATAAGCGCATAAAGGCTAAGGTTAAAATACATTCCACGTTACTGTTTTCCAGAATGTTTACGTATTTTAAAAAATAATAAATAATTTTTTTTAATTTTAATTTTATTTATATTAAATATAATAATTGATTTGATAAAAATACTTATGGTTTTTGTTATAAATGTAGGAAAATCAATTATTTTCATAATTTTTGTGTAAAAAACATAAACAACTTATATTTTGTTGGAGAAAGTGAATATCATTTTAGGATGAATTATGGTTATTACTTATTAAAAATGAGCGTTCCAATGAAAATTTTTTAGAATAGCCAATCAACATAGTATAAATATAGTTCAAAAACTGTTTATTATTTTAGTTCCATAATATTTATTACATTTAAGAAAATAGTTTGTTCCAAAATACTTGTCACATTTACGGATTCAAGAAGTAATAAATATTTTTCCATGTTTACCTTTGTATATAACCAATAATTATTGCTTCAATTCAATAGTTTTTTTTAATTAGTATTAAATTAAGGGTAATATAGTTAATTTACTCAATAATTTATTGTAACTTCAATAAATTTAATGGTTTTTTTATATGAAATTTCATAGACAGAGATAGTAATGAATATTTTTTTAATGAATCAACATACATCATTTAATGGTTTTCAAGTATCTTATTCCTTTTTTTTTTTTTTTCCTAACACTTTGAAATAAGAAGATATTTTTAGGTACATGGTAAAATAAGAATAGAATCTAAGACACACACGTGTTCAGCTCAAATTAAATTTTACTGAAAAAATCAATTTTTATATCAAATAAGTACTGGAACCTTCCAATCTATTCCCACATTCTAGCAAATGCCACTTGATTTTTTTTTTTTTTATTAGTTAAAAAAACAATAAAATGCACACATAATAATTAGGGGTGTGACACATTTTTCATAAAACTATGGTAACCGTGTAAAAAGCTGCCTTTTGTATTAGATCAATTTAAACGAAAAGGGCCCTACTTCGTCGGCATAATGGGCCCGAAGAGCTCACGGGTTCTTTTTATCATTTTTTTTTTTTAAATCATATAAATCACATAAGAAAAATGTCCGAGTATATATATATATATATATATATTAGAAATGACAAAACTAATTTTATCTATTTATCGTTATTTATATGATTCCATTTAAATAAAAATGAACTATTTTATTTTGATTGGAATATCCCATAAATAATTTAATATTAACTGTTATAATAAATAAATAAATAAATAAATAACCATTTGGAGTGAGGCATCCGAATAAACCCCGCAAATTTCCTTTTATTAAAATAAAAAAAAAATGAAGTGATAACAGGATGAGAAAGGACATGTTCGTAAACTTGCTTATTTCGGTGAGTAAACAGAAATTGAGAGTTGTACTGCAAGGTTTTTAATGTTTTATTCTTGATTCTGAAAATACACATGCAACTTGTCACGTGACTACATAATTTTGATAGTAGCTAATTTATGTGGCATCCCCTTATATGTACATATAAAGTAATTATAATTAACGTACTCTTTCCTTTTTTTGGTGTTGGGTCACATGATCGTGACATGTAATAAATAATGTTTAATAAAAATAATTATTTAATTAACTGTTAAATGTAAAATAATTTTAAATAATTTAACTAATTATTGCTAAACGTTAAATATTTAAGGATAACATTTGGATTGTATAATTATGTTGTCTTCATTTGGACCTTTTCAATTCTAATAAAAGAGTACTCTATGACTATTAACCCATTTTCTATTTATAAAGTGGAGTGGTCCTTAATTATATTTGACCCTTAATTCCTGGACAATGTAGTCATTTTGGCAAGTCTAATTTTGTAATTTGAACTGCAGGGACACATCATCCAATCCATTTGACAGTTCATTTCCAAGAGCCCATGTCAATTGAATCTCAAAAGCCCATATAGTCCACTACTCTACTGTACTGGGCCAAGCCAGTTTAGTTGGGAAATTCTCGTATATAGTTGCATGATGGAACACTGGGCTTGCGCTCGACTTAAATGGTTGGATACGGCAATTGATAATCAATTATCATTTGTCACCTCATTAAAAATAAACAAAACGACGAATTTTATTTTGAAATTTTAATTTAGTTTATTTTTAAAATATTTTATTATTCAATTATTTAAATTTTTGGATAAACATCAAACTTAAATGTGGATAATAACTTAATTTAATGTAAAAAAAAATTTATTCAGTTTAATTATTTTATATAATTGATAATTTAGTGATTTCTAAAATCAAAGAGTCGGTCTAGACTCATAAATCTAATAATTTATAATGTAAATAAATATTTTTATTTATTAAATTAATAACGACGAAGCTAGTGGTTGATTTATCATATAGGCCATCTTATTCTCCCATGAAAATCTTATTATAATTTTGATTATCTTTCACTAAAATTATTAAATTCACCCATCACATAGTGTCAATTCTAGCATAAATTATTAAAAATTTTTTAAATTATTTGTTTGTTATATTCAATTTGAGTCAATATATATAATTTTTAAAACATACTATATAATTTTGTTAAAAAGTTTAAATTTTATCACTAATATTTAAAATTTATTGTTGTTCCTAATTTATATATATTGCAATATTATGTGTAATTTAATTATAATTAATTTGTCCCTAATAAAGTGATTTAATGCTAATTAATAATTATGTATGATATAATTGATTTTTTCATTTTATTGAAAGTGAAAAATCTCGAGATGAAATTTAAAAAGTTGGACAATATTATTTTATGGAATTTCAATTGGCCTTTGGTTTGCAGTTCCAATTGGCCTTTGGTTTGCAATTTCAATTGGCCTTCTGGACATTACGTCACAGGAACAGGACAGCGTGGATGTATTCTTTTTTTAATTCGTATTTCCACTAATTTATCTACAAGATTTTGATTTAAAAAATATTATAGTATATTTATAGTTCGAGTTTGGCAAATAAAAATCAAATCAAACGAATTTTGAAAAATCCAGATTATCTGTTTGTTGCTTTACAGAAAACGGAATATAAAAAAGAAGGAAATAATTATAAATGGGAGTCCTATCGCAGAAAAAGTTTCTCCTTTCCTGTTTATAAGTATTCACAGTGTTAGTAGCTGGGTCGATCGACCTGGAGGAAAAGCCTAATTCGAGGTTAGTGCCATAAATAGAAGATATATCTTTGACCTTGATCGATCAAAAACGAGCAAAAAACATAGATCTCCAAATTTGGGAGTTTGAGATATGGCGATCCTGTACGCGCTGGTAGCTAGAGGATCAGTGGTGCTAGCGGAGTTTACCGCGACGGCGACGAACGCCAGCGCCATAGCAAGGCAGATACTGGAGAAGATACCAGGAAACGAGGACAGCCACGTCTCTTATTCTCAAGATCGTTATATATTTCATGTCAAGCGCACCGATGGCCTTACCGTTCTCTGTATGGCCGATGATACGGCTGGAAGTAAGCTCTTATGTTCTCCGATTTTCTTAATTACGCACACACTGATCTTGAAACGGTTTAGCTCGATATTGATTTTGTGTATGAAATTGAGAATGAGAATTGTCTGGTTAGAAATAGCTAGATTCAATTTTCCACAGTTTATCAGCATTGGAGTTTTTGACACTGGTCTTAAAATTTACTTTATTTTTTCTTTTGTAAATTTAGATTCAATTGAATTGCATGCCCTCGCGCCATAACGTTTTTTTTCTTCTATTAGCTTTTGTCGTTTTTCTCTCTGCGATGCGATTGCCTTCATTGAGCTTCCTTTTATGGTGCGTTTTACTCCTCGAGGCTTTGTTTGTGGCTATTTCTTTTCACAGTTTGTAACATATAAGAGGTCTTATTCATTTAATTTACATTAAAGGTTCATTCCAAATTATTATTTAGAACATTGCTGCTGCAAACTATGGGAGCTAAATGGTTGGATTCTTGTCGCAGTTAGCTTAGGATCAAACCTTTGTTGATCTTAGATCCTGTCTCTGCGTAGTCTTGTTTTACCTGTTCATTGCATCTTGTTTCAGTGCAAAATTGTATCAACTATTTTCATTCTCAGCTAGCTGCATGATCATTAATGGTATTGCCTCATTTAGAGAAAAAACCTGACCTGTTTAAACATTAGTAAAGTCATTAAACTTTAAAATTCACATCATCATTTTGTTGCCAAACAAGAAAAATTTCCACATTTGTCTCTGAAATTTAAGTTATAAGATGCTTGGCAATGAGGATATGAAATGACTATTCTGTGTGATGAAACCTTGAGTTCTCTCTTGCTGATCTATCAAAATTTACAATGTGCTGAATGCTTTATGCAGGGAGAATTCCTTTCACATTTCTTGAAGACATCCATCAGAGATTTATCAGGACTTATGGTCGTGCTGTTCATTCAGCCCAGGCTTATGCCATGAATGATGAGTTTTCAAGGGTTTTGAGCCAGCAAATGGAATATTACTCAAATGATCCAAATGCAGACAGGATAAATAGGCTAAAAGGTGAAATGAGTCAGGTAAGTTTGAATTCTTTGTGTTAGCAATGAATTTTTAACTATGTTACGCCTTATGATTTTCATCAATTGGTGACATTTAAACCACTTAGACGTGTGATCCCAGTCGTTTTCCCCTTTATATACTGATTCATTAAGTTGAATCTTACTCTACTGACTGAAGAATTTTGTTATGTATCTACACACATAGGCAGTACTCATCATTTATTGATTTCCACTGTACCTTTTCTATTCAAGTCTATATCTGATAGAAGTAAAACTGGATAGATGAATAAATTAGAGAGTGATTGAAGATGATGGATAAGAGTATGCTTGAATATTTTTTCTGTGTTCACAATGATGTCAGTATACATATTTATAAAGAAAATCAGGCAGCCGTTGTCCAAGCCCGAGCGGGAGACAAGGCCTTTAATGCCCGTGCGGGTATCTCGGGTCATTAAATGATTTCTTTCCTAGTGTATTTAAAAATATGTCCTCAATACATTTATTAGTGTATTAATAGCCTTCCCCTCTTTATGTGATTTTCAAAAAATTAGAGTCAGCATCTTGCCTGAATTTTTCATTTTTTAAAGACTTGTAATTGCCAAATTTGCAATTCCTTGTAGGTGAAAAATGTCATGATTCAGAATATTGACAAAGTTTTAGAGAGAGGTGATCGTTTGGAGTTGCTGGTTGATAAAACTGCTAATATGCAAGGGAACACTTTCCGTTTCAGAAAGCAGGCTCGTCGTTTCAGAAATACAGTATGGTGGAGAAATGTTAAGCTCACGTATGTTTGTCTGAAGTGGTTTTTGTTATATGTACAGTAGCATTCTTATATGAAACTGAAACAGAGATATTAAGGATCTCTTATTCTGTTGTCCGTTGACTAAATTCTTTACTTATTGCAGGGTTGGTCTGATAATCCTCCTCCTAGTGATTGTCTATGTTGTATTGGCCTTTGTATGCCATGGACTAGCACTACCTTCGTGCCTGAAGTAAGGGCAAGGCATTTAGTGAGATTATGATCCTTCGTGGTTTTATTATTATTATTATTATTATTATTATTATTATTTTTCTGCTTTAATTGGCAGATGAGGTATTTCTCTTTGGATTTTCAATCCTGGAAGTTCTAGCAAATTCTTACTTGTTCAAATATGAAATACTTGAATTGTCTGAGGTCTGCACTTTCTGCAACTGTGCCTCTCACTGAGACAAATTGGTTGAGCTTGAATTTCTGTTGCATGGTTTGATTAGTTTTATTTATTGAAGATTTTTTTTTTTGTGTACTTTCATTTACACATTATATTTGTAGTTTTACTTTTGTCAATGAGATGCGGCGTTGTGTGCCAGATCTTTATATTCTTGGGTGTGTGGGTGGTTGGCTGGCGCGGGGGTTTGGTAAAGGAGTTCGTATTTGCCTAGAATTACATATACTTTAGCTGACTGACTTGCCCTCGGGGAAAAGGTGTTTATAACTGAATCTACTGGCTACTGCCTCACCCATTCACATTTCTATGCCACAAATGTACTTTTAGCGAAGAAGCTACTTATGAAGTTTGAAGGATGGCACTTGGAAGTGGCATAGGCAACTAGGCTCCTATTGAATCGTGAAAAAAATTTGTTGAGCTTACGGTTTTTACAGTTGGAGTGAATGCCTCTGATTTCCTAAATGTGTCTTGTAAATTTTTAGGCAAGTATTTTCCTGTGTCGTCTCCTCTCGTTACGGTGTATAATCCATATTTATAATTCAATACGGAAAGTGAGGAAAGAAGACAGTCCTCGATTGGGGAAGCATCTGATGTGTATAATCCATATTTATAATTCAATACGGAAAGTGAGGAAAAAAGACAGTCCTCGATTGGGGAAGCATCTGATGTATCACGGTTCTGGAAGCAAACAAAACCATTTTGCCAGTGGATGCTCCATTTTCAAAGCATAAACACACTTATAGGAAGTTTCCTTATTGGATCAGTTTAAGTACATTTTTCAAATGACAAACGGGTATTGAGAGGACATTTTATTCACCAGAATCTGTATTTTGGGTACCAAAGAGATGGAGAAAGCACAAAGGTTAAAACAGAATGAAAATGTGCTCCATGAAAAGCCATAGGTGTCAATGTAAGTTGATGTGATGGGCTTTGTTGGATCCTTTAATATATATTTGGGCTTCCTGGGTACTATATGGATTTTGTACTTTTGTTGTATTTGGGATTTTCCACGTCTTTTTAATTAAATTAACCGAACGACATGAAAACAACCGACTGCCTAATTAACCAAAAGGAGAAAGATGTAACATTCCACGACACGGTATAAATTTTCAAAACGACTCAGCACGTCGTTTCCTTCTGAATGCTCTTTATCGTTTCCTTCCCAACGCCCGCCACAAGGCAACACCTGCGCTTGTCATAGCTCTGGATCGACTTTAGCCCCTTTCGCCAAAAATCTATCTACGACTCACAAACTCTTCCAGAGCACTAATATTAAATTAAAAACACATTTTTTATTTTTTTAGTGTAGGTCAGATAATTTTGAACAGGACAAAGAAATCATTTTGAATAAAAATACAAATTTAGTAATATTATATAATATAAATAAATTTAGACTTTAATTCCATAAACCCGTCGCAGCTTCGCTCGATAGATTTCTAACTCCTATACGAAGGTTTATTTTTGCCCTTAACGGGACCACTGCAACAAGCAGCATTAACTTTCCAAAGTAGCTAAAAGGGAGGGTAGAAATTTATAGAAGAAACAACCGTCAATCTCAAATTGTGAAAAAAACTTTGAATTTCCTACTAGTTTCTACATATAACTAGACATCATAATTTACATTAGTTGTCTACAAGATTTAATTTGTTCAACAAGTCCTCCAATTCTTGCAATGCAATCTTATAACGATCTTGTAATTGGGCCCCTTCTTCCACAATTGGAATGGCAAGTTTATACAGATGACTGTGCCAGTAAATTGGATTATACACATCAATACTGCTGGAACTGTGATCTGGGGGGCACTTGCCCTTAAAATTTTTACTCCAACGCGGTAGAATGTAGCGAGCAGGGATTTCTTCCACCCCATTATAATTAAGAACATTCAGTGCATGCCTGCATAAATAGCCCTTGTAATTGAACAAGCTACATATGCATCGGATATCCACCTGGCTTGTCTCATATAAAACTTCAAAATACCTAACTTCCTTCTCGCTTCCCTCAACTTCTACCCGTTCTTTGACTATGTAGGTGACTATTGGCCCATTAACACTCACCTGTCTTGTGTTGAAGCAAGAGTACATCCCCTCAACCTCAGACTGAAACTTCTTAAAAACTTCTTTAGTATATACTTCAGAGAGTTGCACCTCAAAATTGTATCTTGTTTTCAATTCAAAGGTTGAATTTCTGGACTCCAGGTCTGCCATGGCTTCTTTAAGGTGTTTTCTGTGTAGGGCTAGACCATACTTATCAACAAATTCCTTAAAAGATGTGTGTTTATGTACATAACCATCAAAAAAAGTAGTTAAGCCCTCATTTTCTTGGATGGGGATCATTCCTGCAAAAAATATGTCCTTTAAATAAACAGGAACCCACCGTTGCCGCTCTTCGTATAATGTTTGGAGCCATTTATTATCACCAAGTCCATATCGCCTGATCATGTCAGACCAACAAGTTTCAAACTCCGCTATTTTCAGTGAATTATAGACAGCTTTGTTCAATTGTCTTTTGATGGCTTCAAATCCAGTCAACCCTCCCAACCTTTCTGGAACTCTCTGCATAATATACAACAGACAATAACAATGACGAGCTTCAGGAAAGACCTCAGCCACTGCACTTTGCAAGCGTTTACACTGGTCAGTAATGATAACCTGTGGTGGTTGCCCTTGCATGCATTTAAGCCATGCCCTGAACATCCAGACAAAATATTCTACTGACTCATGTCCAAGAAACCCACAGCCCAATAATATCAGTTGTCCATGGTGGTTTACACCAACAAATGAAATCAGAGGTATCTCATATTTGTTTGACAAGCATGTTGTGTCAATTGCAACTGTATCACAAAAATAACCATATGCTGCTCTGGATCTAGCATCAGCCCAAAACACGTTCCTTAGGCGCCCATCGTCATCAAGATCCATCAAGTAAAAGAAGTTCGGATTTGTCAATTTCATGCGACAAAAGTAGTTATAAACTGCATGGGCATCTCCTTCTTTAAGTTCCAGATGTTTAGAATGATCGATATGATTTGCACCTTCTCCATTCTCAACACTTGAGTATCCATTACACCCAGAGTCCATGAGAGATGTTCGAAACAACTTGATAGTGTGCATCTCTGTAACAGGCTCTGGTGGTGGTTGAGCTTTTCTGGCTGCAAGAATCATTTTTTTATGAGACTTATAAAACCGTTTAACTTGAGGGCTTACTGGATGGTTGTGTGCAAGCTCAACTTCAACTATTCTCCACCTTTTTGAGTCCACAAGCCTAATGACTATCATTGCAGGACAACCAGTTCTTGTTTCTGGCCGTGGATTGTTTGCTTCACTCTTTTTTTTGAAACCTGCACTACTGCAGCTAAGTTTTGCTCTATAACGTTCCTTTCTCTTTGACCTAAACCAAGAATTGCTCACTCTGATGCCAAATCCTTGTTCCTTGGCATAAACATTGTAAAAATCATAGGCTTCATCAAAGGAATCAAACTCCAAACCCACAGTAGGTGGGAGCAGTTCTTTCTTTGAATATCTTTCAGCAGTTTCATTGTCATGTTCCACTATGCCACAGTCTTCCTCAATGTCATAGTCATCGCCTTCGTCGAATACCGGCTCACTATTGAGACAAACTTCTTCCATCTGAGAATAGATCAGAAACACACTAAATAATAAATGAAGCTCCATGGACAATAACCAAAAATAAAGAAAAACAAAAAGCATTTACCAGACCATGACAACTTCCTATATCAGTTTTAAGGCATATCAGACAGAGTTAGAAAACCAACCTTTCTTAACAACATTGGCAGTTAGCAAAAAAGAAAGTTCAAATTTACAAGTTGAAGGGAGAGAATAATCTACTTGAAAGTAACAAAAGAATATCATAGGGAAAAGTACCATTTCAACAGAGACAAACGTGACAATGACCGATTAAATATAACATAAATGCTGTAGAAAACACATTTAACGCTGTCCAACACATTCACATGACCATACCTAAAATTTCAGGATTGATATTTCATCTGTCAATATTATAGCCTTTTGATGAGAAATTTAATTCAAGACTAACAGGTTTGAGTATGTACAAGATGTCATAACTCCTTAGCATTTTCCGAAATCAATTTGATATTATCATGTAAAAATATGACAAAATCAAAATATGCACAAACATAATTGGCCAATCATTTATTCAAGAAAAGCAAGAAGCTAATTTAGAAACCATTACTGCTCTCCAACTCTTCTCAGTAACCTGAAATAAACATACTCAATATTAATATTCTCAGTAAATGTATCAAATCTATTCTCCAGTATCTAACATAGGGCAATTGCAAGTAAACATAAGAAATATTTAAGAGTATCTAGCGAAAATGGCAAAGATTACTGTCTGGCTGTTACAAATAAGCTATTTATACAACCTTAAGCTTTGTTTATGGCAATACATTACCAAATTAACAATTATAAAGTCCACATGGATGGGTAAAAACGATACTTTCATGCTTCAAAACCAGAAAATTTACAATGCTGCCATAAATGGTACCTTCGAATCAAACTATTTCATGGTTGAAAATGTCGTTATTGTGGACAAATTCAATTCATTGGCTTCCTTATCAGATTATAATCCGACTAAAACACTTCAAAGCTCAAGCAAACCCCACTCCTACCGGATGTCACAGTTTAAACACATTAGCAAGCTTACAGTGTCCTCTTTCGGTCTCGCATGAATAATTAATCCCCAGCCATCGTTCATAACCACAGACATAGTTACCTGTCCATAAAAACATTTATGTAATTCATGACTGTATATATGAAAATAGCGTTATTTTAAGAAAAAAAATTAAAATTAAGAACAAAATCCTAAAAATCGTTCACGAAGATCATCTCTGTTCCAAGTTCCAACAACTTGTATATGAGCTCTGTAATTCTACAGGCAACGCAAAATCTCATGAAGGAACCCATACAAAACGAAGTTGAATATCCATTATTATATCAATCTAACTGGATCCAATTTCTAATCCTATGATCAGTGAACTTCCGTCACTTTTTGCTCTCTGATATCAAAGTTTCACTTTCTCTGCAACTAAACAGGTATCAATCAAAACCCTATGTAAAAAATATCGAGTTTTCGCAAAAGTGAGTTAAACCTCGAAATTCGCGATATTAGAGTGGGGAATTTAGACGATCTTACAGTGATTCACTCAGCTGGACTGGAATCGGCGATGAGATTAAAGTAGCTGAGTCAGTTCATCCGAGTTGGCCTTGAAGGAAAGTGTGAGTCACACTCGGGCTTACAGAGGTTTGGTAGATCTTTCGACTCGATGAGCTGACACGTGGGGGCTATAATATCGTATTACTGTTTTGTCACAGGTAATATATTATTTGCTCTGTGATCCTTGTAGTTGTGCTGATTTGCAACTGACCCCCAATGCAGGGTGTTTCGTGAAAAATAAGGTCACTTGTGCTGTTTACTTTTTAGGAAAAATAATTAATTAGTCCCTGAGGTTTAATCAAATTAATTAATTGGTCATCGTATTTTATCGATATTAATTAAAAATCTTCGAGATTTAATTCCATTAAACTATTTCATCGTTCCATTCATTTTTTCCTCATTTTTTTTTTGTTAAAATGTGTGAAAAAATGAAAATATCTTCATAATTATTTAGAAAAAGATGATAATAATCCGAGTTATCTACTATAACAATTATTTACAAGCTGGGAAAACTCGAAAGAAGCTCTAGTAGCAACAACCATAAACCCAACACCACCAAGTGCCTAAACTTGAGGAGTTAAGTGTGATTTTACTCAAATTTCCAGATTCAACTTCATATTCACATAGTCAAGGAGAAGGATCATCGGCCACAGAAATTAATTCTTCATCAGAAAACAACGAAAAGAATCAAGTTGCAAGTTGAGTTAATTGGAATGCATCATATAGTAATGTCATAGCTATATATGTATGATTTTGTTTGAGAGGATGATAATACTTCTTTAAGATTGTTCTCTTTGACTATAACTGAGTCAGAATCTGTTGAATCACCTGAACCTCCTCTAAATGAATGATCTTCAACAACATGATATCCATGGGATATTGGTATCATCTAATTGCAAGTTGAGTTAATTCACTTCACAAACTCAGAAATCCACCCAATATCTAGTGCTGAAGTGGTCGAGTTAAACCGATTCAACAGTTTTCTTTATTGAGTTTTGTGTCTAACTTTGCTCTTAAATCCCTTCCATATTCTATCCTTTCCATTGCAACTCTTCCTCGAGGGTTGAATCCCAAAGGTCTACCTGACCCAAGTCGGAGTTGATAGCTAGATCGAAGTGAAGACTCACAGGGTGACCCAAACCTTGATCCATTTTACTTGCACAAATATGTTGGTCCTGCCTTCATTTTACTGAACTGCAAACTTCGCATAGACGCAACTAGTTCGACGAACCACCAACTTCCTGGGGACTACTTGACAAAATTGGCGGAGAGTCCGACGAGAGACATAGGCAGTGAGTTTAACAGACATCTGTAAAAGAGTTGTGTTTCCCTCCACTTCAATGGAGCAATTAACCTAGGGTATTATCGTATTTTCTTAAGTAATTGTGAGGATATTTTCGTCTCTTCACACATTTTAATGGAAAAATGGATGGAATGATAAAATAGTTTAACAGAATTAAACTTCGGAGGCTCTTAATTAATATCGATAAAATACAAGGATCAGTTAATTAGTTTGGTCAAACCTCAAAGACTAATTAATTATTTTCCTTACTTTTTATTTTGCATGAACCGGAAAGCAATTGAATAAAATCCACTGTTTCTTTCCTTTCTAGATTCCATTTGTTTCTAAAAAATAGTTTTTTAAAATTTTTTTTAAATTTATGGTGTTGAAAAAAATCAATCAATGAAGAATAACTTTGTTTTTATAAAAAATGACATTGATAATCAGTAATCATCATATTAATTATATTAATTGTTATCGACCATCGTCACTAATTATCAGACATTACTATCTATCACTATGATTACCATAGTTTATAATTTTATACATTTTTTGCATTTAATAATAAATTATTAAAAAATAAAGTTTATATTTTTTATAATCTTATAAAATTAAAAGTTGTAATTAATCTTAATACTACAGTTAAATAATATAAAACAATTTATATTAAAATACTTTTTAAAAATAACATTTTTTAAAAAATATTTTCTAAAAAAATAAATCATTTTTATTAAATAAGAATCGGTGTAATTTTTCTCTATTGAGAAAACGGAAATACACATGTATAATGCCTTTATTTATATATGAATAGAAGACAACTAAAAAATATGTTATTATCACACTAAGGTACAGTATAATGATAATTGCATATACGATAAGATAATGGATAATATGTTATTTCAAAATGCTATTTAATTTCATGATTTTCAATATATGATATATCTAAAATATATTATATCAACAATATAATATAGTCGCCATTCAATTCAATAAAAATTCAACATCTTAAGCATACTAACAACATCGAATAATTTTATACATTTTTTGCATTTAATTAATAAATTATTTAAAAATAAGTTTATATTTTTAATAATCTTATAAAATTTTTAAAGTTTGAATTTAATCTTATTACTACAGTTAAATAATATAAAACAATTATATTTTTAAAATCTTTTTAAAAATAACATTTTTTAAAAAATATTTTCTAAAAAAAAAATTTCATTTTTATTAAATCAGAATCGGTGTAATTTTTCTTCCTATTGATGAAAACGGAAATACCAACATTATCAATGCCTTTATTATTATATGAATAGAAAGACAACTAAAAAATATGTTATTATCACCACTAAGTACAGTATAATGATAGATTGCCATATACGATTAAGATAATGGATAATATGTTTATTTCAAAATGCTATTTAATTTCATGATTTTCAATATATGATTATTATCTAAAATATATTATATCAACAAATAATATAGTCGCCATTCAATTCAATAAAATTCAACATCTTAAGCATACTAACAACATCGAATATATATATATATATAATATATATAAATATATAGTCGAATCATATAAATATATAGTCGATCCGTAAGTTTTTTTTATATGTCAAAGTTTCTGTAAATACGTTAACGTATTTAAATTTATCTTAAATTAAATAAAAAGAGAAATTAAAAATTACTCGAATAGCAAAACAACCTAAAACTTATGAATCCTTCCTCCGATGAACTCATCTCACTCAGTGATATTCCATTTTAGTCCAACAAAAAAGTTTTTGTTTGAAAAATGTAAATTGTTGATGTTAGAGATATGCTTAAGTGATTTTTTATTTTGAGGGGAAATTTGCTTAAGTGACTTAATTATATCTCTTCATTTTTTTTTCAAATACTGGAAAAATAAAATTAAAAGAAAAACATCAAAGGATTATTAGTCTTTTTTCCTTATGGCTTCTATTTTACTTAAATTAATGATTGATAATTAATAAATACTAAAGAGGAAATGATGAAAAATATTTTTGCCTATTAAGTGATATGATTATAGTGTTGATTAGGATTCGCTTTTTTGACAAGCATATAAATTTAATTTATTAATGTATAATTTGATAACGAAGAATATATCTTAAATCTATTTAAAAAGGACCCCTCAAAAAAAAAAAAAAATAATCTATTTAAAAAAGGAGATGTGGTATTACTAACCATGATCAATTGAATCCAAAAAAATTTATTAAATATATAAATTTCATCCACAGACCTAGATATAATTATATATTATTTATGATAAATAATATGCATATATATATATATATTATAATAATATATATATTTATTATATATATATATTTGTAATAATAAATATATGCTAAAATAGAACAACTAAAAAACCTCAGCAGAGAGCGTTTTTCAACATTAAAAATTTTTATTAATTTCGTGTGTTTTAAAAAAAAAAATTTACTAACCGTGTTATTTAGTCTATATATTTGTAAATAATAAATATATGTAAAATAGAACAACTAAAAAACTCAGCAGAGAGCGTTTTCAACATAAAAATTTTTATTAATTCGGTGTGTTAAAAAAAAAATTATAACCGTGTTATTTTAGGTCGTTACACTCGTAATAAATTAAAAAAAAAAATCAACAGTGAGCCTAGTCACTCGCATATGCGCACCACCGCCCAGAATCATTATCCCCTGAAATAAACCGAGCCGAGGAGGAGGCTAACGGGAAAACTAATCCTCCAATTAAACTGCCCTATCAGGCTATCACCAAATCAAAGGAACCCTCGCTCTTCTAGAATGGGTCCCTAACCAATTTCATTTTATGCTGACGTGTTAGGTTTTCCCACCCTACTGAGACATGGATTCATGTCAGGATATAAATAGGTCCCATCCTCTGGGGGCCCACACGCACGTGTACTTCGAAAGATCAACTGTGGATTATCAGGTCATATCAGTCTATCAGACCAACGGCTTGTACGCACCTGTCCTACATCACAAACCTATACCCACCCGCACTTCATCAATCCCGCCACCCCCTCACTTCAACGCAGGGGATGAGGAAAAATAAAATTAAAAAAAAAAAAACAAAAAGAAAGAAAGAAAGAAAGGAGCGCAGGTTAACTATAATGCGCCGCTGATTGTCCAAAGCCTCCTCCTCTAGTCCTCTACCCTGTCTAACCACATATCAACCTCTCTCTGCCCTCTCTCAATAAAAAATATTGATCAAACCAGGAGCAGAGGGACACAAACCCCAGCGAAGCAATGAAGCACACTTCATCTGAGGCGGTCCCGTCGTTACCATCGCCAGCTTCCTCTTCCTCCGCCTCCGCTCTAACCGACCAGTCACCTCCTGCCACTTCGTCGTCGTCGTCGTCAATACCCGCCGAGGACTTAGCCGTGGGGTCCACAAGGGACGGGAGCGGTGGGGCGCAGGAAACCGTGACCGTCGATCGTCGAGGAGAGTACTCCGCCGTCTGCCGATGGACGGTCCACAACTTCCCTCGTGTTAAAGCTAGGGCACTTTGGAGCAAGTACTTCGAGGTTGGCGGCTACGATTGCCGCCTCTTAATTTACCCTAAAGGAGACTCACAGGCTTTGCCAGGCTACATCTCTATCTATCTCCAAATCATGGACCCTCGCGGCACCTCCTCTTCTAAATGGGACTGTTTCGCTAGCTACCGTTTAGCTATCGTCAACCTAACCGATGATTCCAAAACCATTCATCGGGACTCGTGGCACCGGTTCTCCAGCAAGAAAAAATCTCACGGTTGGTGCGATTTCACCCCTTCCTCTACTGTATTCGATTCCAAATTAGGTTATTTGTTCAACAATGATTCCGTTCTTATTACT